CGAACCCTAACCCTAACCCAAACCCTAACCCGAACCCTAACCCTAACGCCGAGTAGGTACACCAATCTAATCATCTTATACATTTCTCACCAAATCCTTGCAGCTGTATCTCAGTTTAAGAAATGTTCAAACCAGGTCCAGCAGGTTATGGAGTCATCTGATGGATGAATGAATGTACTCATGAATTGTCTGGAGCATTCTCAAATACAGTGTTTTCCCTCTCCCTTCATCCCTGCAGGATATGGGGCTATTCCTGGGCACATTTATGATTATTTTAACTTCAAGATCATTTGAACATGTAGTAGGTCGAGCCTACGGATGCTGCCAAATCCTGTATTATGTGAATTATTATACCCCAAATGTCAATCAATACTATATACCAAGGAGCCCTGATCTAGAGGGTAAAGAATTAAGAACCCAAAAAAGAAAATTAGTGATCTAGAGTGATCAGAAAAGGTTTCAAAGACAAGGTGACATTTGTCTAGATTTGGAATTTGCGAAGATTGCCTTCTGAGAGACTTGTACTGTCTTCAACAAGAATCTTCACCCACAAATCTCTGTTATGGTTTGAATGTGTCCCCACATGCAGAAGGCTTGGCGTGGTAATCTATGAAATTTGAGAGATGGTGTCCAGGCATGTTCATCTTTTATTAAAAAGGGGGGGCATTGATGGGAGATGTTGAAAGTGAGGTGCCATATGGAAGGAGGAAGGGGTGCATGAGAAGTCTGCACTTTCCACTCAGTTTTGTTGTGGACCTAAATCTGCTCATTAAGGAGAAAAACTCATGACCATCTTCTCTGTCCTCTGAGAAGCAGGGTGTACAGCTCATGCAAAGGTCTCTGGGAGCCAGAATGTGGACTCCCAGCATGCTCTTCAAGCCCCAGTCTTCTCAAGAATAAAATGGGGCCATCACCTGTCTTCTCACTCCTTGGCAGCACGAATTAATCTGAGTCAGTCTCAATAAATACAACCAAGAGAAAAGTCACTCTGGTCCAAGCTAGAAAAGTCTGAAATGCTCCCTTCTGAGCTGACCAGTCTCTCCATGGGCTGCCACACAGCACCCTTCAGAATCTGGCTGCAAACCCCATCCTTTTATCTCACAAAAACCACATTACAGGGCTAGGATGGATACAGGCCTCATCCCTGTGCAAAACATACAAGACAATTTCATTTTCTAACTTTCATATTGAAAACGTACCAGATTAAGTTTTAATAGAATTTGTTTTTTAAAGCACTTTAGGTGGCCAGCAAAAGTGAGCAGTAAGTACAGGATTCTCATTCACTCCTTGACCCCACAAATACACGTGTACATAGACTCTTCTGCTACCAACATACCACCCAGAGTGGTCCTTCTGTTATGGTGGATGAACACCACTGACATCAAAGTCAAAGTCTAAAATCTACTTTAGGGCTCATTCTCAGTCTTCTACATCCTATGGGTTTGGACAAATATGTTCAGTTGTGTGTCCACCATTACAATGTTGATAGAATTGTGCCCTAAAAATCTGGGCTTTGGCTCTTCAGTCTTATCTTTAAATCCTTATCAAAAAGCCGTATTTTAAAAACTTAATGGTTCAACAAGAGGTGTGGTAGAAAACACCTGTGCTCCCAATCCCAACTGTTTGGCAGACTGAGACAGTGGGACATCTTGAGCCTAGGAGTTTGAGGCCAACCTGGGCAACACAGCAAGACCCCATTCCAAAACACATAAGCATTCACTCCCCAGCATCTCCACCAAAAAAACAAACAAACGAACGAACAAACAAAACAACCATAAGCAGAAAGCCCTGAATGCAAACCCCAGTGCCACCAAAAAAAAAAAGTTCATAGGTTTCTGAAGCTCTGTGCAGTCTGACATGTTAGAGCTCTGATTAAAGTTGTGTATGTGAGCATGTGTATGTGTTGTAACAGGATTTCTATGTTTCTCTTGTAGCGTGGCAATCTGTTTTAATTTACAAATTTGGCAGAAAAGGAGAAACAACAGAACAGTTCAAAGCACTAGCTAACCAGCCATCACCCAGGCCAAAGTGCATACCAGACATCAGGTAGCAATTCAGTTTAGCAAGTCGGAGCCAAAACTGACAAGACCTATAGGATGGAGGTCAATGCCTGAAGAGCCTGCTCACAGGCCAATTGCTATGGCAACCTGAAGAGATATGGTTTTGAGAGGGTACAGAACTATTATTTGTGCAATTGAAATCTCTGGGGAAAACAGGGGAGGCCCGTCAAGGTGTTCTGACCTGGGTTTTCATTTACGTTAAGTGAGAAGCTAAAGGGAAGTCCATTCCCACAGGTAGGAATTTCCAGGCTTTTAATCTGCTGCCAGTGCCCAAAGGGAGAGCAAACAAAACCTTGTAGAACGACTACAAGTAGAAGAGGTAGGGTTTAGTATTAACAACCTGTCAGCAGTCAGTCATCAAAAAATGGAGACAAACTCTTCTGGCTTTCAGCCTGGCAGATAAGGTTAGTGTTAGGGTTAAGGTTAGGGTTAGGATTCCTCGAGATTTTCTATATGTAATATAATGTAATCTGCAACATGTGAGTGGATGGTCTACTTATCCTTTTGGGTGTGGATGCCTTTTAATTCCCTTGTTGATGTCACCCCAGAGGCTCTGCCTCTGCCCTCTCTACTGCCTCTGACTCCATGTTTCACTGGGAAACCTAGGGAAACCTATCTCAACTGCCTAGTTGGCATCGGGAGCCCCACAGTTTGACTCCTGCAGCACTGGGACCCCCACCATCAGACCACCTACCTCAGGGACTGGATATGAACTGAAGCTCACCTTCTTAGATGTCACATTGACTGGACTGAGTGTTGACACTTGCCTCTAGGGCATCCTGGTATGTGCAGTCTTTTCCCAGACCAAATGTCAAGATATCCAGTGACAGATGCTCCCTCCCCTGACAGGAAGCCAAAGTGAGCTGCCCTGTGACCCTGAAAGGGCACTTCCCACACCATATCTCCACTTACTGAGTGGGCAGCACCTCAGGTACAAGGTGACAAGTGTCAGTATCCATTTGGTGGTGGTGATCGATGGCAATGTCAGAGAAGGGTCTGTGAGCATGATGACAGGTTTGCTTCTTGGCTATTCCCACAAATGTGTAAAATTCCTGCAGGCTGGGCTTCATAATTTATATTCCACCTCCAACCCTTGTGGAAATTCTTGGCAATTCTTTAGGAAAATCATGGCTTTAAACATCTTAAATAGAATTAAAATGCAGAATGTTACTTCTCCTCTCTTAGATTCTGCATCACGTATTTACACTAAGTGGAATGAGTGTGTTGACAGAGCCTTGGGCTCAGGGTTGAACACAACATTGCATTTGATTTGTCTTCATCCTACCCTGGAGTAGGCTGTTGACCTGAGGAACCTGGGGCTTAAGCCCTAACACTTTTCCTGGACACAGAGCTCATGTCCCTATCCACTAGTGGCACTGCTGAGCACATGACTATCCCCTACTGCCTGAATTACTTGCTGTTTTCTTGGCATTCACCTGTTCCCTATAACCCAAGGGCTCCCCTCTCACACTTCCTCCAGGAAGGCCTGTGAGCATCCTCCCCAGAAGACCCACATGCTCTGCCAGGCGCTTCAGTCTTCAGGGAAGCAGTGCTGGTGGCTGTATAGTAGGGTAAGTGGACCTAGTGCCCTGAATGCTTCAATGTCAAATTATTAAACAGCAAAATTTTATTAAAAACTAATACTAAAAATGATATACCAAACATTGAAAAAGAAACAAAAGATGTAAAAAGGTTATTTTCACAGGGGAGGGATAGGACTGCTCTGCTGCTGGGTGGGGTTAGGAGGTCAGAGGCATCAATGTTCTTTGTCTCATTCAATTAACATTGCAAAATTTTTTGCTAATTTATAATGTTGTTTCTATAATGTTTTTCTTTTAAAATTAAAACACTATCTTGTATGCACTGTGAGTTACATTTGATTAGCACCTTAACATTTAGAAATGATCACAGCAAGGTACTGTCTCTTCTGCTGTCCTACAGCACTCTCCTCCTCCGTGACCTTCACTGGATATCATGACACTCTTTCAATGTTGGTATCCTCCATTTTACCAATTACAATATTAAAAGTAGCCTAGGGCCAGAAGCATAACTCAAATGGTAGAGGCACTCACTGGGTTTAATCCCCATTACCACAAAAGAAAAAAAAAAAGAACCTAAAAGTTTTAGTTGACTGAGGTGAACTAAAGATTTAGAAAGAAAAGTAGTGAACCAGTCTCCTCCACATACAGCCTCAGAACATACTGTGAGCAACATTGTAAATGATGAACTGAGATCATACATGACACATACCAAACCCTCAGAAAACATCAGCTAGGGACTCATCAAAGAGAGACCATGAGAAAAGAGCCAAGTCTGACACAATGTGAACATCAAACAATGATGATGATGCATAACACACTGAAAAAGTGCTGATACTTGACTATGTTGAAGACAGAACAAATATACCTTCTCACAGCGTACACATAAGTTAAAAGAGGAAAAACTAACACTATGGTACAAGAAGTCTGATAGAACTTGAAATTGGATGTCACCTCATAGGATGCAGAGAAGTGTTAGTTCACAATAACCCTTATGGGATAACTTGATACTAATCATAAGGAAGTATCAGAGAAATGCACACTAAAGGCATTGTACAAATGAGTGGCCTGTGACCTTCTAAAGAACCAAAAACCCAGCCAGAGAAACTCTTCCACATTGTAAAGAAGCTACGGAGGCTTACCAGCTCTCGAGAAAAGCTAATTCTAAACTGAATCCTTTTGCTATAAAGGACATTATTGGAAGAAACTTGATTGGGGCCTGAGGATGACATGGTAGCAACGTGTAGCAAAATATCATGCTGTGCAGGAAATCTACATCAAAGTATATGGGATGATGGGGCATCAGGCTGGCACCTTTTTTTCAGGGGGATCAGAGAAAAAGATGTAACTTTTGTTGAAACTATTCAAAATAAAATTTTATTTGAAAAAAGATTTTAGCGGTTTAAATTTTTTTTTTTCCTTAAAGAGAAAGTGTACAATTTTCCCATAAGGCTGACCAGATGGGAAGAACCTTCACCTCCAGCTTGGCCTTGTTAATTTGAACATAAAATGCTTACATGACCCCACATCCATGTTAGGCTGAAAGTGAGCACCTCAGAGCACATGCTATTCTTGCTAGTTCCATACACTACATTCCTCGAAACTAGCTGCTGGAGATATCACCGGCTGAGGGATCGCTGCAGAGCTTCATACATCATTTGATCCTAAAAGGAGGGAAGAAACATAATATAGAGCAGATCATGCTTGGCTATGGACCGAATGGCATAATCCCAAGTTCATATGGTGAAGTCCTAACCCCCTGGAGTAAATAACAGAGATATTCAAAAAGGAAAGACGACATGAAGACACAGAGAGAAGAAGCCATCTGCAAGGACAGAAGTCTCAGAAAATACAGCACCTAACATCTTAATCTTGAATGTCTGGCCTCCAGAGCTGTGAAAACACAAAGTAAGCCCCCAGTCTGTGGTCCTTTACTATGGCAGCCCTAGCTACTGGACTCACTGTTAAGAGAGACCTGGCCTAACCTCCCTGTACCTACAATCTACACGTGCTCCTTTCCAGTAAATTCCCATGACTTTCATGGTCCACTGAAGTTTGCTTTAAGTATCAGGTCAAGAGATTCTCATTTATATCTAATTAGGGGAGAAGCCAGACTTCTAAACCATGCTAAATTCAGGTGGAAACAGGAGGCAAAAGCATAGGTTTCTTAAAAAAATCTTTAAAATCTATCTTAATTTTTTCTTTTGGATAGATAAAACATTTACAAAATTCAAAAGTAGTATGTAAAACCAAGCCGAGTGCCAATGGCTCATGCCTTTAATCCTAGCTACTTGGGAGGCTGACATTGAAAGGATCGCAGTTTGAGGCCAACGATGGCAAAAAGTTAGCAAGATGCCATCTCAATGGAAAAAAAGCTGGGCATGGTGGTGCTTATCTGTCATCCCTGCTAAGGAAGAAAGCATAAAACAGGAGAATCAATCACATTCTAGGCCATGGGCAAAAACCGAGACCCTAGAGGAAAAAGGACTGGAAGGTATGGTGTAAGCAGTAGCACGCCTGCCTCGCAAGTGGGAAGCCCTGAGCTCAAACTCCTAGTACCACCAAAATATATACACACACATATAAAACCTTATAATGGAAAAGGTTTTTCTCTCCTACACTACCTCTCCCCTCAGATAACCAATGTATTCTTCTATATTTTCTCTCTGCAAATACAAATGCTCTCATTTTGTTGCTGTTGTTGTTGATACTGGGATTTCAACACAGGGCCTTGTGCTTGCTAGGCAGGCACCCTACCACTTGAGTCACCCTTTCAGCTTCTTCTTTTTTTAAAACATAAATGGTAGCATATCTTAGACACACTGCGATTTTATTATCTATGTTTGGAAATAAATATCAGTCTCTGGAACAGCTAAATCACTCGTATGAAAATTTAGAGTTTGAGTCTTTGGCTATTATTATATACGATGATGCTTCAACGAATAAATAACTTCCTGTGGACATGTATATTTTGAGAATAAATTCATGTAAAGGAGTTAGGAGTCAACTTTTGTCATAACTGTAACTTTGGCAGACACATCAAACTGCCATCCAAAAGGGCAGACTGATGGAAACACCACCAGCTGGGTATGAGTGAGCCTGTTTCCTCATAAGCTGTTCAAATGTGTGATGGTTATAAGCCACCTAGTTTATGGTAGACAGAGACAAGAGAAAGAATAAATATTTTATTCAAAATAGCCATTTTCTGGAAGATATAAACTTAAGACTTTCAGGTATCTCAAATAGGTATAGCTGAAATACTGAATTAACACTGAAATAGGGGGAAAAAAAAGCCTGTTTCTCAGTATCAGTGCTAAGTGACAGAGTAAAGACATCCTAAGCATATCCTGTTTAAAATCAGATTAAAAGAATTCCTTTTTGATAAATTTTTCATTATAAAATATTTATTATACAGATATTAGAAAATATACAGGAGAAAATAAATTAAGAAACACTGCTTCATTCCCAGAGATAATTACTGCTACTATCTTGGTATCGTACACTTTAAATTATGATTTTTTAATATTTAACTTTTAAATAGGAAATACATTCATGATTCGAAGTCTAAACAAGATAAAAGTCACCAGCTTCCCAGCTTCCTTCCCATTATTACTCCAGAAGGACCTTTAAGACCAACTGATATGTCAATCAAGGAATGAAGGCTCTGGACCTTGATGGTACTTTTTTTTTTAAAGATCAATCAGCTTGGTCATCTGTTTTCTATTATTGATTCAAAATTAATATTAAACATTTTTCCAAACGATAAACAGTAGCTCCTTATTCATTAAGGTACTTCCCAAAAATAATTATTTAAACTATAAAGACATGACCTCCAAAGACATTAAAAAAAATATAAGAGAATCAAGTAACATCATTAGGACATCCATGTACCAAACTGACCCATTCAAAATCCCAGCAGGCTTTTTCTGTAGAAATTCATAAGCTTAATACAAATGTTATATGGAAGTAGAAAAGGTCAAACATAAGACAAAATTGCGGAGGGAAGCAATAAAATATATTTGAGGCACTTACACTACCTGATTTCAAGGCTTATTTTAAATTTGTAATTAAAGAAAAAAAAAGGGTGGTGGGGGGGAGAGTGACAAGAAGACACTTGCAGAAAAGTACAGGTAAAGATCAATGGACAAGCCGGGCACCAGTGGCTCACGTCTGTAATCCTAGCTACTCAGGAGGCAGAGATCAGGAGGATCGTGGTTCGAACACAGCCTAGGCAAATAGTTTGCAAGACCCTATCTTCACAAAACCTTTCACAAAAATAGGGCTGGTAGAGTGGCTAAAGGTGAAGGCCCTCAGTTCAAGCGCCAGTACTGCAACAACAACAACAAAAATCAACGGACAGAACGGAGTATCAAAATAAACTCAGGTACATATGACCAATTCATGTTCAAAAAGAGAGCATGGTATTTCATTGAGAGAAATGTTTTTCAACAAGGGCCACAGGGAAGAAAGTTGCTACAAACCATACCTCACATCAAATACAAAAGTTACACTAGTCCCTTCTTTTCAACAGGTTTCTTATCTGCAGATTTAACCAACTGCACATCAAGAATATTATGAAAAAAAGAACTGTACTTAACATGTGCAAACTTTTTTCTTGTCACTATTTTCTAAATAATACAGTATTAACTATTTACATAGCGTGTACACTGTTTTAGGCATTACACATAGTCTAGAGATGACTTAGAATATAGGGAGGGTTCGCATAGGTTGTTTGTAAATACTATACCATTTTACATACTGGACTTGAGCATTTTGGTGTCTGTGGGGATCTTGGAACCCAATCCTCCACAAACAAGAAGGGACAGCTACAATTTGAAGTGGATGGGAAAACTGTAAAACTTATTTATAGAATAAAAGGAGAAAAATTTGGCGATCTTGGTAAAGGCAAGATTTATGACAAAAACACAAACCATAAAAGAAAAGTAATAAATTTGAAGACTCTAGTAAAAGAAGACTTTAAAATATACAATGGTAAGTGATAGATAAGGAAAAAACATCCTTAATATGTATTTCTGATGATACTTTAATCCAGAATAAACTGAAAAATTTTTACTACAACTCTCCATAATGAAATAACTCAATCTTTTTAAAAAAGATTGACCATATGACCTCATTGAGTCACTGTCTTTCGTCAGAGACAGGATTGCTGCCAGCCTAGGGGAAAAAAAAATAGCTAGCAAAAACCCATCTCAAAAACAACAAAAAAACCTAAGCCTGGTGGTATGCACCTGTTATCCCACCTGCACAGGAAGCATAAAAGTAGGAGGACTGTGATCCAGGCTGACCTGGGCAAAAACTCAATTCCCTTTCTCAAAAATATCCAAAGCAAAGGCTGGGGAGTGTGGCTCAAGTGGCTGAGAGCCTGCCTAGCAAGTGTGAGGCCCTGAGTTCAAATTCTAGTACCACCAAAAAAAAAAAAGTTTTCAATCAATAATTATAATAGGAACAATATAATGAACAGTATAATGAACTGGAGAATAAATTGACTAACTTTTAAAGAAGTTTTAATACAACCAATACACAAGTTTTCATCACCAAATACGATTATTTTTAGATTCTAAACACAGTATATGATATTCAAGTGAACAAAATTTATCCCAACAGGATCTGACTAAGAAATTTCTTAGGGCTGAATATTTCTCAGTCAACCATCTTTCTCAGTACAAGAATAACAAAACCTAATCTCACTTAATAGCAACCATTTTAACACACTGCAAGCAGAATACCTGAACACAGTAAAGAATAAACATGGAAAACCTGTCATTTTGTGTAAGAAGTTGGAGTGATTTTTTATTTTTAAAACCCCTTTCCTACCTTACAGTGCAGATATTCGTACTTCCCTGAAATGGAACTATAAACTCTATGGTTTAGTTTGGGTATGGTCTAGCTCCAAAAAAACCCAAAAAACCAAAAAAAAATCTGTCAGCCAGGCATGGTGCCACATACCTATAATCCCAGCACTCAAGAGGCAGAGGCAGGAGAATCAAAAGTTTGAGGCCAATCCAGAGTACACAGCAAGTTGGAGGCCAGCAAGGGTTACATAAAAATATTGAAAGAAAAAAATTCAGGGAGAGGTGGGGGGGGTGGTGGTGTGTGTGTGTGTGTCACACTGAAGTGATTAGCCTAGCAAGCAGGAAGCCTGATTTAAAACCCCAGCACTGCCAAAAAAAAATACATAAATAAATAAATAAAATCATCTGTCAGAAAAGGTTAAATCAGACAATATTTGAATGATACTTAAGAATTCTTGAGACTGGCTGAGTGGTACTACACACCTATAATCCCAGCTAGAAACAAGAGGATCTCAAGTTCAAGGCAAGCCTGGGCGAAATCAGTGAGACCCTATCACAAAACAAAATGACTCAAGTGGTAGAGCAGTTGCCTAGCAAATGCAAGGCCCTAAGAGAAAGTGTGGAAAGAACTCTGAGACATATTTGACTGCAGCTTTCTCTGAATAAATAATGTTTGAAAAATCTAGACAAAATTTAAATCTCTCCAGAACACTCTCACAAAAGCCATTGTATGCTTTCCTTTTGAGTTAAAATGTAACATGTAATTTCTTTCAGGAAGTAGAAATGATATAGAGATAAAATCAGCAGAGTTTAGGGAATCATGAGTTCCTGTCCACTGATATCACTTCTCTTTCTAGACATTAAAGAACATTTCTCACCTTTACTGATATAGATGGTTTCACTTTCTTGAAAGCCTCTTCAAAATGCATATGATTAATCTTGAGTGCACCTGTAGGGTAAATGCATAAGTATACACTTATCAGTAGAGTCCACTAACTGTGAGCTATAACAGTTTCTCTAGCGAGACATCCAAGCCTTCAAACAGAAACTGAGTGACTGAGGGTCTTTTACACACACCCCCTCATCAGCCCTGCCGGAGACTCTGACCACTTGAGTCACAGTCTTTTAGTCAGGGAGAAAGGATTGCTGGGCAGCATGTGCCATGTCTCACAGACTCACTGCCCAAGATATCTATGCATGAAATCAGTGTTTGAACTTTGCATCCTGGTCATGCTCCCAAAATTCATCAGCATAGAGATGGTCATAGGAAATTTCTCAACCATAGCAAAAATAACCAAGTACATATATTACTGCCACAGGATGTCTTCTTGGGTATAAATTTACACAGAGGACATATGTCACAACACTGGATTGGATGGGGTTGTAATTGTTTAAAAGGCTAGGCCAAGGCTGGTAGAGTGGCTCAAGTGGTAGAGCACCTGCTTAGCAAGCCATGAGGCCCTGCGTTCAAACTCTAGTACCACCTAAAATATAAAAAATTAAATTAAAAAGTATAAAAATAAAGAGTTAGGCCATTACATAAGTAAGTGAAATAAAATAGCTAAGCATTAAAATACGACTTGGTTTAGAATGTTAATATGACAAATTATGTGATGATGATTTATACACAAAACAGTAAACTTAGCCGGTGCCAGTGGCTTACACCTGTAACCCTAGCCACTTGGGAGGCTGAAATCAGGAGATTCAAAGTTTGAGGCCAGCCTAGGCAAATATTTCACAAGACCCTGTCTCCAAAATAACCAAAGTAAAATGGACTGGAGGTGTGGCAAGTGGTAGAGCACCTCCTCTGCAAACATGAAGCCCCGAATTCAAACTCCAATCCCATACACACACACACACACACACACACACACACACACACACACACACACACGCACGCAAGCATGCACGCACGCACCAAAAACTAGTAAAGTTCTTATACAGCTATCAGGATAGTGTATTTACCAAAAAATAAAGTAAAACATATTACTGAAGGTATCACATGGAAGTCAGATGATGTTACTGACTTTGGTTTTGGTAAGGCATCATTGAAAGATCCCTAAAGGCCAGAAAACTAGAAATGAAGGCTGTAGCAAAGCAAGAATGTCAAAATTTGTTATATATGTACTTAAAATTACATTCAGGAGGTGTGGCTCAAGCAGTAGAGTGCCTACCTTGCAAGCACGAAGCCCTGAGTTCTAATCCCAGTCCCACCAGAAAAAAAACAACAAAACTACACCCAAACTAAGTAGCAGCTCCAACATATAGAGGGGCCTATTCACTTTTAGGCACCAAACATACCCCAATAAAGTGATCAAATTCAGTTCACAGGTAGTATGCCTAATTCTGTTTTGTTTTGCTTTGTTTTTGTGTGGAGACAGGGTCTTGCTATGTAACCAGGCTGGCCTGGAACTTGTTATGCAGCCGAGGCTGGCCTTTACTACCCGCTGGAATTACAGGTATGCACCATCACACCTGGCTCTGACTTTTTATTTATAAGATACTCTAATTTTGCCTATTTGTATATCACCTCCTTCCAAAAGTAATTCAATATAGCTTATAATAAAAGAAATTCAGAAAATTGAATCTTAAAATTACCCAACCAAAAAAACCCAGGATCTTCCTAATGAAGATATTTGTGTTGACAAATCTAAGTTAAGCAAATGCTACTATAACTGCAAACAAAATTAAGCTCTGAAGTTATTGGAGCCAAAGAAAAAGGGGAAAACCAATGCAAATACAAAGATACCTTCTGGAAGTCTACAAAAAGAGACCAGTATACACTTGAAGTACCCATCAGAGGACAAAGCAGAGCTTGTGAAGACAGGTACTCTGCTATACCACACAGACACCTATGCACTACGGCAGAGTAAGCAATTGCCCATGAGCCAGGTAAAGGTTCCTTCTGTACATGGCATGATTCAAACACAGGTCACAAATTAATCTTTTCTGGCTACACATACCTAAAGAGTAAAATCAAAGCCACTGTCAACTGTGAAGCCTGGTGCAAGGCTCATAAGAAAACCCCAAATCATCACAAAATGAAAGACATGAGTTTTGTTTGCTTTTGTGGTGCTAGGGATAGAACCTAGGGTCTCATGCATGCTAGAAAAAGTGCTCTACCACTGAGCCACATCCCCAGATGATTTTGTATTTTGAAAGGAAAGTCTCAATATATGGGAATTATTCCAATTTCCACTTTTTATAGTATGTCTTTCACCTATCCAATTTAAGTTGCATTTTAATAGGCGCAAGTAAGTATCACCCTAGCAAAAGAATGGGGTTTCCAGAACTGATAAATGACCAAATTCATGACGAAGACAGCGAATTGATTGAACTGCCTCTATCTAAACACTTGTGTACAATGGTAAGATATAGTACTCTTTATTAGAGAGGTACTAAGTAACTGCTATTGTCATTACTGTCAGTGACAGAGGTCACATAACAGTTAGGGAGAGTTGCTAAAGGTCTCATCAAAAGAGTATCAACTTCTTTACCACAAAAAAAGATGTGAGAAGAGAGGCATTTCAGAGGACAATGGTGGTTTTGGAATCCAGAGTGATAAATGAGAATTGAGAAATTCATACCTTTTCCATTTCCATTATTCTGTCTTGTCATTTCTTGTCTCAGGGCACAGAGAGAAGCTTCTCGTACCAAAGCAGAAAGGTCTGCGCCCCTATAATAAAAGGAAGTGTTCTTGTTTATATATTCTTAAATAATGTAAAAGACCAAAAAGAAGCCAGATAACAATTTTCAATTGTCACTTATTAAACAATGAGGAAGAAGAATGACAAATAAAAGTGGGACAAACTGGCTAGGTCCAGCAGGAAAAGAGCTTTCTTCTTTTCAACCTTCAGAAGACCAGGAATTATAAGGAAGCAATGCAATGAAAAATAAGCATTACCAGGAATTATAAGGAAGCAATGCAATGAAAAATAAGCATTACCCTCCTCTAAGCTATAGATATTAATGTTAATATAAAATATCTAATCTGCAAAAAGAAACTTTATACTTTTACTTATAAGGGCTGTAGTAAAGTGCTGACCACCATATTCATATATTACATAATGTCTAAAGTAAGCTTATACAAAAAGCCATCTGCGGCTCCAAGTTAGGAAGGGGAAACTACAAAGCCCAAAAAGTTTTTGATGCACTGAACTCATGCTCAAGTTGGGTGGAAGCATCACAGTAAGCCTTCGTTTACCGAATTGTTCCATGTAACAATATGCCGAGTTAGCACACTACTGCGAGGTCATAGACACTAGTACTGACTGGGTGTGGGGGGGTTGGTACATTTCAGCTTTAACACAATTCATAAAGATTCTTTGAGAAAGAGTTTGAATTTTGTAATTAAAAACCCATTTCCAGACACCAATATTATTTATTATATAAAGATATGATCCACATAACACATGAAACTGAAGGCAGAGCTGAAATTAACTACAAGTAATGTTTCTGTTGGCTAAGAACCATTTTCTTTTTAAAAAACCATATTCACTCGTTTCCCTATCTAACATTGGTGTAGACACCATTGTTAGATGGTGCAGCACCCAGGTAGCTCAAGACTGCAGCAGTACAGTATCTCAAAGTGTAATGACAGTGGCATTAAAACTCAAAATCTACATAATCAACTTTAACCCCAGTCCCTTTATAAATGAACACACTACTTGGCACAATCCACAGACTAAGCCCAGAGTAACTTCTGCCATCAAAACTGCCTGTCACTCACATAAAATCTTTTCAAATTTGAACACCTAATGCCATCAACTATAACCCTTTCCCCACAAAAGATGATCATTTACTCAAAGAAGGATATAGCTGTGATTCCCAATGAGGGGTGAAAGGCACACTCCTCCTTCAAGGGAGACATGTACATATGCACTTACACATACCCCTACCAAGACTCTGACCATTTCCCCTTATTGAGTCACTATCTTTCACAGGAAGACAGGATTGCTAGACAGTGTGTAACATGTCTCTCAGGAACACCAGGGTGGAAGAACAGAAACTCACTGCCCTAGATGTCCACACATGAAAACAAAGGAGATCAAACTTTGCATCCTTTCATGCTCCCAAAAATGATCAGTGTGCTCTTGGGTAGAATTACATTAGTGAGCCAATTATGGCTGGGTGCAGTGGCTTATGTCTATAGTCCTAGCTAATTGGGAGGCAAAGATGGCAGACTGAGGTTTGGGGTCAGCCCAGGCCGTAAGTTCCCAATAAAATCTGTTTATGCATCTATCATTCCAGCTGTGTTGGAAAGGTAAATATAAGTATTGCAGCCCAGGCCTAAATAAGACCTTATTCAGAAAAACAACGAAAGCTAAACAGGCTAGGGGGTATGGATTCAGTGGTAGAGTGCCTTCCTAACAAGAGCAAGGTCCTGAGTTCAAACCTCTTACTGCCTCCTCCTCAAAAAAAATCTCCTGTTGTTCCTGCAGGCCATGTAGATATGCACAGGTATGCTGGGAACACATGGCTCATACAGATCACCTCTGTCATGCAGATATACCTGGCCAATTTGGCTAACAATCGTAAAACATCTACTCAAATATTCTGAAAAAAGAACCAATTTGTGAAGGACAGAACAGTCAGAGAAGATTCAGTACCATAAAACAACATACATCAGGACAACTGTTGCTAGGAATTCCTTCAGAGATTCCATACAGACAGGCCCTTCTCTGAGGAGGAAGGAGCAAGGACCAGCCAGATACTACATCAGGTGCTGTATAGGATACCTTATCTAACTTTTCCAACAGTTTGGAAAATGGGCATCATTCCCTCACCCGCAGATGAAAAAACTATGCCCCTGATCAACAGAGTTGAGATTAAAATACTCACGAATAGCAATCACAGCGAATATCACCAGCAATTGCTTGCAAATCTACATCTGCATCCAGTGGAGGTTTGGTGCCATTCTAAGAGAGAGAAATGATTTTTCATGGGGGTTTTAAAGACCCAAGTTCATCCACATCACAGCTTCTTAATGAAGAGGAACGCCTGCTAGCTAACTCTGAATAGAATTGCCTTCCAGACCAGTGTTGCAGAGTTCCACAGATTTCAATTTGGAGAAATGAGGGCAAATCGCACAAAACAAACTTGGTAAATCTAAAGGCAAACAATTTATGCTCATGAAATTTGAGGAATTTGCTTATAGTTGCAGCAAAAACATCTTCCACCACCAAGAATAAAAGCATCCCCAGTCTTTCCATAGGTATAGAAACACATTCTGTTCCCCAATTAAATACATTACATATGCAAAGTAGCTCTTAGTTTTTATGTGCTCATGTGCTGAAGTTTTGATGTGACATTAGCTGAGAAAACAACACAGAACCTAGCCAGCTGAGGACAAGCAGGAACCTGCTCTACACTAAAAGCCCCAAGTCCTCTGTGACCAATGTTTTCTCTTAATCCTCGTCTAAAACCCAGCCTTGACTTTGGAGCCAATTTCCCTACTGCTCTTAACAACAGATGCTAGAAACAACAAAAATCAGAGTACCATGCATGCATACAGAACATGCTGAACAATATTCCTTGTGGCTTACATGACTTACACAGTAGTTTTTAATAGCTTAAAATGTAGGGTAGCTGGATAGTTCAAGTTCAAAATGTTTGCTTGTTGTCTTGACATGTGAATTACATACACATTGTACATATTCTTCCCTTTGCAGTATATATTATCTTACAAACTACTTTAAGAAACATATACTCAACATGAATAAAATAATAAAAATTAACAAATTTCCCAAAGATTCCATCAGTTGCAAATTTGAATCTTAGAACTCAGATTTTCTAAATGTACTCCCAGAGTTCAACTGAACAAGAAGCTCCATTTAATAGGGTCAGGAATCAGTTCTGCTGTCCATCCAATCATCTACTTTCACTGGGAAACAAATTCTCCCTATGCCTGAGGCAAACAATTCTTGTGCCCCACACCCAAGTTGTAAAATTAAAGGGTTGAAATTGCATGATAGTTAAGCATCTTTCAGTATAGTGATTTTCAGTAGTTAGTTAAATGGTTAACCCTAGAAGGTAGCAGGGGTGAGTACTGGCTGGAAGGAGGCAGGCAGCTTTTGTGGATCTGGTGATGTTCCTTTTATTTTGGGATAAAATATACATAACATAAAATTTACCATTTTAACCATTTTAAGTGTTGAGTTCAGTGGCATTCTTTCAACTCTGCAAAATGAAACCTTACACAAACTCCCCATCTCTTCTGCTCCCACCCCCCCATTCTCAGCCCCCAGCAACGACCATTCTACTCTGTCTCCATGAATTTGATTGGTAATGTACTCCTTGATCTGGAGGCAGTGTTTCTAACAATTCATAAAGCTGGACACTGAATAATCTCTCTACTTTTCTATCTGTGCAACACACCTCAATAAAAGAAAATGTAGGTCAGGCATGGTGGCTCAAGCCTGTAATCCGAGCTATCAGAGAAGTGGAGAGCAAAAGAATCATGGTTCCAGGGCAGCCTAGACAACCAATGGCCGGGTGCAGTAGCACATGCCTGTCATCCTAGCTACCTGGGGAAGTACAAAAAGAACAGCAGTCCAGCCTACCCAGGCAGAAAGGGAGACCCTGTTTGAAAAATGAGTAAAGCAAAAAGGGCTGAGGTGTGTCCCAAATAGTAGAGCACTTGCTTACCAAGAGTAAGACCCTGAGTTCAACACCTAGTATTGCCAAAAACAAATATGTAAATAAACAAACAAATAAAATATCTAAAAACTAGAAATAATACTGCACCAAATGTCAGAAAATCTAAGTTCTAAAGTTCAAATATGCAACTGTGTCTTTAGAAGTTTGTTAATTTTCATTATTTTTAAATGTTTTGAAATTAAAAAATAGTATTTTACCTCTAGATGAATTAATTCATGGGAGTGGAGAGTGGGGACTTCTTACACAGGGACTTACTATAATGGAGACAAGCTGGGACTTCCCAAGTGTCACTGAGGTGGGAAGGTCAATCTTGTTAAACACTGCTGTGTTGAGTATCTCCATCCATTACTGGAGGAGGTAGGGTTGGAGGATGGGGATCACCCCCATAGCCAGAAGCCGTTATGAGGAGCTTTCATGTTCATAAGACCCTCTCACCCTTCTTTGACTGTCACACAGCATACGGACTCTTTCCATGTATATCCCATGTGCTGTTTGAGCCTTTTACCTCAGAGCCTCTACTGTTTCCATCAAAAGTTTAATCACAGAAATAAATTCATGAGGGATTATCTGAGGACAATTCTTTTCTACTTCTTAGTATCTACTCTTGGGTCAGTCCAGACATTCACAAAGCCCTGTGTCTGCTCAGAATGCATTTCTCTGACCTTTCATAACATTGTTCTTAATGAACTGTCCTTGACTATGTCCTTACAACTTACAGAAGAAAATCTAGCTCACTCCAAGAGGATTCTTCTTGTGTTTAAAACAGAGATGTTGTTGAACACATCATCCATCACATCCTTACATGTTCTTCATGAGGTCCCAGAACAGGAATTTTTCTCACATTTGTATATGGAAGCAACCAACAGTTTTTTACACTTAGGGTACCCTTTGTTCAAGAATAAAATCTTTTGCAAAAGAAAGTCTAATATACAAAAACAAATTATAAATAGGGTGGGGTGTGAACTTTTTTAGAGAATAGACACTTAGACATTTTCTAATTTTTATAAAACCAGTGAACTTTTTTAGAGAATTTAGACACTTAGACATTTTCTAATTTTTATAAAACCAGTCCTTTAGAAAAATTAGTAATTAGAAAAATACCCTCACTTAAAATAAAAAAACAACTCTATGGAGGTATGAAGTGAGGTCTACATTGGATACCTCCAAAGGTTTCAGAAGCAAAATTACTTTCCAAATAGTAGAAACAGGGCTGATGAATCTTTTCATCATTCAAATCTAGTTACTCTTACTGAAATGCAGCAATGTTTCCCACCTGAGGTAAGAGGTAAAACAAAATGTAAATTCTATTTATGTGAAAGTAATAAAAAAATTTTTTTTCACTATTGGGGTTTTAACTCAGGGCCTTGCACTTGCTAGGCATACACTCTATCACTTAAGCCTTGCCCCTAGCCCTCAAAAATGTTTTTACAATGACAGTGAATAGTTTATAACCCAACAATGGTGCCACAGACTTATCCCAGCACTTGGGAAACTAAGGAAGGAGGATCATGAGTTCAAGGCCAGCCTCGTCCTCAGAGCAAGTTTCAGTCCAGCTTGGACTACATGGTAAGACCTTGTCTCCAAAAAACAAAAAGAGTCAAATTGATTCTTCTATGAAAACACCTTTTTCCACTTTTCCTTCTTTCCATATTCACAACTGTGAGCTTGGAACTATAGAAATTTTCTAATGCTATACTCCTCTGTATCCTTCACATTCACTCCAAACTACTATTGTTTTGGAAATCAACAACAAAACAATACATGTACATTCAATATAGGAAAAGTACAAATATAAACCAACTAAGAAAAAACAGCTCCTGACATCCAAGAGTTGTCCTGAGATGGTCAGGCAGGACCTGCTGTGTGTGGCTCAAAGCTGCCTGGGACCTCACACAGAAGCTATACTGTTCTGCTATACAACTGAGGCAACTCTGTAATGTGAGAACACAGAGCATGAACAATGTTCAACATACAAAAATGACCAAAGAGTCCCCAACCTGCTAACAAAATCAACTGCTGTTTTCACCAACCACAGCTTTAAATTTGATGTAATCTGCTTTCCTTAGAGATGAGATTTATTGGGACACTGAATCAGAAAATCATACCTGCTTTTTGACAGCAATTCAGAGCAAACCCTTAATTATGCGCTTCCCCAATCTAAAGCAAGCCCTAATCATTTAAATCCTTTATGCCACTCTCTTACTGAGATACCCACTTCCCAATTCTTCAGGGTGTATTCTCCCTCACAAGAGTAATAGGTCTAAGTTGTTCAACTACAGATAGGGCTCTAGGGGTCTTTGGCTGGGTGGCATAAACAAAGCAGAAAAATAACCTATAATCCCACCCCAGGCCAACCACTGTTAATATTTTGGCATATTTTCCTCCTCATTTTCTTTCTTTACATTTCTTTATATAGTTGAGATCTCTACACTTCAGTCATTTTCATCTACTTCCCCTCCTTGGGAATGAATATGTTTCTTGTTGCTTCATAAACATTCATATTATCTTTTTATATAAAGGCAAGCTTCTTGTAATTAGGGACTACATTGTTTGGGTGTTTTTTTTTTTTGGGGGGGGGTGTTATGTTTTATGTTTCTTAGTGTCCTAATAGCATACGAACAATCAGGAATATATTTAGTTTGCCATAAATTCTTGTTGACTAACAAAAAGATCCTTCACTTTATTCATTTATTTATTCTTTGGTGGTACAGGAGCTTGATTCAGGGCTTCACACTTGTTAGGTAGGCACTCTACCACTTGAGCCACTCTACAGCCAGATCCTTCTCTTTAGGTTAATAGTCTAATATACTTTCTCGGCATCATTTTATCTTTGATGTAGGTACACTGAGCATTTACCTCCTGGTCTAAACGCCAACAATTTTGGCCAATAGCACTGAAACTGCAGATGAAAACCTGTAAAGTTGTTCCATGGTATGAGTACCACTCAGTGAATGACCTGATAGCTGGAATAATGAACCCATTATTCTTCTGGTCCAAATCTTTAAGACTTGAATATCATATGCCTCTCATTTGGCACATAAGGAAATGGACAGCACTCCCATTGTTCCCTTTAGTTCATGATGTCCCAGAGGCAAGTGCAGAAGCATCATCATTACATCAGCATGACAACAAGAAACTCACACATAGGGACTGTGGTGTGTGCTTACTCATATATACGTGCATAAAAACAAACATATATTAACCAAAGCAAACAAGATGTCATTCCCATCCACTGTCCTGAGTGACAGAGCCAAGGAAAGAAACAGAAAACACTGTTCATGCCACATGCTTGACACTGAGAAAAAAGTACATACAAATAAAACAGGGTTCTTAACCTTGGCATGTAGGCATTTGGAGTTGGGTAACTCTTTGTTGTGTAGATGTCCTATGCGTTGCAGATGGTTAGTGGCAACATCACCAAAAGTCCTGAGGTGTGAGGACAGGGTGGTAGTACTGTCCCCTACCCTGAACTACTGAACTACAGCAACATGCTTTCATGGCTTTGATCAATGCTGTGCACTGATGACAGGCAGAAACAGTTACCTAACCAGAGTGCTCTCATGTACTCCTACCCACACAGTCAACCTCTTATTAGATGGTTCCACTTGGAAAACGCTCAGGCACCTCATCTCCCTGCTGAATATCATCCTCTACTCTGGTATTCAAGCTGAGAATTCACCTGCGTTCTTCTTTACTCCCATCTCTACAGTTAATTATCTGTATCCTCTTTGCTATCCTATGATACTGCCTTAATTCTGGCACACTTAATGTTTTTATTGTCTCCACCCTCCACTGACATCCTTTTAAGCCACAAAGCTGATCATCCTTTTGTTCATTCTCCATTATGATGTCATAGCTATGATGTTATATGTGATTTTAAATGATGATCCAGTAAAGGTGGATCACAGTCTTCCTCTGACAGCATCAAAAGAAAATACTAGGATTACAGACATGATAGACACCTGCCTAGCAAGTCTGAGGCGCTGAGTTCAAACAACAGTATTGTCCAAAATAAGGAAAAAAAAAAAAAACAAAACAAAAGTAAAAAGCTGAACATTTTACTACTAATAACCACTAAAGAAAGAAGTAAGATTGCATGGTGCAAATGTTGAAAATGGGCTACAAAGGAGAGAGAATTCTAGGATGGCTAGGGAAGAATACTCAGGAAAGAAAGTAAGCTAACAAAATCTTAATGTCCATTAATATTACAACATGGAGAGAAGCAGCCTAAGGAGAAGCTACCCCTAGAAAAAATTAAAGAAAGCCCTTGGATACACATCATCAAGGGATTCCAGCAGAATCAGGAGGAAATGCCACAGCCCTCCATTTCCCAGGAAGCTGTGTAACACTGAGGCATAGCTGCATGACAGAGGGACAAGGCAGGTCCAACATGAGATCTTTCCTGGGATACCTCTCAGAAGAGAATATGCTCAGGTCTCTTCAGAAGGATAAACTTAGCAGTAAATTTCATTCCTGTCCCTTTACAGATAGAGACACAAAGCAATTAGCCAAAAGCTGTAGTGGGTAAGCACTCAAAATGCAGTGTGTAAGCACCAGGAAAACCAGTTTCAAGGAGAGTGAGGAATGGGATAAGAGAACTCATCCATTCTGTATTAGAACAAAGAGAAGATTTTGGAAGGATTAACCACCAAGATAAGAAAGGAGCCAGGCATGGTGGTACATGCCTGTAATCTCAGCTACTCTGGAGGTTGAAGCAGAGAAGAGTTAAAGAGACCGGCCTAGGCTCCACAGCAAGATCTTGTCTCAAAATAAAAAATAAAAAGGGCTAGGGGTGTTTAGCTCAGTGGTACAGCATGTTTAAAGCCTTAAGTTCACTCTTTAGTGCTGGGGGTGAGGGGAGATTTAAAAAGATAAAAAGGAAGACCCATGGCAAAGAAAGAGAGGGAAGGAGAACAAAGACTTAAGTTAGTCCATAGTGAATGTAGTAGGAATAGTCAAAAATTAAAGGAATTAGACAAATGATACACAATGCCAAGGGATCTAACATAAGAATAATTGGTGACCTTAGATTAGTAAATTCTATATGAGTGAAAAAAAGCACTCAGACATACAGAGAGGAAAATTTCCCTGGGATAATGAAAAATTGACTCTACAAAATAAAAAGGGACATGAGATTTCAGTTATCTACCACTCCGAACAAAACACCCCCAGAACCACCAGCAACAAAATGTAAATGACAGTGACACATTTCACCTCAGTTACTAAAGTTCAAAGACAAAGAAGTTTTTCAAGTAGAAAAAGCAAGTCACCTACCAAACCAATGATCACACTTGCCTCAGACATCTTTACAGATACATTCAGCATCCAAAAATCAGGCTGCAATTTCTATAAAGGCTGGTAGAAACATTGCAACCAATAAAAAATTGTTCCCAGATAACCTGTCTGTCAATTATAAAGACAACAGGCAGGCATTCTTAATTGTGAAAATAATTTATGAAATAAAGTTGGATAAATTATTAATAAATAGAATAAACCTGATGAGATTACTGGCAAAGGATGAAACAAAAAACCAGAAAATACATAAACTGGCAAAAGTGCTGGTGTGAGTCCTGGGTCTATTTAAACATGAAACTAAGATGAGTGTAAGCCAGGCACCAGTGTCTCACACCTGTAATCCTAGCTACTCAGGAGGCAGAGACCAGGAGGATCACAGTTTGAGGCCAGCCAGAACAAACAGTTCATGAGACCCTATCTCAAGAAAACCCATCACAAAAAAGGACTGGCAGAGTGGCTCAAGGTGTAGGCCCTGCGTTCAAGCCCTAGTACCACCAAAAAAAAAAAAAATTATGAGTGTAGAAGAGAAAGTATATACACAGATAAAAATATGCAAGGAACAAAAACTGGGCAGGGGAAGAAAAGAAGTACAAGATGGTAATGAGATCATTACTTAGACTGACACATCTAAAATGAAATACGGGCCAGGCTCCGGTGGCTCACACCTAGGTACTTGGAAGGCTGAGATTGGAAGGATCACAGTTTGAGAAGCCTGGGGAAATGGTTCATCTCCAAAATAACCAGAGCAAGGAGGGAGTGAATCTAACTAAGATATACTGTAAACACTTTTGTAAATGTTGTAATGTATCCCCAGTACAACAATATGCTACTAAAAATAAAATAAAATTTAAAACAATAATAACCAGAGAAAAATGCACTGAAATGGCTCAAGTGATAGAGCACCTGCTTTGTGAGTGCCTGCTTTGCAAGCACGAAGCCCTGAGTTCAAACCCCAGTCCCACCAAAAAAGAAATATGGTTATGTATTTAGTTGTAATTTCCTCTGCTTCTGACTTTCCTAACGTTTTTAACAACTCTCAGAGCATTATTTTGGAGAAGAAAATATTTTACAGATGAGAAATACTAACTAGAAGTCTAATAATTTCTTTCATTTTGTCCTTCTAGATTTTAAATTAACTTTCTTTAAATACTGTACTTAAGCTTATTCCCCTCCTCATTCACTCACCATCCACCAACTGTGCCGCACAGAAATGTTTGGAATAATGTCTCATTAAATTTCAGTGCATATTATCTACAGTAGTGCAAAGCATGATCACTTGCTTTCTTCTTTGTATTTTGTATATATTGCTTAAATCAATACTGTACAGACATCTTAAAAGTTGGCTAAGCCAACATGGAGGACAATTCAACACTGTGGCTTCAAAGCTCAATTTTTCTCTGGATGTTTACAATGGGCCTATTTGTATTTATAAAGTTTCTATGCCATGTCAAACACACTCTGATGGTCAAAGATCAAAGGCATACAAAAAGTTTTTTATTTTTTAATAGCCATCATTCTTTTTTTATTCTGCTAGGTAGGGGTCCATTGTGGCATTTACAAAAGTTTTTACATTGTATCAAATGTATCATACTTCAATTCACCCCCCTACTGCTCTCCTTTATCCCCTCCCCTCATTCCCAGAATATTTTTGCATCTACATACATGTGTACACAGTATTTGCATGGTATTCACCCTCCTACAGTAATATTTCAAAAATATCAGTTGAACATTTAACTCCAAATGTTTCTCTTTTGTTTACCTTTATTTTGACCAAATAAAGATGAGACTGGACAGTCTCTTCACTGATCAAAAACAGTTCACTTCCCTCTTTGGGAGCTACAGGTCTGACAAATACTTAAAGCTAGAGAAAGGAAGTAATCAGCTATCCTGAATTACCACTGTGAAGAAGTAGTTTTTCATTACCTGCACTGCCTACAGTTCCGGGTTCCTCTTCCAATTCTTGCTAAGCCCCTTTGCCCATGAAAATTGCCCCCCATGCTGTGTATCTTAATCCCTCCCCCAAGTTAGTATAAAATTTCAGCTAATTGAGAAGATTCTGAACTTTTTTTTTTAACTTTTTATTGTTTTATTATTCATATGTGCATACAATGCTTGGGTCATTTCTCCCCCCTGTCCCCACCACCTCTCTTACCACCCACTCCGCCCCCTCCCTCTCCCTCCAACCCCCTCAATACTCGGCAGAAACTATTTTGCCCTTATCTCTAATTTTGTTGAAGAGAGAGTGTAAGCAATAATAGGAAGGACCAAGAGTTTTTGCTAGTTGAGATAAGGATAGCTATACAGGGAGTTGACTCACATTAATTTCCGAGATTGTGAACTTTTGATCTGGACCAATCCAGATCAAGAGGCAGGGTCAGTCGTATCAGAAATATAAGGAGGGACACACTGCCCTGCCCCTTTGTGTGTGCTGTGCCCATGTGCCTGCACACCCTTCTGCAGAAGTAAATTTTGCCTTACTGAGACAATTCTCCATTTCTGTGTCTTCAATTGTGACTCCAGCGCTCTTCAGGGTCTTATTTCTAACACTACCTGCTGTAACTGTCTCTGTTTAAAAACAACAGAATTGGGGCTAGCTAGCATAGTGGCTCAAGTAACACAGTGCCTGCCTAGCAAGTGTGAGGCCCTGAGTTCAAACTGAGTACCACCAAGAAAAAAAGGAACACATGCCAATTGCTTTACTCACTTTTGTGATAGTTTTTAAGATGGCAAGACGATCTGCTGGAGGTGGTAAACCAACAAAGAGTGTCTTGTCCAGACGGCCTGGGCGCAGAATTGCAGGGTCAATGATATCTAGAAGAGAAGGAAGGGAAAAAGTCTCAAATAAATGAAATAGAGCAGTTTTTAAAATGTAATTAACATGAGATATGGGAAAAGCTGTTTTTGAAAAAGTTAAAAACTGGTTAAATTGGACACTAGGAAAATTAAAAGCTTTTGTTCACCAAAATATATCCTTGTGAGAATGAATATCCACCCCCACCTTCTGGCCCCATATCTGCTCCTCCCCAATCTCAGTGTGAACTCCCATATCCCTAATCTCAAATCAGGCAGGTTTCTCTCTTTCCTCTAACCAGGCACAAGTTCTAATAAGTCTTCCTCTGATTATCTCAAATCCAGGCCAAATATAAATCCTCTTAAGTGATCCAGCTTCTGAACTTCCCTTTTTTAGGCCCCCTTACAATGCTGCCAGGATTATCTTCCTAAAATAAATATCCATTCTCTAAACTCCTACTCACTATAGTGTAGAATGGAGCCTACATTTCCTACTATAGCAGGAAGACCCTTTAAGAACTGAACATCTCCCTTTTACCTCTACTACATATTCTCCCAACCCCAGCATACTATTTATCAGCTCTCTCAGTATCCCGTACCTGATCCACAAGGTTCATGCCACATTCTCTTGGCCCTCAGTGGCTCCTTTTCCTGAAATACCTTCCCCCTTATTCGTATCTATTACAAAAGGATACCTCCTTCCCAGAAACCTTCCCTCAGTGATAATGATATCACTGATAATGATAAACCCATTTTTGGCATGTATTTTGTTTTGTTTTTTTTGTGGGACTGCGGTTTGAACTCAGGACTTCATGCTTTTAAAGCATGCTTATAAAGCTCTACCGCTTGAGACAAACCTCCAATCCATTTTGCTCCAGTTATTTTTTGGAGATAGAGTCTCTGTCCAGGCTGGCCTCGAATGGTAATCCTCCAGGTATCAGCCTCTCGAGTAGTTAGGATTATAGGCATGAGCCACCAGAACCCAGCTTAGCCATGTTTTGAGTAACAGACCATCCTAAAACCATTGTTTCCATGCTTGGAAACTTAACAAAATTATTAGGGGTTGCTAGGTGACAGGACCACTGTCTATATGGGAATTCAACACAAGAACCACCATTTTGAGACTTTCGTGCTCCCATCTCCTGCTTGTCAAGCAGAACATGCTTCCCTTTTCTATTTCTCCCTACTTTATCCTGTTTTGCTAAATAAATTCCTGCTAATTTTCCACCTTGGGAGATTCTACTTTTTGTGAAACCCCTTGAAATGCCTTTTTGTTGTGAACATCAAGTTTCTTGATTTACATGGAAATTAGAAAACTGAGGGATTCCCCTCATCCTTTCCACAATAGAGGGGTTGGGAGTATAGCTCTGTGATAAGAGTGTTTGATTAGCAAGCCCAAGGCTTTGGGTTCAATCCCTAGCTCTGCAATAAAAAATTTAAAAGCTAAGCAGAAAACTTTATAAAGCCAATGTCCCATGATAGTATACAATGCAAAAGAACTTTCAAATAATCATAAATACAAGTGCAAATGATCTGGACTATTATTAAATATATGTAGCTATCAACACAATGGGGCTTGTTATGGGGAAAAAAAGGATGGGTGAGGTACAGCACAGAGGAAAATACACACATGTACCAGAAGGACAAACACAGGTCCTCTAGGATTCATCTGTTACTTTTAACAAGGCCCAAACTTAATACAGACTATTATGCTAAGCATTGAGTTTTACAATTAAGAAGATGCTGAAGAATCTGTAAAGAACTACAAGATGAGTACAGATGGGGTTAAAAAAAAAAAACATGGGGAAAGGTAATATACAAGAATGTTTGAAGGAGTGGATATAAGGAAAATCTAGCAGCACTGAAGGACCCACTGTTCTCTAATCTACTGAGATTAAACTAAAAGAAAAAGTTGTTTACAACAAACATGGAAAATAGTGAGCTCTTATTGCAGGGCACTGAGGGAGGGAGGGTATAGGGACAACAATGTTGGATAATATCATCAGCCACGGAATAAAATGGTCTGTGACATTATTCAATCTACAACTTGGAGATTCACAAGGGACATAGGAGCAACTTAACTGACACACAGCTGCTGCACAAGTTAAAATGAGGCTTTGCAAGCTTGCACCTACCATGTAACATTCGCTCAGTTGATGGCCATGCATTTTCAGTCAGAATCTATGTACAAATATGTGCATATTCCTTAAGTACATACAATTTAGATCTAAAAACCTTTATGATTAGGTGAAACATCAGAAATAGAAGAAAAATAATACCACAGAAGCTCAGATTGAACAGTGTGGCAGTGCCAGGTAATACATCAGACGTGGTTTCTTTACTTCCTTACATTCTTTGGGTATGGTTATGGCACTTGCAGTACTTGCAGGTACTGGTGCTAGATAGAGAAGCCTTATTTTTTGTTATGGCAGCCTGCTATTTTTGTAACATGGTGATTGGGTTGAACACAATCAAAGTACAGTAATAACTGATCTCTGCTTCTTCCTGGGTGAGTAAGCAGATGATTAAATACTAATTAAATGAGCAGTGTTTGGTTACTGCTGCTGTCTGAAATAATGCTGTATTTTGATTGTGGTCTAAAGCTTTGAAGTGCTGCTTGGCATCTCTCTTCCATGGAGCTTTCACCATTCAAACATGACAGATTTGGTAAAGTACTAGTTAGGGGACTTTTGCTTGCCTTCATTCGGTCATTTTTGTATGAATTCAGTGAGGGGGAAAGCATTTTTTTTCCCTGATGTTCATGAAGAGAGTTTGTATTTAGAACTGTGCCACTAATGAAAGGAAATCCTGTCTAGGAAAGTGTGTTTCTTTAAAGAGCTGTGTTATACCATCCTTTGGGTCCTCTGTTGGAAAAGCAGTATCAAGTCTCAAATAATGCTCCCCTTTTTTTTGGAGGGGTACTGGGGCTTGAACTCAGGGTCTTCACCACCAGCCACTCCACCAGCCCTACTTTTGTGAAGGGTTTTTCAAGATAGGGTCTCACAAACTATTTGCCTGGGCTGGCTTTGAACCATGATCCTCCTGATCTTTGCCTCCTGAGTAGCTGGGATTACAGGCGTGAGTCACTGGTGTCTGGGTAGAATAATGCCTTTTTAATTTTATCCTCTAGTATTACAGATGTAGGACAGTATGTATCAAACCTCAGTGAATGTCAAGTGTGTTGTACCGGCTTTATGATACAGAGTAGTGACTGTGCTTTATCAAAGCTTTTGTTAATGATGTTACTCTAGAATATTTTCTTTCCACATGATGATTGAGAAGTTAATTAAAAAAAATAAATAATGGTGCCAGGAACCACAACAGTAACAGAACTTTGCTGTTTTCTGGGGTTTTGTTTTTCATTTTTTTCTTAATGGAGTGTGCTGGATGTCTCTACAATTCTGTTGAGATGACTACAGAACCTGGAAAAGTTGTTGCTGCTATCAATGCGTAACATGCTATTATCAGTCTTTTTATATAAATATAAATACATACACACACACACACACACACATACACATAATTTGAATTTCTGGAAACTAGCTGTGCTGTCAACTTTGGAAAAAAGTATCCCAGTTTACCGTGTTGAGTTGGCATTGTACAGAAATTAATAGTCATGTCGGTCTAGAAACATTAAATGATAACAAAACTATAAACTATGACTTCCCATTTTTTCATTATAAAATGAAATGCTAGATAATTCATCATGGTTTTGGTTTCTACAGCAACTTATAAGAAATGAACATTTAGCCAGGTGCCAGGGGCTCATACCTGTAATCCAGCTACTCAGGAGGCAGAGATCAGAAGGTTGCAATTTGAGGCAACCAGGGCAAATCGTTCATGAGACCCTATCTCGAAAAAGCCATAGCACACACACAAAAAAATGGAGCCGGTGGAGTGGTTCAAGATGTAGGCCCTGAGTTCAAGTACCAGTAATGCCAAAAAAAAGAAAATGAACATTTGTACCAGTTTGACAACTGATCAATTCAGTTAAGCTACTGAAGAACTTTTCATTGCTAGCACAAAGTTAACACAAACATCCCAGCAGAACAGCTATGAAAGAACGCTTATATGGAGGGCAAAGGACTAAACAATATCGGATCCAAAATAAAAGGACTAAACAATTTTGGATCCAAAATAAAAGCCACCTTGAATACTTCTCAAGTCTAAAGCCTTTTTCTAAGTTTGCCTCATAATGTTTAAGCTTGAAAACAATTCTAAATCATAGTTAAGGGCAGGCAGAAGAGCAAAGCTCTAGCATATAATCTCAAAAATCTTCAACTTTCAGATACAGTGAAGGGTATGGTTCTTGTTTCCTATAAGCTTGAGAAAAACCAGAGAACACAATTTTTGAGAGTACTTTTGAAGTCAAAAATGTATGTTGAGCTGGGTGCCGGTGGCTCACACCTATATTCCTAGCTACTCAAGAAGCAGAGATCAGGAGGATCACAGTTCAAGGCAAGCCTGGGCAAATAGTTTGTGAGACCCTATCTTGAAAATACCCAAAACAAAAACAAAGGGCTGGCAGAGTGGCTCAAGCAGTAGAGCAGCTGCCTAGCAAGCTTGACACCAAGTTCAAACCTCAGTACCCATGGTAGCACACATCTGTAAGAGGATCAAGAGTTCAAGCCCAGTCTGGGCTACATAGCAAAGCAAAACACAAAGAAAAGAACATGTTTCAAGCATTCTCTGCTAACAAGACAACTTTCTAAGCACCAAAAAAAGAAAAACAATCTCATGGGATTTAGGCAACAATACTATGCTTTTTACTGTAGTTTACATAAAAACTTAGGCTTCATTTCAGCTTATGAGCCAAAAAAGGATTGCCCACATTTAATCTTCCTTTACTAGAATGTTATATAAATTATATTGTTTACAAATGCTGCAAGTTTTCAGACTCATTTGTGTGATGTTTTTTCTTACCTGGCCTATTAGTGGCTGCCATAATAAAAACCTGCTGACGTGCTTCCAGACCATCCATCTCTGTAAGCAGCTGATTCACCACCCGGACACTTGCTCCTGTCTAAGAAATAAATCTAATTCCATCAGCCCTCAATGGAAGGAAAAAAAATTAATAGCTCTTTTTTTTCTGTACAAAATAATACATTTGCTAACTTGAATGAAGGCTTTTTTTCAAAGCAAGCAACAATGACCATGAGCCTATAGTCCCAGGATCACTTGAGCCCTGGAGGTTGAGATAAGGAGGAGGAAGGAGGTAGGGAGGGAGGGAGGGAGGAAGGAAGGAAGGAAGAAAGGAAGGAAGGAAGGAAGGAAAGAAAGAAGGAAAAGAAAGAGGGAGGAAGGGGAGGGAGGAGGCAGGAAGGAGAGAAAGAAAAGAAAAGAAAGACAACCACTACTGATAAGTAGCAGTTAGCCATGAGCAATAAAGGTATGCAAAGGAAATGTAAAATGGAGGCTTCTTCCAAGGTCTCAAGTCCTTGAGGCATAGAAAATGTTTAGGTAGCAGGTAAATATAAACAGTGACCATGGGAGGAACAGATTGTCGCCAGGCCATAATACACACCATTCTAATCGAGGATACATACCCCACCATCTGTCAAAGGAACCAATGACCACCGATTCCATTCCCCCACCCAATGTTCCTATGACCCTCTACTTACAAACACCCTTAAATTCACACTAAGTCCACCCCCACTTGGCTGATACTGTCTCTGGCACCTGGCCACATTCCTCCCTTGGAAAGTGAACAAACCATTGCCTCTGTGCTTTCATTCCAGCTTTTGTGAAATTGCTCACACCCCATACACTGGCCACACGACTGGAAACTAACAGTCACTATATTCAAGTGCTGTGTAAAACACATTGTCGTTAGTGGAATTCCCCCATCAATCGTGTTATTATTTGCAGTCTAGATGAGACAATGAGGCTTACAGAAGCTATTTGTCTGTAGTCTCATCGCTAGAAGGGGAGAGATGAAACTTAAGTCTCTGGCGTGGCTGACCTCAAAGTCTTATACTTCTGAATTATTCAAGGATCTAATAGCCACTACAAACCTAGATTCTAGGTTCGAATCTAGATTCGATATCTAAATCTGTATTTCCCAAGTTTATCAAGTGTTCCAGATCTTTCAGTGCAATATGTACAGGAGCACCAAGGACACAGGCTTCCCACTTCCCAGGTTCTATCCTGCATATTCGCATATCTGCAATAAAGATGTGAGACAAATGTCCAGGATGGTTCTGTCTGTAAGAGAAACAACTGAAGGCAATGTAAATGTCCAAAATAAGGGAATTAAAAGGCAAATCATCTGCATCCAGAGCATACAGCATACATGAAGAACATATTCCACAGTCTACATTATGCTTTAAAAAGTCATTAATAAACAAGGTTATTACATGGGAAAATTATCAAGAGAGAATAATCACATTTGTACAAACGACAGAAGTCTGAACTACATATGTGTTTAAGGAAAAAAGTCCTAGAATGATACATACGCAACACTAAAATGCTAGCAGCAGCAACTCCAAGAAGAGTACCAGAGAGGCAGAAGACTTCCAATTCCTCTACACTGGTGTTTTATATGAATTTTTTATAGTCATGAAAAAAATGTACTTTCAGAAATATAGCCCCTTCTTTAGTGATCTTATAATAAATGTACTTGTTAAATACTCATTGCTATCTGTTTCCAAAAGGTTATAATCTTTTTTTTTCTTTGCTTGAGCCACTCTGCCAGCCCAGGATATACATGCATTTTTTGTGTGTGTGTGTGTGGTACAGGGATTTGAACTCAGGGCCTACACCTTGAGCCACTCTACCAGCCTTTTTTTTTTGTGATGGGTTTTTTCGAGATAGGGTCTCATGAACTATTTGCCCTGGCTGGCCTCAAACCATGATCCTCCTGATTTCGCCTCCTTAGTAGCTAAGATTACAGATGTGAACCACTGGCTCCTGGCAAAGTTATACATTCTTTACATTAGGCTTCAAACTTTTATCTAGTGGTACTCCTCACAACTGCTGTCATTCTCTGTACTGAAGTCTCTAAGAACTGTGATTCAGTGTGGCTGATGTAGGTACAGATCAGTATCTTCTCCAGATAGTAATGGGACTTGGTCTTTCAACTAATAACCTAGCTCAATTTTGAATGCATGTTGTATTAAATTATACTTTGTCTTATTCAAAAACCAATTTGTTTTTTCAAGAAACAATTTAACTAAAGAGGATTGTAAGACTACAGTCAGGCAAAATATTCAAAATTACTATGATTTCCAATCTCAACTACTCACTTGTGTGAATCACGATTACCTATATATTGCACAACCAAAATAATATACAGTATAGGGAAAGAAAATGGATACAGAATACAAGTGTTATCTCTAAGCTCTGATCTAATTCCCAGGGTTTTCATTCTAAGAATCACAGTGGGAGAGATGTGGTGAAATATTCCTGCAATCCCACCTACTCAGAAGTCAGAGACAGGAAAATCACGGTTGGAGGCCAGCCTTGGCTGGCCAGACCCTATCTCGAAACACAAGCTGGGAGTGGTAGTGCACCTCTGTAATCCCTGCTACTCAGGAAGCAGAGGTTGGAGAATCATGGTCCAGAGGCCAGTCAGGGAAAAAGCCTGAGATTGTGAAGTAAAAAGGGCTGTAGGCATGGCTCAAATGGTGGTACATTTGCCTTTAGCAAGCCCAAGGTCCTGACTTCAATCCCCAGTACCAGCAAAAAAAATAAAAGAACCACAATGTTCCCAAGAAATGACTTTATAAGAAGTACCTGACTTATAACTTTGTAACTTAAAAAACATTCATGGTATGTAAAAAGGAAAACTGTAAACTGCCAATCTATGACACTTACCTCTCGGTCTGATCTCCGAGGACATAAAGCATCCACTTCATCAAAGAAAATCACACAGGGTGCTGAGTTCTTCGCTCGCTGAAAAACCTGTCGCACAGCACGCTCACTCTCACCTACATACTAAACACATCCAAAAGGAAGTAAGACACAAGACAGTTCAACCTCGAGGTTGGGGCCAAATGGCAAAGCTAGTTTTAAAAGACATGTAGATGTCAGAGTACCAAAAACATTAGAGAAAACCACACACGATTGCTGATAATAAATCATTTTCGACCTAGAAAAATAGTCAATTTCAGTAGACATGATGGCGTACATCTATAATCCCAGCAGTCAGAAAGCTAAGACAGGAGAACTATGAGTTTGAGACCAGGCTGGGCTACAGAATGAGGCACTATCTCAAAAACAAACAAATAAAAACAACAACAACAAAAAACCCAACCAACTGCATATGATTCAACTTTACAAAATCAGCTATTATTTAAGCTTAATATAAATTTCTTCCTAAAATAAATACTTGAATATTTGTCTCCAGACAATTATACTGTGGCTTAGAACTGATCTTCTATGCCTTATGCAGTAAAATACCCAGCAGAAACCTTGATTAGTTCAAGAATCTTAAATGAACATAATTCAAATTACTGTTTTACTCTTACTTCTACATATATCATTTTGCCAAAATAAGCAAAAAGTGTTGTACAGCAACAGAAGAGCCAGGCTCTCACAGGTTTCATAAAGGCTTACTGTATGCTGAAATCTAAAATAAGATCAGTCAAGAAATACAGCAACTCATAAGCAGGAATAACATTAGGACTAAGTAATATGACAACTTGTATGTAAGGATATGGTTTCACTTTTTAGGTAGACATAAAAATTGTTATTACTGGGCTGGCGATGTAGCGTAGTGGTATAGCACTTGCCTAGTATGCAGAAAGATCTGGCTTGATCCAGCACCACAAAAAAAAAAAGAATTGTTCTTGTAAAATTTCAAACTACCTAAGAAAATGTTTTTTTTTTCCTTAATGAAATTTCTAAAACAGACTCTATAAGGTACCACATAATGACTATAAAGTCATAATACATAATCAAGGAAAAGCGTATGCCACATATGACAGTGATCATAATCTTTTAATTTCTCATTCGATTACAACTTTCCCTCAGATCTGTCCCACACTTTTCTGCAAACTTTTGCTCATTCTTGTTCCTTCCCTCACTTGAACGGTTTTCCCAATCTACCTGCAAATATTTCTCTTTTTTTTTGGCGGTACAGGACTTTGAACTCAAGGTTTATGCTTGCTAGGCAGGCATTCTACTATTAACTTTTTTTTTTTTTGTATTCTAAAAGATCCCTATTAAGTTTTCTTAAGTTTTCTATCCATTTTTCTGTTCTTTGTTTGTATTATATTTGGTATCACTATAACATATGAGCTCTTCTCTTACTATATTATGTTATAAAAGTATAATTATATTGTGTATTTTTAAAGTCCCCAGAAAGCAGAAGTCATGTCTGAAAGTTTTCTCTCTTGTAACATCCTGCACAATGTTCAAATATAGTAGACTGATTTTCCTTAAAACTCTCATTTGGCAAAAAATGTATTTGAAATAATGATGTTTTTTTTTTTTCCTCACAGTGCTGGGGATTGAGCCCAGGGCCTTGCAAATCTAGGCTAGCACTGTACCACTGAGCTACATCCCCAGATCACAAGCTGGGGATTTTTAAAAAATACTAGATGACATTTCAGATAGGAATGGAAGAAAACAATCAATACACTGGAAATGCAACATTGTACATAACAAACCAAAATGACCAAGAAAGTAAACTCTTAGCCACCACAACACTGACAAAAAATATGCAAGTAAAGGAGACTCCCATCTTGACTTTTAAGAAAATATTTCAAGTAAGGATCCTATACTTATTAAACATAGTTAAATCTTTCTATTCAGTTTTCAACCACATAATCTGGCTTTTGCAAAGACTATAATTAAGAATATTCTCCTTAAAGTCACCAGACTGTTTTTTGCCAAATCTAGAATCCGCTTTTCAGCTTCTTTTATACTGTTTGGTAACACTGACAAAATCGACTAGATTATCTTCCCTTTGTTTTCAGGCTTCGAAGATCCTCTAGTTGTGAACTCATCACTTTCAGTCTCCTCTACCAACTCCTGCTTCCTTACCCCTTAATTACTGACGTTTTCTAGCATTCTGTCAGTGGTGTTTAATGTACTTGACCTTATATTCTTACTTCATCTAGCAGACCTATCCACTCCCAAGGTTTTATGTACCACTTAGCTGATACTAACTCCCAACTCTCTTCAGAGCTCCAGATTCACATTTCCTGTTGTCTGTAGGACATTTCCAAACAGCTCTCTAATTCTAAAATGTCCTTGAACAAACTCATTTTCTAACCCCAAGATGTCTATCTTAAGCATTAGATCACCTAATCAACCTCTGTCACTCTGGACTCTTCCATAGGCCTCTTCCTATACTTACCTCTAAAAAATAAATCAGATAAATTTTCTTACTCATTAGCCTGGCCAAAAAAAAAAAAGTAAAAAAATCTGATACCACCAGTGCTAGCAGGATGCAAAATAATCTGATACAAACATTTTATGAAAAAAGTTTATAATACCTAATATTTTTTGAAAGTGCACATACTCTAAGGTGTAGTCATTCTACTGTTTTATATATATATATATATATATATATATATATATATATATATATATGTACTCGGGGTGGGGGGTTGGGGGAGATCTCATAAACTTGCCAGAAGATATATATATAAAATGTTTAACCTAAATACACATCAAGAAAAAAACCTGAATTTTAAAAATTCTTTCTTTTACCTCTTTTTATTTTGGTGGGACTGGAGTTTTGAGTTCAGGCAGGGCTTTGGGCTTGCAAAACAGGTACTCCACCTCTTGCACCACTCCATCAGTTCATTTTGCTCTAGTTATTTTTTAGAGATGGGGGGGATCTCTCAAACTATTTGCCTACATTGGCCCCCCAAACCAAGATCCTCCCAATCTCAGCCACCAAAGTAGTTAGGATTACAGGTGTGAGCCACTGTGCCTGGCCTTTTTTTTCACTACTGAGGTTTGAACTTAGGGCTTTATACTTGCTAGGCAGATGTTCTATCACTTGAGCCATATCCCTAGCCCCTAAATTTTTTTGAAAGTATGGTTATACTCAATTCAGTGGAATATAAAACAGAAAATTAATACACTAGAGGTAAATGTAGCAACAAAGATTAAGCATTATAATATTGAACAAAAATAAGCAAGCCAGACTGTAAAAGAATATATACCATTAACATAAAGCAGGTTCTTTTGGCTTTAATGTTTGAGAAGAATTCCACATACATCACTAAAGTAAATTTATTAGTACAATGAATCCTAAATGTACCTATTACCCAGCTCCCTTAATCATCAACTTAATTCATGACCAACCCTGCTTCATCTATACTCATGTCCACTTTTTTTCCCTTGAATTTTTTGAAGGAAATCATAGGTATCATATTTTCAGTACCTCAGGACTGGGAGAGTGGCTCAAGAAGTAGAGCACTTGCCTACCAAGTATAAGGTCCTGAGTTCAAACTCCATTACCAAAAAAAAAAAAAAAAAAAAAAAGAAATCAGTATTTCCTTAGGGCTACAGATGTAGCTCAGTGGTAGAGTATGTGCTTATTCAATCCTCAGCACTGCAAAAAAAATTTTTTTTAAATCCTTAATAGTCTCATAAACATCATACTTTCAAAACATATAAAGTAATAATATAAAGCTTGGTGATGAAGACACATGAGGTTTCATAGTACTCTTTATAAACTTGAAATATTTCATAATAAACTTCATAATAATTTCTAAAAATATTACAGGTATTCAACAAGATGTTACAATCTTGCTTTAAAGTCTCTATTAGCATATTCTGAAAAAAAAAAAAAACATTCAAACTGTAGCTTGATATAAAGGCCCTTCACTGGCTATAACCTTTTCCAACCTCAACTCCCACCAATCCCTTCCCAAGGGATCATTTCTAAAACCTCCTCTGCTAGAAAGTCAAAATGAAGTACAAGAAATGAGCACAGTAAACACTTAAGTATAAACCCCTTATTGTAGGGGAATAAACTCAGTGATATTGTGCTTGCCTAGTACCCGTGATGCTGAAGTCCCAAGTTCCATCCCCAGCACTGAAAATTAAAAGGTGTGGGGAGGGGTGATAGAGTGGAGTGAGGAACAACAACACGTACTAAGAATATAGAGCAATGGCAGAGTGTGTGCTTAGCATACACTGAGTTCAATACTTGACACCAAAAACAAACAACAGGATAAGCCTAAAACAAATAGCATTAATTTCTTCTTTGTTTGGAGCATGGCATGGTGGTTCACACCTATAATACCAGCTATGAGGGGAGGTGGAGGAAATAGGATCAGTTGGATCCTACTTGCAAAAGACAGCAAGACTGTCTCAAAACCAAGTCAAGCATAGTGGCTCATGCCAGTAATCCCAGCTAATCAAAAGGCAAAGGCAGCACTGGCACAGGCAAAATCATGAGACTTAGCTCAAAAAATACAGACGCAAAAGGACTTTAAGGGTATGGTTCAAGTGACAGGGCACTTGCCTAGCAAGCATGAGGCCCTGAGCTCAACTCCTGGTATGGCTAAAAAAAGAAAGAAAAAGAAAATGTGTTTGAATATATTAGAAACATTGAATGACATTCTTTACATAGGGATGAATGGGAAATAAGAAATTCAGTATCTTAAATCTAAAATATAAATTTTCAATGCAGAAAGGCACTTTAACCACTTGAGTGATTTCTTTCCCCTAAAGCACTTTTTTTTAATAATTAATTCAAGAACCACACAACAATAAAACAGAGAAGCAGATTAGGACCAGGCAACCTGGATTCAAATCTGAGCTCTATTCTACTACTTCCTAGCTGCCAAACTTTGGCAAGCTATATAGCCTCTCTATACTGAGGATGCCTCAGGGTTATTGGAGAATATCTGTAAAGGGCTTGACAAGTACATGGTAGAGTAAACACAGTAAGATGTTAATGATTGTAAAATATTATTTCCATTTTGCAGGTATGAGAACTTGGGTTCAGAAATTAAGTAGACTTAATCAAGAAAGCATTTATACACCCCAAGTGGTAAAGCAAAACTCAATCTCTAACTCCAACAGCAGTTATTTTTACCAAAATACAAATGTCCCAAATTCTGATCATTTAATCTGTAATTTGAATGACTATTGCTTTTCCTAATTAAAATAATGGATAATGCCACAAAACTTACCATATTTAGTAATTCAGGGCCCTTGACAGATATAAAATTTAGTCCAGACTCATTTGCCACAGCCTAGGAAGAAACAAAAAGACACAAATAAGGCAAATATAAAGTAATAACAATGTGATTTTAACTCTATTTTCTTCTTTCTAGAGTTGCTTCTTATTAGAAGGATAAGACAGAAATGGGAAAAAAATCAATAAAAGGAAAATCAAAGGAAGTAAATGTTAGCCTACAGCTTTCTGATATCATTGAACCTGAATAAAATCACTCAGAACTTCAAAATGACCAGAAAACAGAGTTCTTTTCTATTTCTAGAACCTGATACCTGAGATCCAGAACTACATTCAACATTCCTCAGCATCTCCATGGATCACATAGGTATTCAAACCTATCATTTTAGAAATGAGACTCCCAGCAAACTCAGCCTCCAACCTTTTCCACCTCATCTCAGTAAAAATCTTGGTATCTCCCTGCATCCCCTGTCTTATTCATGTTACCCCATCAACTTGTTCATCCTATTAGCTCCAATGCTAAATTGCACATGAGTCTGAAACCATTCTCCAGTATACCATCATGCCCATGGAGACCTCATCTTCTCTTGTCTGGATAGGCAGAGATACCCATAACTGCTTTCCTTTCATTCTTGCTTTTCTCCAGTAAATTCTCTAGACAGTGGCCAGAGAACTTTTATCATTTTACTACATGTCCCATTCATCGTCAAGTTGTTCAAGTACATCTTGAGATACACATCATGGTATCCAGTTGGGAAATAACTTCTCTTTACTCCAACCACTTACTTGTTCCTTCTTTGGTTCTCAAACTCACCAAGCCCTATTCCATTTCGGGACTTCTGGAAGTGCATTTTTCTCTATTTTCCCTTCTTTCTTCATGTCACTAGCTGGCCCTCCAAGTCTCTGTACCATTCCTTGAACACCATTATCTAAAGTAGCCACTTCTCAATCACTCTATCACAACACTGTATTTCCCTTCTGACTTAACTGATTCTGCAATTATATTGTTTTACTTGTCTATGCTGTTCTCTCCCAAACAGACAGTAGTTTGATTAGAAAAGGTGTGTTGCTCATTAGTTTATCCCTAATACCTCAAACAATTTCTGGCAAATAATAGGTAGTTCAATAAATGCTTATGAACTAATGACATGCATAAATGTTGTGTTGGGCAAAAATTGCTCAATGTATGGATTATCCACATCTCTCAACGCTTCTCTTTTTTGCTGCCAAATTTCATAACTTTCCCTCTTTTGCTCAACACTTTAGTACAAGAAAGTCATCTAATAACGCAACCACATTAGGTTTTCAACATATAGGATTTAACCCATTGAAACCCCAATTAGTTTATGAAGTAGGTAAAATCTTGTCCTCTAAATGAAATAGTGAACAAAGTTTAATGCTTTTTCCCATATGATTGGTGAATGTCATAATAAAATACTTTTTTTTGGTGTTACTGGAATTTGAACTTGGGGCTTTGTGTTTATGAGGCAGGTCCCTCATCATGAATCTTGCCCTCAGTGTCAGGACCACTTTTCTTCCATACTATGTCCTTAGAGATAACTAGCCTCTTCTCAGTTATCCTCTGATCAGTCATTAATTTCCAGTGTGCTGGTTCAAGTAATCAGTTTATGCTATTTATATGCTTATTTTATGCTGTTTATACATTTAATAGCTACTGTTCCTTAGTAAAACTATATTATTTTATTCTGATTAAACAAAACAACCAAGATTAGCTAAAATCTTGGTTGGTATCAGTTACCCGATACCAACCGATAGGTGCCTCTATGAATTTACTATAAAGTTTAGACATTTTCTATTATTTCTGGATTCTTGGGCATATAGTCACACTCCTAGGAGAATCTGATATAAACTGCGAACATTCTTCCCTAGAAACAATACATTACACACAATATATGCAGGGCTCACGGATCCAGTGAAGCTGTGAAGTCCAACCCTGGAATCCTAGGTAAAGGTCACAGCTCCAAAAGGTCAGATTCACTAGAGAGGTACTAAATGCTAAAAACTTGGTGGAAGGGGAGGGGAGGAGAAGAGGAAAAATGTGTATCTATGATGTTTTTAATCTGTGGATCTCAAATTATCCAAGCTATCTTCTTTTTGCTGTGAACAAAACCAACCAAAGAAACACATAACTAAAAACAAAAACAAAAACAAAACATTACAAGGCACACATGAAAATCACATCTGTGTGCTAAACTTACATATTGACATGCAGGACATCCTTTCTGGCTACACTTTTCTAAAACTGCTGTGTACAGCTAATACTGTGCTGTTATCCATTCCTTCCTCTGTCCCCACTGCCTGACAGCAATGCCTCCTTGTATCAGGCAAGGAACTGTAATAATATAAGCAACTTTTGCACAGGGGACTATAACATTTGATATTTACTGAGGAATCAAAAATTATTTAAAGTGCTGTGGCATTTATTTAAAATGCTAATTTTCTTATTTGTGATCTTAAAAGAAAACCACAAAGACTGAAAAATTTGCTCATACAAAAATGAAACAAAATAAATAATATTTAAAAACATGATTAATAAAGTTAAAAAGGCAAAAATAGGCCAGGAATTGTGGTGCACGCCTGCAATCCTAGCTACTTAGAAGGCAGAGATAGGGAGGCTGGTGGTTGTAGGGCAGCCCAGGGAAAAGATCTCAAGACCCCATCTCAACCAATAAAAGCTGGGCATGGTGGGCATGTGCCTGTCATCCCAGCTATGCAGGAAACATAAGTGGGAGGACTGTGGTCCAGGTTAGCCTGGGCATAAACATGAGACCCTATTATGGTCTCATAACATAACAAAAGCAAAATGGGTCATGGTTCAAGTGGTAGAGTGCCTACTTCAAAAGCAAGAAGTCCTGAGTTCAAACCCCTGTAGTGAAGAAAAAAAATATCAGGCCTTTTGTTTACCAATAAATTTCTTTAGAACACATTCTACTACAATTTTCAGTGAAATTACAAAAAATATAAGCACAACATTACATAACATAGTGTTTTATGTTTTTTTCAAAGCCAGGAGCAGTGTGAAGTAGTGCTGCTTTTCATATGGGATCCTTACAATAAACCATAAAACATCTTGGGCTGGGGGTGTGATTCAAGTGGTAGAATACTTGCCTAATAAGCACATGATCTTTAATTCAAATTCCAGTAAGAAAACATCTCTCTGTTAGAATATTACCCAGGCATTAAAAACACTGATGTGTCCCTATACATACTGACGTGAGAAAGTGTTCAGGAAATGCTGAGTAAAGCAAGTTAAAAACCCTGTATTTCTAAAAATGTGTGTAATTATTGTTACAGTTTGGATGTGAAGTACCCCCCAAAAGGCTCATGTGTTAAAGGCCTGGTTGTCAGTTGATGGACTTTCAAGAAGTGATTGGATTAGAAGTGATTAGATTAGAAGTGACTGATTAGACTCTGACCTAATCAATGGATTAATCTGTTGATAATAGATTCATAAATTAATGACCCCTCCTCTCTCACTCCTATTCTTTCCTGCCTGCCATGACATGAGCAGCTTTCTCCCTCACATCCTTCTGCCATGATGCTCTGCCTCATCACAGGTGTCTGCCAAAACACATCCTTCCCTCCTTTAATTTGTTTTTCTGGGGTATTTGGTTATAGCAACAAATGTCTGACTTGCACAATTATCCTGTATGAATTATCTGGACATGCATGCATAGAAAACTATCTGGAAGGACTGACAACAAAATGAAACAGAATTAGGAGTAGGTAGCAGCAGGAGGACTATAAACAATGCTTTTCCCTTGTGCTTATTTTTTTCTATAGTGAAAAAAAAAACCTAATTTTTAAAATAATTGTAAAGAATATAGAAATATTTAAGTTATAGTAACTACACCAAAGCAGGAAACAAGATTAGATACAAACTGCAACCATATAATAATACTTATTGAAAAGCCAGAACATCATACACAGAAATATAATTGCTGTTAAAATTGATGAGGTTATGATTTAAACATTGTTCAATGGAGTACCATTTGTAATTTAAAAGAGTACAAAATTTTCTTGAAAAAAGTTGTCAGTTTTGCTACAATGAATCTCTAATAGAAAGATTTATTCCTCTGTAAAAGATTTATTCCTACCTGAAAGGAAGACCTGAAGCACACACAGTTGAGTTTGTATCACTTTAACATTTAAAGTTACATTCACAGTACCCTACCTAAGAGGAAGACCTGTATCATACCTTTGCCAGCAGAGTCTTCCCACAGCCAGGAGGACCAGCCAGGAGAACTCCAGCTGGTGTCACCAATCCAACAGCTCTGAACTGCTCTGGGTTACGTACTGGTGCCTAGAAAGAGTAATACCAAGAGTGACCCATTACAGGAGTCTATTTACACTGCATGAGCAAATTTATCTCAAAGTATCTGATTCCTCATATTTTCAACACTGACCATGATGTCTGACAATGAGTAATACTTGACTTACCTCTGTTTCAGACAGGAGATACATGGTGATAAATAGAAAAGCTCTTGAGGAATTCAAACTTAGATATTAAGTTCTAAGAACATTTTAGACATAAAGATACATTTTTCAATATTTTAAAACCAAGTTTTAAAAAAACATCTAAACTTCTAGATTACAAAACATTTAGGCAGTTGGGCATGGTAGTACATGCCTATAATCTCAGTTACTATGAGAGGCAGAGATCCAGAGGATGGTGATTCAAGACCAGCCCAGGCAAAAAGTTAGATTCCCATGTCAACAAAAAAGCTGGACATGGTGATACTCTTCTATAATCCCAAATACACTAGAGACATAAGTAGTATGATTGGTATCTGAGGCTAGCTCTGGGCATAAAAAGCACAAGACCCTACCTAAAAAACAACTAAAGCAAAAAAGTACTGAGGGTATAGCTCAAGCTGGAAGTGGTGGCACTCACCTATCATCCTACTAATAGGAGGATTGTGGCCCAGACCACTTGGGTATAAATGTGAGACCTATCCCAAAAATAACTGTAAAAAGGGCAGGGGGCAGGAGATAGCTCAAGTGATAGAGGCACAAAGCTCAACTCCAGAAATCACCAGAAAAAAAAACAAAAACAGACAAACCTGTTCTATACGATCCCAATATACTTCCTCCTTCAGTAGTATATATCTCTAAATGTATCATATTTCAATTAGTGAGCCAAGAAATTAATCAGTAAAGTAGACAAATGAAAATTAATCCATGGGTGTTAAAATTGTCTTGACCCTAAGAGCATAATTAAGTTAAGAAAGTAGTTCTCAAACAATTTGGTCTTGGATAAAACCTGCAGTTTTTTGTTTTTTTTCTTTTACTCACTGCTGCAGAAATCAAGCACATCAAAACAATAATAAAACACATCTCAAAAGAAAGAAAATGCATTGTTGAGGATGCAGCACTTAAGAGAAGACACTGAGCCATGTACCATTTCAGAGACATTTTAGGAGTCAGCACATGGCAGAGGACATCAAGACTGCCCCTTTTAGCAACAGCTTCCCCAACCAGAACCAAATCCACTGCTCTGATAAGTCAATGACTGAAAAAGGGGATGATCTCTGTGGTAAGAGTGGTACTAGGCTGGCAGAGCTGTTCAAGCAACAAAGTGCCTGCCTAGCAAGCACAAAGCCCTGAGCTCAAACCCCAGTACCATTAAAAAAAAAAAAAAGAAAAAGTTGAAGAGTGGTACAGCAGCTGGGCACCAGTGGTTCACATCTATAATCCTAGCTACTCAGAAGGCTGAGATCAGGAGGCCAGCCTGGGCAAATACTTTGGGAGACCCCCCCAACCCCACCGCCATCTCCAAAATAACCAGAGCAAAATGGACTGGAGGCACCATTCAAGTGGTAGAGCATCTGCTTTGCAAGCACAAAGCACTAAGTTCAAACCACAATCCCACTGGGAGTAGTTGGGGGAAAGAATGGTACTCTCATATACAAGTTCCTCTCTGCCCCATATTCCACCAGGCAGAAAGCAAGTTTCCTAAGAAATTCTGAACTGGCTTCACTCTCACCTCTCCTTTGTCCTCTGTCCTCCTCACATGGTGGCAAAGGAGGATCTGGCTACTGGGTGATCCCTACTCTGGGCCCCTGAATCATGATTTAATCATTAATAAAAACTCATTGGAAAAGTACAGAGAGGAAAGGAGGCAAGGGAAAGGAATGAAGGAGTGGAGGGGAGGGGAGAAACACAAACATAACATAGTCAAGTCAATTTAGATATACACCTTGGTAAACATGCACACAGCTTTACCTCTGGTCCTTAAACCACGACATTTGCCAATGACATTTTGCAGCTGATACACTTACCAGTATTGCCATGGTGAGCTCTTCTCTAATATCTTCCAGGGCACCAATATCTGCCCATGTCACATTAGGGACAGTGACAAAGCCTTCTCTTTTGGCAGAGGGTTGAACTGAGGCTAGCGCAACAATGAAATCATTCAATTCAATGCATAGCCCTTGCATCTGCTCCTCTGAGAGGGGATCTTGCTCTCTTAGCAACCCCAGCAGTTTTTGCAATTCATCCTTAATGGGAACAATTGAGAGGAAAATTTATAAATCACAAAGCTTATTGAAAATTCACATTACACTTTTTAAAAAATTATTACTTCAATATTGTGTAAGTTACAGTGAATTTCTACATATTTTAATCATTTTTCCCTCTCTCTGACATGACTCATGTTCATTTTATTCTAAGTGAGTCATATGCCTGATTAAAGGTGTTAAGAATGACTTCTAGGACTGTCAGAGTGGCTCAAGAAGTAGAACACCTCCCTAGCAAGCACAGGCTCTGATCTGCTCCCAGTATCACCAAAAAAAAAAAAAAAGAAAAGAAAAAAAAATCTGAATCTGACCTATACTAGGGTTAGATACAGCAAACAAAAGCAGCTGGCAAGTATTAATTTCATCAACCATGGCATTTCCAGTTTTATTTGTAAATACTCATGAAGCAGGTGACTTCTGATGAAATTAACACCAAGTTAGGCTAGTGACAGTATAATTTCATTATATGGGTTTTTTTTTTAATCACTTATCAACCAAGTGCACAGCAGGCTATTCTCCTATGAACACTGAACTTCAAAGGCAGATTTACTGCATGAAAGGGCAGGTATAAAAAAGTAACAGAGTAATTCAATCTAAAAAAACCCTATTTTTAAGATAAAAATCATAATTTATAAGCAGTATTATAGAAAGAAATTAGTTTATTAATTTTAACAGAAATAATGTTGATTTGAGATAAATAAGGAAAAAAACTAAATGGTTTAAAACCAAAAGGCTTGGATTTTTAAGTTCCTGCACTGTAGATGACATATTGTCTTGGGCAAGTCACCTCTTCAACTTAGTGTCTTTGATGACAAAACAGGAAAATTAGTATTTTCCTCACAAGGTTATACAGGTCAAATCACATAATGTTTAGAAGTCATCTGTGCAAACTACAAAATGTTATATAAATATTGAGATTTCATGACTTATTCAAAACTGTACCACTTAGCCAAGACTGAGCCTGTCATGGTGGCACATGACATGGAAGTCGAAGATGGGAGGAATGCAGTGTAAGTTCAGCCCAAGTAAAAAAAATTAGGGAAACCCCATCTCCAAACAAACCAGGCTTGGGGACACATATCTGTAATCCCAGCTATGCAGGAGCAGAGGTAGAATGACTAGATCCAAGGTCAGCCCTGGGCAAAGACAAGACCCTAACGGAAAAATAAAATCTAAAGCATAAAGAGTGAGGATGTGGCTGAAGTGGTGAAGTGCTAGCAAGCACAAGGCCTTGAGTTCAAACTCCCAAAAAAAAAAAAAGTAACACTGACCTTAGACTGATAAATGTTTTTCTTCACTCTCACACAACCAACAACTATTCTCCAGAGCTTAGTACCGATAGGGATGAGGACACGGTTATGTCTTCAAACTATCCCAGTCCATCCCCTAAAATAAACTTCACATGGGCCAATGGCTCATACCTGTAATCCAAGCTACTCTGGAGGCAGAGATCAGGAGGATCACAATTCTAAGCCAGCCCCAGGCAAATACTGTATGAGACCCTATCTCAAAAAAAACCCATCACAGCTGGCGAAGTGGCTCAAGTGGTAGAGTGCCTGCTGAGCAAGTGTGAGGTCCTGGGTTCAAACCCTAGTACCACTGAAAAAAATAAAATTAAATTAAAAAACCCATCACAAAAAAGGACTGGTGGAGCGGCTCCAGTGGTAGCATGTTACTTAGCAAGCATGAGGCCCTGAGTTCAAAAAAAAAAAAAACAAAAAAACACCAATGCCCTAACAAGAGCTGGGAAACTTACTCTGTAAGGACTCAACCATACGGACACTTCCTTGAATTTAAGGTAACACAAAAAACATTCAAAAGCACCTGTGTTTCAGGACTGGGTTCAGTTCCCAGACTTTTTTCCTGTCCTCCTTCAGATGGCAAACCTTCAATCTCAGGGTCTTTCTTCTGCTGCTCCTGTAGTTTCATCAAGACCCTATTGACTGCACACATGGCTGCCTCTCGGCAGAGTGCCATTAGGTCAGCACCAACAAAGCCTGGTGTTAAGTGGGCTAAGTGACCGAAGTTAAAAGTTTCAGGAAGTCTCAGTTTTCGACACAAAGTTTGAAGTATTCTGTAGAAAAGACAGAAAAAAAAGTTCAGATTCCTAATCTGTTAGTAAAAACAAGTCCACAAATATATTTATTTGAAATGGTATCATAATGAGTACTACGTAAGACCAAATAAAGGGCTGGGGGTGTAGCTCAGTGGTACTTACCTAGCATGCTCAAGGCCCTGGGTTCCATCCGCAGCACCCCCAAAAAACAAAAAACTTCTCACTAGGCATGGTGGCACATGCCTCACCTGTTAACGCCAGCACTTGGGATGCTGAGAGGAGAATTGTGAATTTGAGCCAACCTGGGCTACATAGTGAAACCTCATCTCAAAAACAAACAAACAAGAGAAAAGATCTAATAACTCATTCACTCAACAAATACTAAATCACTATTATGTCAAACTTATTCCACAAAGAATTATGGTAAAAATCTGCTTGGTAGGAACTATGTTAAGGGTTGTAAGAAATACAACTATTATTTCTAAAATGCTATCTTTAACAAGACTTTTACAATATTACCAAGGAAATAAGATAAATAACTTGTGGGGTACTTTTAGAGTAAATAAAACAGATACTTACCAGAAAGAGAAGCCTCATATTTAAATAAACCATGAATTCTTTTTATCACCAAAAGTTAACTTGATAAAACACTTTAATATACAGTTTTATATTAGGTAGCTGTTTCTCCAACTTCACCTTTACCAACTGTGTGTGCCCATCCCCTGTACTGCATGTATGAAAATTTTTGTTCAACCTAACTTGGCAGTTGGTTATGGTATATATCAATGAAAACTGGACTTCTAGATAATTATTATTGCTGGGTGCTAGTGGCTCACACCTGTAATCCTAGCTATTTGGGAGGCTGAGATGGGAAGGATCACAGTTCGAGGACCCCATCTCCAAAATAACCAGAGAAAAATGCACTGGAGATATGGCTCAAGTGGTAGAGCGCCTGCTTTGCAAGTATGGAGCCCTGAGTTCAAACCCCAATCCCACCTAAATGAACAAATAGATAAATAAATACATAAAGTGGGGCATGGTGGCTTGTGCCTGTCATCCCAGATAAGCAGGAAGCATAAATATGAGGATCACATTATAGGCACCAGAGGAAAAACATGAAACCGTATCTGAAAAGTAACTAAAGCAAAAAGGGCTGGGGGCATTGCATGACTCACGTGGGAGAGTGACTGCCTAACAAGCACAAGGCCTTGAGTTCAAACACCAATAAAAAAAATTAATAAGGCTAAGCAAATGCATTTTGAATCTTCCAAATTTGTAGAGGAGGCTAATATTTTCAAATGTTAAGCTAATAGAATTCTATAATTAATAAATTATAGAAAAATCATTTGGGATCATGTTAAGTAAAAAAGAAAAGATCAGCATTACTGACAAATGAAAAAGAATTCACTCACAAGTACTTTAAAAATGGGAACCAAGAAAAGATTCCACAATAAGCCTATTTCTAAAAGACACTTACCCAATATGCTGCTATACACACAAATACCAAGAAAACTTTGGATGATACGAAAAATGGCTAACAGAAAGTAACATCCTTTTCTTAGTTATAGTCTAAAAGGACAAGAACAAGAAATGGAAGCACAAACTCCATGGCCAAAACACCAGGAGATTATCTGTACTCTACTCCCCTCAAGCTATTCTAAAAGTACTACAGAGAACGTGCCATTAGGAGGGTCAGTAAATAGTCATTCTTTCATTCACTTACTCACTTAGTCATTCACTTTCAAGAGACAGAGTCTTGTTATGTTGCCCAGGCTGGCCCTGAACTCCCGGGCGCATGTAATCCTGCCTCATCCTCCTAAGTAGCTGGGACAACATTATGGGTCACTGCACCTGGCTTCTACTTTTTTTTTTTGTGACAGCATTTTGTCATGTTGCCCAGGGGTTGGTTATTCTTTATTTTTAAGTAGTCATTAAGCCACTTATCTCAGACTGTAGGCTTTTGTTTGACACTATATAGAGGAAGGTGTTTATGCTGATATGGGATGGTCAAGGAAAGTTCCTAGTGTATGCTTATTTTACTAACAAACAGAAAGGTCATCTAACTTGGATCTTTCTAAGTCAGCTCTAGGTGATATACTAATGACTACAAAACCCTAAAAAGATTCAAAATATTGGGATTTCCTAAAATAAATGGCTTAAGTTTTATAATTTATTTGACTTACAAACAGAAAGACTTTTAGCTAATTATTTAAGTAAACTTAATTTTAAAGAGTTTTAGATTTACAGAATTATTGTAAAGACAGTTCACATTATTAAGGACAGTTTTTGGGACTACTGGTCCAGCATTTTATAAAATGACCCTCAAATGGGACTTGTGTGGTATTTTTCTCATGATTTCACCAGTAAATGTGTTTTGGGGAAGAAGACCACAGAGGTAAAATGCCATTCTCATCACACCATATCAAGGATACATACTGTCAACATGTCTACTGTGGCTGCCTAGTGTGAGACAGGGTTTGAAAGGTTTTTCACTAAACTCTTCTCCTCAGCCTTCCCAAACTGTGCTCTGGTATCACAGCTCACACTTAATGAGTGGGCAGTTACAATCCACTTCCATTAGGGTTATGCATCGTCAAAAATTATTTGGAATTCTTCTGCATCACTTTATTTATTTACTGAAGCACTCATTTGTAAACAGTATAAACAAATATTTAATTATCTCTAATCCTGAACCACAATTTATGAAGATGATTGATGGAGAGTGGTCTATTGACCTAGCAGAGGGGGCTCAGTAAAATTAACTTTTGCATAGAGATGCACTAATGAGAAACAAGCATATTTGCCTGATTGGAACTCCAAAGACTCAAAATTGGACATGACCAAGTAAGACAGGGAACCAAAACCAGAAAAATTACCTGAAAACCTGCATGAGAAGTATCAAGACTCCATTTGCTCTCCCTCCTTTTAACCAACAGAACACCAGAAATCTGCACTCTAATGAAACTGAACCAGGGAACGGAAGCTCCAAGTTTATGGACCATAAAGTAAACTTAAGCTCCAGCTCAAGACCAGAACCATCTGACTCAGAACTTTCTAAACTGTTATTTCACAGAAATAATGAGGGAATGTGATGACTTATTTTAGACCACTAGTTTTGGTATGGTTTGTTTTACAGCAACAAGAACTGGAATTACAGCAGCTATCTTAAAAAAAAATTTTTTTTTTTGTAAGACTGAGGATATGCTTAGTGGTACAGCACTTGCCCAGCATGTGCAAAGCACTGGGCTTAATTCCCAGCACATTAAAATTTTTTTTTCCTGTGTTGGACACTGCTAGGTTATATTAACTCAGTTCTCACAAAAAGCCATGAAGCTAAGGTATTTTTAGCATTTTACAGGTAAAGTTGTTGTTGCTATCGTTATTATTACTGCTGTATTACAAATAAACTAAAGCTTGGCAAAAGAATATTAGCAGGCAAAGCTGAGACTGGCTTAAAGTCTCAGCATCCATTTACTGCCCCTCCAGCCCAGTCCTGCCTAACCTGGTCTCTTCTCCACACCATTTTTCTTCCAGTCATACCTGAACCTTATCATCACCTGGACCTTGATGACCTCTGAAATCACCATTTAAAATACCTTACTCTTTGCTCAGAATCCTCTATGCTATAGTTTAGTACTTAATACTCCCACTCACCAATTATTGGACTGGACCTTCCTAGGTTCTTCTTGTTTACTACCACCTTCTTATCAAATACTATTTTTACAGCCCAGACTTCAGAGTCTACTTTTCAATTATCTAAATCCTAAATTTCTACTTTTTCTTTGCCTAGACCTAACTGATGAATGCTACTGGAGAGGAAAAATCATAAAACCAGGTCTACTGGTAGTGTTCTATACCTCAATTTTGAAGTGTGACAATACTGTTATTCTAACTAGCTCATCTCAAATTATTTCAGAGAATAATTTCAGACCTTCATTCTCTGCAAAACTCTAATCCATCATCCACTATCCATCTTCCTTTGATCAGAGAATCTCACTTTTTTTCTTTTTTTGGTGGTAATGGTGCTTGAACTCAGGGCCTACACCTTGAACCACTACACCAGCCCTTTTGTGTAAAGGGTTTTTTTGAGATAGGATCTCGCGAACCAATAGCCCAGGCTGGCTTCAAACTGCGATGCCCCTGATCTCTACCTCTTGAGTAACCAGGATTACAGGCGTGAGCCACTGGTGCCCGGCTAGAATCTCACTTTTTAATTCACAGAGGAAACACTCAGTTTTCCAGTACTGCACTAATAACCCTTTCTTCTCCCCTTTACTATCATATCAAAGGAAGTAACCTCACTGTAAGGCCAACAATACACATAAGCACCGAATCCCCAAACCTCCCATTTATTCCTTCAACACTTCAACATACTCAAGTTTCTCTTACCCTAAAACAAACAAAACAACTTCTCTTTTTACATCCCATTGTCTACCAACCTTGCAATTATCTTTCGTAGTAATTAGGGTGAATGTCCCAAGAGAAAACAGATGTCCACCAGTTCATCAATAACCAGAAGACTTGTAAACCACTTATTTCTTATACTATATTGTAAGTACCTTTAAAGTAGGAACTTTTAACTCCTTACAGTCTACGCAATACCTGTCAGTGTGGTATATATCCGTATAATATGTTCTATGTATTTGTTAAGGCAGGGTGTGGCTATGTAGCCCAGGCTGGCCTTGAATTCATGATTCTCTTCCCTCAGTTTCTGCAGTGTTGGGATTACAGGTGTGCACCACCATGCCCAACTGTTCTACATGTTTGCTAATAAATAAATACAAGGAACTTAAATTACTTTGCTGCAGGTATAAATGTGTTAACAAACAAACCTGGATGGTTAACTCTTGAAAGATTATACTTATAGATATACATAATACATACAGGAGTATAATATGCAATATATACAAGAATATAATACACATATATGAAATCAACTCAATGGCTTAAGTCAAAAATGTCAAGCAATCAAAAAAAGAAAAAAAACTTGAAGCTACAAGGGCCATCTCAGCCTTTCTTCCACCCACAGTGCTTTCCTCACCTCTTCCTGCACTGTCTTGACTATCTCCTCTCATTATTTACTTTTTTCCTAAGGTGATAATTATGAATGCCTGCTTTAGTGCCACTAACTTAAGGCAAAAGCCATTATAAATGTGACATTTCTTCACATTTCTACTACCTGAAGAGTGCTTCGTATTGGTGGGCATTTGTTGCTCTTATATCATTCAACCCCAACTACTAGGAAAACCTGGCCTTACAGCAAACATTCTCTGGCAATCTTTGTCTTATCATGAGACCTAAGCAGGTTAGTGCAATAGGTTTAAACTATGTACTCAGACTTAAACTGTATGTGGGATCAAATGGCACTACTCTATTTCATAGCTCCAAACACTGTCCCTAAGCTGGTGAGTCAACAAAAAAAAGCAAGTCATTGTTAACACGATCAGAAAAATGAATATGGATACATGAGTTCATGATCACTACTGAAAACACAACTTGAAACAATTATCCTATTGATGAGTAAGTTGTTTTAATTAATTTATGTGGGCTTTTTTTCCTTTCCAAATCAATTTCAGAAACAGAGAAAGATAGAAAGAAAAAAAGAAAGAGCAAGTAAGCTAGCTAACTACATGGTATTTCTCATCCCTTACTTTTAAAGCATTTGGTTTGGATGACATAGTGACAAACATGCTACAAGAATATACCTTTCCCTGGATGCTTCATCTGGAATACCTAGGCATATTTCTCGGTCAAACCTTCCAGCACGTCTCAAAGCAGGGTCTAATGAATCTGGTCGATTAGTAGCTCCGATGACTAGAACTCGAGCTGTAGCTGCCACAGTATTCAGATCTAGTGAGAACCAGACACAATGAGGGCATAATGGTAACAAAAATTATTTAATAGAGAAAATATACTACACATTTGGACCCATATATATATACATTATATATATATATATTATTATATGTATTAAATGCCTAATATGTAAAGTGTGAGGAAGATAAATACAAACTTTGCTCTCAGCAATTCACAATTTAGTGAGAAATATTAAGTGTATAATTAAAAAAACAGGATGTAAGAGAAGTTTTGTGAAGCATAATTACAGTTAGGATAAACAATGCACTATGGTAAGATAAGGGAAGGTGTTAACAAGGAAAAATAGAGCATATGGCAGAACTGCAAAACCACAAGGTGCACCTCACCTGTCTACACTCAATCTGTTAAGACTACAGATGTGACAATTATTAGCTCCCTGAGGCTTGAAGACTAGAACAAACCTTTTGATCCTTTACATCTGTGCTTCCATTCCACTCTAAGGGGAGTCCTAAATTTTCCATAACAGGGTGAACATATAAGCAAAGACTCCTGCGAGATAATAACATTTGCTTCATTATCATAGTAAAACACACACTCCTGAGTGGAATTTTAAGATGCTAATGAGCTGAGGATGTGGCTCAAGGGGTAGAGCTCAATGCCCCGAGTTCAAACCACAGTACCACAAAAACAAAAACAAAAAGCAAACAAATAAAAAAATCCCAAAACACTAATGAGACTTACAATGTATGAGAAACCATAAAGAGCAACTGAGCATGTCTGACCCTCACCCCTTCACTACATCTGACTTCAGGCAGGGCAAACCTGAAAGGGCATAAATGCCCAAAACCCCCAAACCAAAGAGCTACTCTACCTTTGGGGTAGACAACTACTGTTCTCTCCTGACATTTAAGCCACACTGCTCTGTCTATTGAGTGGCCTACTGTACTGCCTCTCTATATTAAACTTGCTGTTTGCTTTTGCTTCAGAACTAGTCTATGTTTGACTTTTACCCCACATGAGACATAGTATGCACTTGGCCAGTGACATTATGAATTTCAACTGAGGGATAAGGGAGGGCTCAATGGAACAGGGAACACTTCAGAAAAACCTAAAGGAACAAATATGACTTTAAAATGCAGAGGTAGAAGTTAATGAAGTTCTACACAGAAGTAGTGTGAATGAAAGCAGAAGTGGCACACACGACACAACTACAAAAGGTGAGAAAACCAGCAACACAGTCTGGGGAAGACAGCAATGTTGTTTCAGAACGATGGTGAAATCAACTTCAGATGGGTACAGAATAGTCTAAGGTGCTCTGGCTTACTCTAGAAACGGATTTTTATAGAAATGGATAGAACGTAGGATTCAAAGTTGTCTTTTCTAAGTATTTATTTCCCTCAACTGAAACAGGATTAAAGAGGTTATATTCCTCACAGGAAATAAGGTAGTAAGATTCTGAATAAATCATGAGGAAGTTATTGTAGAATACTGTTTAGCTAACAGGAAAAACATGGCTGGAAAGTTTTACATAAAAAAAAAAAAAAAAGGGCCAAACATGGAGGCTCATGCCTGTAATCCCACCTATTTGGGAGGTAGAAATAGGAGGATAACAGTTCAAGGCCAGCTGGCAAGAAAAAAAAAAGTGGGGGGAAGGCAGGTTGGTAGTATGGCTCAAGTAGTAGAGTGCCTGCCTAGCAAATACAAAGCCCTGAGTTCAAACCCCAGTCCCATTAAAAAAGAAAAACAAAAAGGGTGTGAAGGTACATGCCTGTAATTCCAACTACTAAGGTGGCAGAGGTATGGAGGATTGAAGTCCAAGGTCAGCACAGGCAAAACACAAGAACCTATCTAAAAAACAAGCTAAAGCAAAAAAGGCTGAGGGGAGTGGCTCAAGTGGCTCCAGTGGTTAAGAGTACTTGCTTAGAGAATATAAGGCCCCTGAGATCAAGTTCCAGTACCATCAAAAAAATTTTTTTAATTTAAAAACAGAACAGTAAAGGGGGATGCTGAGCATGTAGCTCATGGGAGTTTGTCTAGCATATGCTAGGCCCTAGGTTCAATCCTAAGTACCACAAAAAATAAATACAACAGCAGAATAAGCAATCTGCAACCTGGCACCATAACGAATACAAGTATGTACTACTTCAAATTTTTTGTACACAAAACACAAAATGTGCCATTTCCACATAGGTAAAATCAAGTCCCAAAAAGTTCTCCAAATTTGTACCTAGCAACCATTAAATAAAATTATAAAACAAATTACAGACATGGAAAACATACTTTTAACATATTTAACACAGGAACTGTTTCCATAATATATTTAAAAAGTACCCCAAATCAACTTTATTTTCTTTTCAGCGCTAGAATCAACCTAGGGCCTCATACATGCTAAACAAACACTCCACCACTAAGCTACTGAAAAAAAAAAAGACAATTCAATAGAACAATGAATAAGAAAATGGACTTTGGAGATGATACAGAAATATGGAAAAGAGGCACAACCTCAATGGTAATCAGGGAAATCAAACTAAAAGATACCAATTTTAAGCAATCAGATTGGCAGAAATTAAAATAACTGATAACTTTAAGTACTGTCAAGTATCAGAGAGGCTCTCACATAGCAATAGTGGAATGTAAACTGCAGTCTTCATGGAGGGCAATTAGCCATTTCCTATGAAAATTTAAGATGTATACTCTTCAACTATCAACTTAGCTTCTTGCTGTTACTACAGAAGAAATACATATGCACCAAAATGGCTCTTTTAAGGATATTCCCCACAGCTTATAGCAAAGGGAAAAGTTGAAAACAACTTCAGTATCTATCAATGTGAGGATTCCTAAATACAATATAGTAAATCTAATCTAAACAATACTATATATCAGTTAAAAAGAAGTAAATATAAATGCATAAATGCATTAAAATGGCAACATTTCCAAGAGTTTTTTGCAGTAGTGGGGTTTGAACTTAGGGCCTCACACTTACCAGGTGGGTGCTCTACTGCTTTTGAGCCATGCTTCCAGCCCAAAACCACATTTTCTTATTTTTTGTTGGTACTGGGGGTTAAACTCAGGGCCTTGTGCTTGCTAGGCCGACACTCTACTGGTCCAAGGCACATTCTTAAGGGACATACAGTAGAGGTTGTAGAACAATGCATATGGTGCAACCCCAGAATTGTAAAATGCAAAACAAAATTAGTAAATATTATGTATGTAAGTATTAAAGGTAACTATGGTACACTTAAAAATTAAAATGATGGCATAATCTTTTGTGACAAAAATCTTTTCTCTTATACTGTAAGATTTACTGTTTAAATGTTTTATACCTTCATGTATGACTTACACTATTTTAGGAAGTATAATCTTAAAATGAATTCATTATTTTAAACTGACCATCCATGCAGGTTAGGAGCTGGGCTACAATTCTTCGTTCCATATCTTTTGAAGCAACTTCTCTTTTGGGAGTAATAGCATCAATTTCATCAATGAAAATAATACAGGGTGCATTCAACTAGAAATAAAAATATCACACAAAGAAAACTATAAATATATTCCCTATATGCAGTTATATATAGTTTTTTATATGTATGTATGTACGTGTATATGTATACACACAGTTATACATAAATCTTCTTTAGAATTTTATAGTTCAAGGATCATCCATCAAAAAAATCATGAAGGCAGTTCACTGTGTGTTACTTCTGGTTTTTACATCTTATGAGAACCAGAATGCTTAAAAGAAGACAGTGACAGACTACAGATAGAGCAGCACTTCTACAGTGTTTTCAATCAATCCATGTTTTTTGACACATCTTTTGAAAATCTTTTGTAAATCAGACATATTTGTTATGCTATGGAATATAAACATTAACCTTAAAAGCTTTAATTTAGAAAATTCAAGTCTGCTCAAATGTTGAGTGTTTCTACCAACATAAAAATGACCAACCTTTTCTTCTGAATCTACTGTAAGAGGAGCTTAAGAAGCACCAGAAGTTTGTTGTTTTAACTGTAGTTAAAATATGCAAATTTTAATATTTTAACCTTTTTTTTCTTTTTGGCGGTATTGGGGTTTGAACTCAGGGCCTCAATCTTGCTAGGCAGGCACTCTACCACTTGAGCCACTCCGCCAGCCTTATTTTAACCATTTTTAAGTGGAGGTAGTGTTGGTGATGGTTACACAACAATGTGAATGTACTTAATGCCACTAGACTGTATATTTAAAAAAACAGCTAAAATAGTAATTTTTATGTCATGCATATTATATCACAAAAAGGAAAGATAAGAATTTAAATAAATGAAAAAATTTAAAGAAAATTAAATCATTCTTAAGTCATTCAATGATTAGTCATGACACTGATTATGCTAAAAGACTGTTGGGCCTAGCTAAGACATCACAAAACTACACTCAAGGGACAGCTATTTGGCCCATGGCTCTATTCCCCAATCTTCCCCATGATGTTTATCATCCAGTACCTTATGACTTTTGCGTCAGTTAAAAAAGAGTTAAGTTATAGAAAGCAAAGGTCTCAAAAGCCAACCCAGCTGACAGAGGGGCTCAAGTTGTAGAGCACCTGCCCAGCAAGCATGAGGCCATGAGTTCAAATACCAGTACCACCCAAAAAAAAAAAAAAAAAAAAAGCCAGCATATTAGCATCTGTTAGTGACCTAGAAAACTGAATGGAAAAAAAAGAAATATATTTTAATCATCAAAATTTAACAAAGAAAGCATTGCTTTCTGAAAAGAACCACTTGGTTTGATTTGATTTCTTTGTTTTCTCTCTAATACACTTACTTCATCATACTACTTTGATTAAGGAAGAAGGGAGCAAGGAAGGAAGGGTGAATACCTACTGTTTAGGTACTGTACTGGCTCAATAGTGATTTATAGAGCCTTAAACAGAAGTAATGACCTAAATAAAGATGCCATTTATCTCTTTTAATTGTATTCATCACTGTGATTACCACCCACACAAAACTTACTACTTGTTCTCTAGCTTTGTGTGCCAATTTAACAAAATGAAGGGACATGTTTAGGAAAAATTTGCACACTGCCTTTCTTGCCCTTTCTCTGCATCTTCCTTGTGCTGCCCACACTTTTTTCCTTGTCAGTCTACACAAGAAACCAAATAAATAGTCTTTCCTTTCTTGCTATCCTAAAATATTTCTCTTCATTACTGCTAAAATACAATTTTTCTTCTAATCTCACATCAGTTTCTAGTACTGTATTGGCTGTGTTCTAGTATATACACTGGCAAAGTTAATATATATGTTGAATACAAACAAAGACAAACTTTTTGGGATGGAGGTGTACCTGAGTGGTAGAGTGCATACCTAGCAAGTGCAATACTGCCAAAAAAATAAATAATAAACTTTTTATCACTTCTTAGTTTTAGCACAGTGATGGCTCGTGTGTGTTCAAATACGCAAAATGTCATGGCTAATACAGTGCTCTTGCTATGAAAGATTTTATAAAAATTTTCTGTTACCAGGTACAAGGGCACAGTGTTATGATCCCAGCCCCACTGGAGGCTGAGGCAGGAGGATCACTTGGCCAAGGTCACCCTGAGCAACAAAGTGAAACCCTATCTCAAAAAAAAAAAAAATGTGTTCCCGCCTGTAATCCTAGCTACTCAGGAAACTGAGATCAGGAGGATCACAGCTTGGGCAAGTAGTCTGTAAGACCCTATCTCAAAAATACTCAACACACAAAAAAAAAACTAGTGAAGTGGCTCATGTAGTAGAGCACCTGTCTAGTGAGAGGCCCTGAATTCAAACCCCAGTCCTGTGAAAAAAAAAAAAAACCTCTCAATACTCTCAATAACCCCATGAGATCTTGGTATTATTATTACCCCAGTTTACTGGTATGAAATTGAGGGTAGAAGGGTTAAGTCTCTTCTCCGACATGACACATGATGGCACAGGATTTGAACCCATCTTTCTCACTTAAAATACACACATTTAATCACTGTACTATGCTGAAGATAAAACTTTAATTGCATGCAAGTATCATCTTCCAAATTTTAGTAACACAAATTACAATTAGGACAAAATCCAATCCAGAATTTCTGTCTCTGGTAAGATAATTTTCTTTTCTCAGGTTCGATTATACAAGTAAGAGTTTATCTTAGCATTTTATGGTTGTTTTTGTAATGTAATAACCCTAAATGTAACCATTTTCACATTGCTAAGAAGTTTTTTGGTCAAACCTAAATTGGAGAAAGGGAATGAAATAAGGGTATATATTTTCAACACATAACTTACTGGATTTATGACAACCTAGAACTTCTCACCAATTATGTTTGGTTTCATTTATGTTTGATTTCAAATGAAGGAGATCATTTACCCAACAGTTTGCATCATTAAATCTACTTTAAATATCTGTCACCATGCACAGAAAATTACCAGGTTTACAAAAGAATGGTGCTTGAATGAGGTAACAAATCAAAGAAGGAACTTTAATGTCATTAGCTGACTCACCACAGCTTGTTCAAATAAATCTCTAAGCTTCTGCTCAGACTCTCCAGAAACTCCCGACACAATCTCTGGAGCAGCCACTTTCAGAATTGGCAAGTCAAGTTCCTGTGCACAAATACATAAAAAAATGACCAAATATTCAAATTTTAACCCTCCTACTATCTCCTTATCAATTTCCCCAACAAAATTACATTTTTTTAAATGAGTAATTTTCAAAGAAACTTTACCTTTGTGTGTGGGTTCAATGAAAAAACACTATTTAGCCAGGTGCCAGTGGCTCACATCTGTAATCCCAGCTAATTGGGAGGAGGTTGGTTTGAAGCCAGCCTAGGCAAATAGTTTTTGAGACCCCCCCATCTCAAAAATAACCAACACAAAACAGAGCTGGTAGAGTGGCTCAAGTGGCAGAGTGCCTGCCTGGCAAGCATGAGACTGAAAAAAACAAAAACAACACTATTTAAAAAAATCTATGCCCAGCACCAGTGGCTCATGCCCATAATCCTAACTCCTGAGGAGGGTGAAATAAGGAGGATCACAGTTCAAGGCCAGCCAGGACAAATAGTTCATGAGACCCCATCTCCAAAATAACGAAAACAAAATGGACTGGAGGTGTGGCTCAAGCAGTAGAGCACCTGCTTTGCAAGTGCAAAGCCCTGAGTTCAAACTCCAGTCCCACCAAAATCAAAATAAATAAAACTATTAGGATAAAGGGAAAAGGAAATAAATGTAAATTATGTTTTTAAAAAGGATTTTTTACAGTTATATTATTTTGCTTCCCACCCAACCTTTGTCATATACAATACAGGTATTCACTGGAGAAAAAACAATCCCACCAATAGGTGCATGAAAGAGGTAAATAAGGAAGGCATGGTGGTACATATCTGTAATCACAAGATGCTGAGGCATGGTGATGAAGAGTTTGAGGCCAGCCAGAGCTACAAAGCAAGAACCTGTGTCCAAAAATAAAAGGGATCATTTCTCACTGACCATATTCTCCTCCTGAGAGATGCCAGGTTAACTGGAGAAAAAACAAACAGTAACAACAAAAAAAAGCAATGAGTGTCAGCAAGCCTCACCCCAGCAATTGCATGTGCAAGTAATGTCTTCCCACAGCCTGGTGGCCCATGAAGGAGAACTCCACGAGGGGGCACTACGCCCAGGTGGTGGTATACCTCCGGGTGACGCATGTGTATGAGCATCTTGCAAACTTCCTAGGCAGGGAATAAGCACAAAAGATGTCTTCCGCATCTCAAGATAGAAAAAATAAAAGCATGAAATGTCCTATTCTTTGGAGCACCAAAATGGAGTACACAAGAGAACAGGCTTTAGGCTTAGATTTAATCCTGGCTCTGGAACCAGCTACATAACTTTACATTAACTTCTGTGCTTCTAAACCCTAAGCTGTAAAAATATCTACTTTAAAGACCATGAAAAGTAACTAACATAGTAACTGGAACAGAGTAGACACTAAAAATAAATTGTACTCATTACTATCAATACTGTTAGAACAAGATTACTTATAAAGAATGTATCTTATGTGCACTATAATTAAAAAGATGAAAAGACTGAGAACAGTATGTTTCTTTCTCTCAATTCCTGAGGGGTACAGGTCAGGTTTGCCTTCTCACATTCCCATTTCGTATTAGAAATGAAGAGGTAGGCTTTGTTTGTATAACTGGTTACCAATATACCCATCTCAGGTGAAATTATGAATTTTAACTAACTTTTAATGTTGCATCATTGCCTCCAACATCTTCAAACTTCACAATGGACACCTGCAATTCCAGCCCCCTGGCTTTAGCTGGTAAACCAAAAAAAAGAAAAAGAAAGGAAGGAAGTTAAAAAAAAAATTAGTGACAAACTCATAATTAAGCATTCAACATATTTGTTTCTGGTGTTTAATTGTTGGTTGGTTGGTTTTGGCAGCACTGAACTTTAAATTCAGGGCCTCACATTTGTTAGACAGGGGCTCTACCACTTGAGCCACTCCACCTAGAAATATTTTTCAATGAATGTTTCTGTACCTTGAAAACGTGCCTCTCTCAAAGCACACACACCACTGCTACCCATAAGACCCCCATCTAACCTTTTGTTTGCAGGACAGCTTCTATTTCTCCATCTATTTCCTGAAGGTCTTCTTTCTTCCTTTTGTTTCCTTTGCCCTTTAGTCTGTTTTTCCTTTTTTTATCATTCTCCAGAGGAGAAGAATCTTTTGAATCCTGGAAAAAAAAAAACTTAAATATACTATGCTTAAAATTATACTGCTAATGTTTTCTGAAGATGGGCATTATACAAAAAAATCCATTCCTGAAGAGCACTTGCACTTGTCACTTATTCCCAACCTCTCTGCTCAAAGAGTCTCTCTGCTGTGGTCCTTCTTTCCCAAAACTTTAAAGTTCAGTTTAAATCCTAACATTTGAAAACTGTCCTTCCAGGTTCTTCCAGTTACATTTCATATCTTCCTCACATTGCCAAAACACCGCATTTGTAGCTGTATTATAGGCTAATATAATCTGTTTTGTATTTGAGTGCTTGATTTGTCTATGTCTCTTTCCTGAACTATGAGCTCCTCAATTTAGAACACTAATATCATCTTTTATTTCCATTGAGTCCTCTCATCATTGGTGTTTCATACCATACGTGTTTATCTGATATCTGATGACTCACTAAATATGGCTATAGAGCTGCACTGACAGCCAAGAAAAGGACAACTTACAAAGTCAAGTTCTTCCCAAAAGTGGATTAAAGCGAAGGTATCTGGAAGAGGCCCATTAAATTTGAAAAGGTTTGTCAAATCAAGGGTTTGTTGCTTAAAAACCAACAATAGTTCTCTTAACGCTGCTTAAGAGAAATACTGTAAAAGTCACGTACATAATTTTATATATTCTTAGTAGCCACGTTTAAAAACAGAAAATAGAAACAATTCATTTAATAAGCTTTTTTTTTGGGGGGGAAGGGGGGTGCTGAGCACTGAACCTAGGGCCTCACATGCTGAATGGACTATTAGCAGGTGGGAGCAAGTTGGAGGCGGCACTGAAGGCATGTCCTCGAAGGGTATCTTGAGACCTTGATCTTTCCTTCCTCTCGGCTTCCTGGCCCTATGAGGTGAGCAGCTCTGATCTACCACACCCTTCCACTACAGGCCAAAAATCAATGCAGCCAGTCACCTACGCACTGTGACTTCTGAAATTATGAGCCAACAATTATTATCGTTTCTCTCAGCTATTTGCCACAGCGATGAAGTCTGACAAACACAAATGGCAATGGCCTGACTTAACTCATAAAAAAGATTATCAGTATGAAGCATTAACTAGGGGAACAAGAAAGGGCACACACTCCAGTTGGAAGTGTATTTCATGGTTAAAGAAAAAAGAGAGGTTTGGACTAAGATGGTAATGAAAGCTGAAGTGTGAAGTGACCTTATTTCAAAGATACACATAAAATAAGTATTTACTTTATACTATATTCAGTGTAAATAATGTTAACTCCATGAGGCTAAAATTTCACTATGAAAATACCTTTATTTCAGATACTGGCTTCTTACGAATATTTTTCTTATCTGATAGGTCCAAGAATAAACTGTCTTCCTTTCCATCTGGGATTTTGTCAATAAACCATCCTCCCTCAGATTCTCTGGCAGAGGTCTTCAAAGGAATGGAGCCTGTTTTAGAAGTAAGCCATGGTGTTGAAGTTTCTTTTTGCTCCAACTCTGGAGTATTTGGAATAGAATCAAGATTTCCTTTCCGATATAAAGAGAGCAGGGAACTGTTCATATGATTGGCTGACTGATAGAAACACAATTTTAGCATAAATTACTCACAAGGTATTCATAAAAAGTTTCATTACCTATACCATAAATTTTGTACATTATGCTTTCAACAATTTCTCTCACATTTATATTCAGAATATGTAGATGTTCACAATAAGATGATTCCCAAACAAGAATTTACTCCTCAAAAAGATGCACCAATTCATAATTAGTGATTAAATAAAATCAAATAAGCACTGTTGCTTTTTTAAAAAACATCCCAGAAGCAAGCATGAAAATGAACTGGTAATCAATGAGTCACTAGCATACCATCAATTCAAAACTGGATCAAATAGAACTGAGTATCATCATTACTTTAATAAATTCAAGACCTAATTTACCAAGCGACAAAAATGGACGACAGTTATATATAACTGGATATATTACTGCCATATCTCATTACTTAAACGTATTCATCAGTAATGCCTAGGAGAAAATAAATCCTCGCCCTCCATTTTTACTATTAATTCATTTTCTATTCCATCTGCCCTTACTTTTGGTATTTTTTTCCCTTTCTATTTCCCTGCATAACTTACTATGTACACAAATACTGGAAAGATAACTAATACATCATTAATAATATGCTTAGGAAGTATTCAATTATATACTGATAAAGCTGTTCAAGGTCTCTCATTCTACTTGTTAGTGACTTTTTTTCCTAAGAAGGGATCATCATAATTATTAAAAAAAAAGAAAAAGGCCCATTAAATGTTTGGTTTACCTGTGGATCTGGGTAATCTTCCACATTTGAATCATCATCAGAATAACTTTCAGTATACCTTAATTTAAAAAAAAAAGGAAAAACATTTTAAAGGCTTTCCCCTGTATCCTAAAAAAAAAAAAAAAAAATCATTCCCCAAAACAAACATATATACTAAAGCAAAATATTATGGTGGTTATAAGAGTCCAAGATCTGGAACAAAGATGAACTGGGATTTGAAAATCCAGTTTATCAGTAAGAAGCCTGAATTCAATGTCTCTTGAGTGTCAGCTTTCTTATTTATAAAAGATAATAAGTAATGTCTATCTCATGGGATGATTAAAGAATTAAATGAATCCTTGCAAAGTTCTCAACATATAGTAAATGCTTAAGAAATTGCGGTTATCTTTACCCTAGCAAAAAATAGAATGAAATACAAATTTCCATTAATCCAAAGGCCTCAATTTAGGAATATCAGATTCAGGAAGAGGAAATATTTCAGCAAACTATTAAGTAAGCCCTTTGAAAAACAAATTCACAGTCAATAACCTGAGCCATGGAACCAAATGCTACTTCTCCAAGTATGTTCAGGAGGAATGAAGGAGCCAAGATCGTTTCACATAATAACAACAGAGAAGTTTAACAACTAAAATTACAAACTGGTTACCAAACTACAAACTAATATCAAAGTTGGTAGTTAATAATTTCAAGTAACTATGACACTCAGCTATTATTTAATGGTTTCTTTGAAAGATATTTAAATAAGAAATGACTTTTCCTAAGTAAAAAAATATTTATATGAATGCTATGAAATGTCTTTACAAAGATGTGATTTTTTTTGGAAGTACTGGGATAGGTAAAGTCTCTACCAACTGAGTGAAACACTCCCCAGGCTTCGTTGCTCCAATTGTTTTTTCAGATAGGGTGCCTACCTAGCAAGTGCCCTGAGTGTATCCTAGTATAGCCAAAAAGAGAAAAAAAAAATGAGATGTGTAGAGAAAGGCAGAAATCAGGAGGATCATGGTTTCAAGGCCAGCCAGGGCAAATAGTTCTTGAGACTCTATCTCAAAAAAACCCTTCACAAAAAGGGGCTGACAGAGTGGTTCAAGGTGTAGGCCCTGAGTTCAAACCACAGTACCAACAACAACAAAAAAATTATGGTACATGCAAATGAAAAAGATTCATATATAAACAGTGAAAAGGGAGCAGGGCTCATGCTTGTAATCCTGGCTACTTGGGAGGCTGAGATGGGGAGAATCTTTGTTCAAGACCAGACCAGACAAATAGAGATACTCCCATCTCCAAAATAACCAGAGCAAAATAGATTGGAGGTGCACCTCATGTGGTAGAGCACCTACTTTGCAAGCACAAAGTCCTGAGTTCAAACCCCCTGCCCACCAAAAAAAAAAAAGAGTGAAAAGGAGACGGGCTCAGTGGCCAATGCCTGTAACCTCAGCTACTTGAGAGGCAGAGATTGGAAGGGCTGATGTTCAAGGCCAGTCCAAGCAAAAAGTTATTGAGACCTCATATTGACCAATAAGCCAGGTATGGTAACAGGCACTTGACATCCCAGCTACCAGAAGGCTATAGGTAGGAGGATCATGGTCCAGGCTGGCCTAAGCAAAAAGTGAGATACTATCTGGAAAATAGCTAAAAAGCAAAAAGGGCTGGAGGCATGGCTCAAGATCCTGAATTTAAACTCTTAGTACTACCAAAAAAATGTGTAAAGGAGTCCGACCACAGATCCTACAGACATTAGGAGTCTCTTTTGTAGTATAGAGAATATCATACTATATGCTCTTCTATAGTTTAGACAACTAAAAAAGCATTATACTAACAAACTACACATGTTACATATGACAAGTTTCTTCCTCTCTCCCTGTTTTTTGTGGTACTGGCTGCCAGAGCTGACCCTGGACCAAGATCCTCCTATTTTTGCCTCCCCAGTAGCTGGGATCACAGGCAAATTATTTTAAAAACACCATCTACCAAAATTGACAATAAGAAAAAGATAGAAGGACACATATGAATAATAAAACAATAAAAAAAAAAGATATAAGGAGCAATTATATCTAGCAAAGTTAAAATTTATCAAAATTCTTCATAAAAAGAAGAGACCAGGTAAGGGAGGCCGCAAGCTCCACTTCAAAGCAGCTCCAAGCCCACCAAGTAGACACCATGAATAAAACACACCCTCTCAAGCTAAAAAAAATATGCACAAGAAGTTGTCATTGAAATTAAATGATGGCAGATATGTTCAAGGAATATTGCAGGGATTTGATCCCATTTGAATCTTACGATAGGTGAGTATGTGGAGATGGCAACTAGTGGGCGACAAAACAACACTGGAATGGTGGTAATACAAGGAAATAGTATCATCATGTTAGAATCCTTGGAAGGAGTTTAAATAATGACTGCTCAGAAGAAAAACCCATGTCCGCTCTCCAAGGGCCTGTTTTACTATGAAGTAAAAATTGGATCATACACATTTTCATACTAAATGTTTTATAAAATAAACTTTTATAGTAGTCAAAAATGCTTTCTCTCTCAGACATTCTGAATTTAAAAATAAAATGTTAGCTCCTTTTGAAAAAATAGAGTCCAAGCCCAGATGAACTCTAGATGAATTTAAAACACTTAAGAATTTTCATAATTCTTTTTCATAAAATAGAGAACAAGAGGGACACTTCCCAACTATGAGGCCAGTATAGCACTAATACCAAAACCTGACAAAGACATTGCAAAAGGAGAGAGAACATTCAGGGGTGGGGGTGTAGCTCAGTGGTACAGCGCCTGCTTAGCAAGCTTGAGGCATTAGGTGTAATCCCAGTACCACAAAAAAAATTAAAATTAAAAAAGACTACAGTTGAGTATCAGTGACTCACACCTGCAATCCTAGCTACTTGGGAGGACTGTGGTTCAAGGCCAACCAAGTCAAATAGTTTGTGAAACTCCATCTCCAAAATAACCAGAGCAAAACAAACTGGATGTGTGACTCAAGTGGTAAAGCACTTGCTTTGTAATCATGAAGCCCTGAGTTCAAACCCCAGTTCTCCCACCAAAAACAGACTGCTGGAGTACTGGCATGAAGGACAGACATACAGACAAATGGAGTAGAACTGCAAGTCCAGAAATAAAGCCATACTTTATACAAAAAAAAAAAGATAGTCGTGGTGATAAGGTGCCTATAGTCACAAGTACTGGAGGCTGAGATATCAGCCCAAGAGTTCAAGACTATCCTGGGGCATATACAATCACTTGGTTTCAGAATAAAAAATAAAGAAAAAAAGAAAATTCAGACCGATATAAGTATAGATGTAAACTTGGGGGACCCTGGGCATTCAATATAGCTGGGAAAAAATGTGTGGAGAGTTTAGTTATTATGCAGCATCTTGTTGGCAATGAAGAACCACTGAAAGCTTTCCAGGTATGAATGTTTCATTTTAGGGAAGGAAAAAAAATTTGAAATACTTACTCATTATCCTCTTCACGTTGTCTTGCTCTTTTTGCCAGATGAACTTCTTCTAATTCTGTTAAATTCTTAAGTTCTTTCTCACTGCTAATTATGCTGAACACTGAAACAAACAAAAAAATGCCGTCGGCTAAAATAGTTCTCTCTGTAACTATTGACAACCCAGCTCTAACACTAAAAAAACTCACCTTTTTCTACCTGAATCCTAAAAGCATTTCTTTTTCTTCTACCATAGTCTATACTGAAAAAAAATAAAAAGAATTTTAGTATAGTGGTCTCCTTCAGTATTTTTTCACTAAGCTCAATGTTAATGGATCACAAACATTTGCATAAATACTTAATTTTGTCATTGTTCACACTGACAATGGACCTATTTTCAAATAACTTCTGAATTTACATATTCACTACTTTGACTTTTCTCATTTTTTTCTTTTTTACTAGTTCTTTTTCTTTGAATGTATATTCTGAAAGTTCAAATCTACTAAAATGCTGAAAGAAATAATGTAATGAATATTCATATATTCTTTAAATATAGTCTCAAACTGTTACCATTTTGCCACATTTACTTTACTTCTCTCTGTATACAGAGATAATTATTTTGGTAGAATCTTTTGAAAATTAGTTACAGACACTTCACCACAAAAAAAATCTGAGCTAGGAATATAACTCAATGGTTGAGTATTTGCCTAGCATGCATGAGGCCCTGGGTTCAATCTATAGTATGGGGGGAAAAAAAACCAAAACAGTATGTATCTCTATAAAAAGGGTACTTATATAACCACACAATTGGCACATATAAGAAATTTAATTTTGATAAAATATTGCCTAATATACAGTCTGTATTAAAATTCCTCAAATTGTTCCTTCAAAAATGTTCTTCTTGGGCTGGAGGCATGGCTCAAGAAATAGAACACCTGCTTATCAAGCAGTACCACCAAAAAAAATTTTTAAATAAAATAAAACAGCAAATTATGGACTGGGGATGCAAAAAGTCCTAGGTTCAATTGTCAGCACCACAAAAATAAATAAAATCAAATAGCAACTTAAGCTATGTTAAATATGTTTAGCTTAAATATGTCAAAGCAATATCAACACAAAGGCCTTCCTTCTAAACAAATTTATGCTTTTTAAAAATCAAGTAATCAGTGGAATGGGCTATAAACCATGAAGGGTGATACCTCTATCAGCAAATCATACTCAAGTAGGAGAAAATCAAACTCCAAGATAACAAATCAAGGTGGAAGACTCTTAGTATAGCATTTCAATTCATTTACCCCTACCAGGAACCACCTACCAAGTGAGTGTTAATGTTCAGGACACTATACCATACCTCCCTCAATAGAATAATTCTTTTCCAAACTGAACAAAGACTCAGTCAAAAGCAGCTAGAAGGGGCTGGGGAGTGGCTCAAATGGCATCAGAGCACTTGCCTTGCAAGCACAAGGCCCTGAGTTCAAACCCCAAAAAGCAGCAAGCAATAAACATCTACATGACATTAAAAAGTTAACTAAAGAATCAAGTATGGTGGCACAAACCTGCAAGCCCAGCATTTGAGAGGATAAGACAAGAGGACCATGAGTTCAAGGCCACAAAGTGAGACCTGAGCTACATAGTGAGACCTTGTCCCCCTCTCCAAAAAAAAGGAATCTTAGAAAATCACTATAACTAAAAACATAAAACACAAGATACAACTATGAAACTAAGATTTAATACAAAGACAAAGCTACTAATTTTCCAAACGCTAAGAATATACAGACCATGAAGAACTTTATAGTATATAACATTTGAATACCAAAAACTAAGGACTAAATACTGACATTTCTCCAGTCTCTAGACAAAACCTACTCTCCTCTATGCTGTCATAGGACTTAATCCAACCACTAGGTCTATCCTTTGTGGCTGTTCTTCCAACTTCCTCCTTCTCTGGATTGTGAATTTATGAAAATGTAAAGATATAAATTATGAGTTTATATTCACATCTGCTACAGCACCTGAAACTGCATTCATGTATAATAGGCATTTAAGAAATATTTGCCATGTCATGAAAATTTAAAAGCTCCTGGTATCTGGTACAGATGATTAAAAAAAAGGGGAGTTTTCATAATATACAATATGGTATAAATCATGATATCATATGCCCTGTTATGTTTCAGCAAATAGAATCATTAAAATGAGAAAAAGCATTTCAGACTCTCTGAAAAGTAGCTACATTTTTATGGATAAAGATCCAAAGATCTATTTCTTACAGAACTATTTCTGGTGCACTTTTTTTAAAGCTAAAAAAAAAAAGTTCTTCTCCATGCTGAAATTAGCATTAATGGCCCTAATCTCTGAGATTTTCATTTTTAAAAATTAAATCAAACATATGAATGCACCCCCTGCTAGCTCAGCAAACTTTAACTTGCTAATTATTCTCAGTAGGTGAGTATCATTTCAGAACTATGTAATGTGTTATTTAGCCAAAAGAGGAAAAAAGAAAGAAAATGAAGTACTATAGGAGACCTTAATGACAAATACAGGGTGTATTTGATTGCATCAAATATCTCCAAAGGCAGTGTTTGCTGTCTAGTCTCCAAAAGTAGCACATGAACTCTCTCAGTAAACTCTTCCACCAGTCCCTTTCACCACTCTCTGAACAGAATTAATTTTGTCCCCTTACAACACTTTTTTTTTTTTTTTTTGGTGGTGATGGTTGTACTGGGAGGTTGAACTCAGGGCCTCGTGCTTGCTAAGCAGGCACTCTACCACTTGAGCCACACCCCCAAGCCCTCTTTGCTTTAGTTATTTTTCAGACAGGGTCTTCAGTCTTTGCCTGGCCAGCCTGGACCACAATCCTCCTATTTTTTTTTTCTTTTTTGGTACTGTGATTTGAACTCAGGGCCTACACCTTAAGCCACTTCACCAGCCCTTTTTTGTGAAGGGTTTTTTCAAGATAGGGTCTCATGAACAATTTGCCCAGGCTGGCTTCAAATCGAGACCTTCCTAATCTCTGCCTCCTGAGTAGCTAGGATTACAGACTGAGCCACAGGAACGATCCTCTATTTACAATTCCCATGTAGCTGGTTTGACAGATGCATGCCACCACATTCAGCTATCAGTTGAGATGGGGTCTTGCTAACTTTTTGCCAGGGCTAGATTCAAATCCAATCCTCCCAATCTCTGCTTTACAAATAGCTGGGATTATAGACATGAGCCACTATACCCAGCTCACATCATTTTTACAGTAGTGATAATTAAGCTGTCTGGGATTTACTCATTCACTCAACTCCTTCAATTCAATCAACAAACACTACGTGTTGAAATCCCTTGAAGAACTGACCAAGAGTTGGAACCCTAGAGAAGAATAGATGTTGCCCAATGCCAGTGACTCATGCTGGTAACACTACCTACTTGGAAGGCAGATATCAAGAATATTGCAGTGGAAATAAGCCAGCTCAAAGAGTTAGCAAGATCTCATCTCAACAAAAAAAACTGGAGTGGGGGTGCACACCTTTCATCCCAGCTACATAGGAGGATCAGTCTGAAGCCAGACCCAAAAAACTAAGACCCTATCAGAAAAATAACTAAAGCAAGAAGAGCTGGGTGTATGGCTCAAGTGGTAGAACACTAGCAAGCACACAGGGCCATGAGTTCAAATCCCAGTACTGCCAAAAGAAAAAAAGAAGCCAGACACCAGTGTCTCACATTTGTAATCCTAGCTACTTGGGAAGCTGAGATCGAGAGGAACATGGTTCAAGACCAACCCGGCAAAAAGTTCATGAGACCCCCATTTCAATGGAAAAAAAACCTGGGTGTGGTGACATATACTTGTCATCCCACAGAGGGTAGGAAGTGCAGATCAGGCAAGGCCAGTGTGGGCAAAAAGAGAGACCCTATTTCCAAAATAACCGGAGCAAAATGGACTGGAGGCATGACTCAGTGTAAAGCCCTGAGTTCATACCCCAGTATTGCCAAAAAAAAAAAAAAAACAGGTTTGGTGATTTATTATAGAAGCTGCAAGTGGAACTAGGTGAAAGTTCCACCTACAACACAGGGGTGTAACTTGAGTGACTGCTCAAGTTTTGCTATCAACTAAGACTTTTTTTCAACAAAGTACTTGGGAGTGGATGCCCTATTCATGACCTGCCCTATTTATACCATGATATCCCCATCCTCCACCCCTTGGGACCTTCTCCCAGGGCTACCACCTGCTGTTCGGTCCCACTCCATCACTCTCACCTGTTAAAAAAAAATAAATTTCTTCAATGTCAAAAAAAAATTAATTTGCTTTTTTAAAAAAATAAAAAGACAAAGAAATGGTACGCAATTCCTGTTTAATTGTTTAATGGAGTGCATGGTAGGGACAGAAGAAAACTTAGAACACCCCTGAAATAAATTTTGATGTAGGGGAGGAAAAATGTTAGGCAGTAGTCCAAGTGGTGTGCACAGTTTTTTTGTTTTTGGGATGAGGTCTTATTATGTAGTTCAGGCAGACCCCAAACTTGCCATCTTCCTGCCTCAGTCTCCTAAGTGCTAGAATCATGGGTGTTTACCATGCTACCCTGCCACAATTTCTTTAAAAGGCCTTTTTGGTTCTTCTTCTATCCTTCCATCCTTCTTAACAGAGCTGGTACTGAGAAGTGCAGTGCTGCTGTAACAAAACCAAAAAACAGAAATGGCTATGGGACTGGAGCTATGGATCAAGTGGTAGAGCACCTGCCTAGAAATGTCTCTGAACCTGGGCAAAACAGTAAGGCTACAAGTGTTGAATTTCATGTTAGAAAAAGCCAACACTGCTTTGAAGAGACTTCTGGTAGAAATAGGTACATTTCAGTTGATTCTGGGGATGGATCAGAAAGAAGAGAGCTGTACAGAAAACTTCTTATAGTCTTAGAGACACACATATATTATCACATAATGTTGTAGAAATATGAACATTAAAGATGCTTTTGTGAGACCTCAGATAGAAATGAGAAATGTGGTATTGGAAACTAGAGGAAAGGTAGTCCTTGTTATGACGTGACAGAGGACTTGGTTGAACTGTACTGTTTTGTGGAAAATAGAACTATAGGCAAAAATTTTGATATTTAGCTGAGATTTCTAAGCAAAATGTTGAAATGTGGCCTGGTTTTTCCTTGCTGCTTATAGTAAAAGGTGAGAAAAGAGAGTAAAATTAAAGCAATCGTTCATTAAGCAAAAAGAAACCACAGAACTTAAAGTTGGAAAATTCTCAGCCTACATTGTAAAATGAGAAAGCATGTTCTGAAAAGAACATCAAGGGGGTGATATTTGCTAAAGAGATTACAGGCTTATGACTTACAGATCCAATCAGCCATTTCAGAGGCCAGAAATAGAGATGGGTTACAGCAACAGAAACAGTGCCAGTTTGGACTAAAGGGGACACAGAGGGAACAAAATTAAGGAAGGCTACTGGACTTTTAGAATTCTATTGGACACAGCCAACAGACTGTCTAGCTGCCAACATGCATTTTCTTTCAAGAAGAGGGAAGAATGACCCTGAAAGAGGTGAGGTGTTGGCAGTGCTGCTGCTGCTACCACAAGCCCACAGGGCACAGATCCAAGCCTAGGTTCTAGAGGGTAAGACTACCATCCTATTGAATCTAGAGGACAGGGTACTGAACCAAAGAGGATTATTCTCAAGCTTTCAAATCTTTTTTTGCAGTACTGGGGCTTAAATTCAGGGCCTTCACCTTTAGCCACTCTACCAGTCCTATTTTTGTGAAGGATTTTTCAAAATAGGGTCTCTCAAACTATTTGCCCTGGCTGGCTTCAAACTGCGATCCTCCTGATCTCTGCCTCCTGAGTAGCTAGGATTACAGGCATGAGCCACCAGTGCCTGGCTCAAGCTTTCAAATCTAATGAAATATACCTTGCTCGGTTCTGGACCTACTTGGGACCTGTGATCTCTTTTTCCAAATGCTCCTTTTACTCTATTTCTATCCCATGTCTGTCCCATTATTGTGCCTTAGAAGCTGAGGATTTCTTGTCTAGTGTCACAGATGGAAAGGAATTCTACCTCAGGTTGAATCATACCTTGAGTCTCATCCATACCTGATTTAAGTGATATTTAGGTAAGATTTTGGACTCACAAGTTGATGTGGACATGGGTTAAGACCTTTGGGGGCTGCTGGAGTGATACATATATCTGCATATGAGAAGGATATAAATTTTAGGGAGGAATGAAGGGATTCCTATATTGAATTCTGAGGGGAGAGACATCAGAAGAACCCAATCATCTGATGCCTTGATCTTGGACTGTAGCCTCCCGAACTGTGAGAAAATAAATTTCTGATATTTAAGCCACTCAGTTTATATACTTTATTATGTTAACCTTCAAAACAAAAAGGCAGGAATAATTAATGAACAAGACAATAATTTAATCTTCAGACTGGGGGCATGGCTCAAGCGCTAGCATGCCTGCCTAGCAAGCATGAGGCCATGAGTTCAAACCCCAAACCCCAGTACCATCCCCAAAAAAGAAATTAAACCAGAATGGAAACTTTTAGAATGGTAAAGGGTTACACACACATACACACACACACACAAAGAGATCTAGAAGTTGCATTTCTTTACCTGTACATTCTTTGTAAATCAGAGGCTAAGATTCCAGTGTCCACGTATTTACCACATCTATTACTGGTGAGGTACTAAAATAAAAATATAACAAATATAAAATAATATTTCAAACTCAGTGACTTTAATTAACAAATAAGAGACTGGAAAGAGGGTTGAAGTGACCAAAAATAAAGTATATTCACAGTTGGGATACATCAAGAAACCTTTTGAACACTGACCTTGGAATTAAAAAAAAAAAGACAGGATTATAAAATAAGTATGTCACAGGGGGGACTCAAGTGGTAGAGCGCCAGCTTTGCAAGTGTGAAGCCCTGAGTTCAAAATCCCAGTTGCACAGAAAAAAAAATTCCAATAATAAAATGATCTCTCTGGACACTCTTTGGGGAACAGACATAGGACCATAGGAATCAGTTAGGTGGAGACTGCAGCAACACAGCAACCTAACAATAGGGAGACAACAGTTTAGACTAGGATGGCTGGAGGGACAGAAGGAGAGAAGTGCTTAGATTTGGAATACACAGTATTCTGAAGACAAAACCAACATGATTGTTGGTTGATTGGATACAGGAAGTGAAAAGAGTCAGAATAATCCTTAAGGTTTTGGCCTTAACTAGTAGATGGCTGGTGGTATCATTTCCTGAGAGACAAAACACTAAGGACAGGTTTGGAGTTAAGTTGGAAATACCTATCAGACAGACATCCAAGATACTAACTAGGACCGGGCTCCGGGGGCTCACGCCTGTAATCCTAGCTACTCAGGAGGCAGAGATCATGAGAATCGCGGTTCGAAGCCAGCCCGGGCAAACAGTTCGTGAGCCCTTCACAAAAAGGTCTGGTGGAGTGGCTCAAGGTGAAGACCCTGAGTTCAAACCCCAGTACCACCAAAAAAAAAAAAAAAAAAAAAGATATTAACTAGGTAGCTGGAAACACCAATCTGGAATTCAAGATAAAATCCGGACTGGAGATAGAAATTTAGGAGTCACGAATATCTAGATAGTATTTAGGTAAACTGGATGAGATCGCTGAGGGAGAACGGACAGACAAAAGCAGGACGAGTAGCAAAAGGAGGCTGTGGAGGCCCGAACCAGAGGCTCAGGGCGCCCGCATTCGGGTTGGCAGAAACGGGTCGCGAGCTCGCAGGGCCGGCTTGAGAGGCAAGCTCCCTCCTCTGAACTCGACTGTTGCGAGCACCATTCGAGGAATCTGCCACACACTGCTTCCTACCGGTGACTATGAATAATAAGGAAAAAACAAAACAAAAAACAGGCGGCCTCTTACTACTGTTTCCCAAACTAAGTACGAGCTTCCAGAGCGCAGTTCTTTTTGACCCTCCGAGGCTGGTAAAACGCGGGCGTCTGAAGAAAGTCACCCAAGGGCCAAGTCCACTCCCGTGGTAGGGAGGGAAGGCCCGGCGTCACCCTCGGAGGAGTGGCAATTCCAACAGACCCAAGCCGGAACGCGATCTGGAGCAGGAGGAGCGCGCCGAAAAAGGAGAGGCGGTGCCTCAGGTAGCGACGGGAGCCCCGGCAAAGCCGGCCGGGCGACACACACACCTGGACGATGCGCTGCTTGAGCTTGTTGTCCACGTACACCGCGGACCTGGGCTTCATCGCGTCGGTCTGCAAGGTCTCTGCAGAGGCGCCCACTCCACGAGGACCTCCGCGGGGCTGTCCGCTGCAAACGCCGGACAGGCTGCGCCCGAAATGTGCCCCAACCGGCCCAGACCGCGCCGTGCTTCTCAGTACAAAAGCACGACGAATGAGGAAAACGAACTACCAAGGCGGAAAAGAAGACCTTAAAGACCCAAGGAGTTTCTAGCCGTCTTGTTTTTCAGGCTTGTCCCAGGCCTCGGACTGCTAGGCCCACTTTGAACACGCTCAACTTTATTGGTACTCAACTGGCGAACACAGACCCGCGGACTTGAGTTCACTCCTGGTGCCTGCGCAGATTCACCAGACTCCTGCTCTCCCTGCTGAGATTCTCTAACGCCTTGTTCACCTTTTTAATTGTAATTTTTTGTATTTAATATAGGAATAAGACATTTGAGGCGGAGTAGCTCAAGCAGTAGAGCGCTTGCCTAGCAAGCGTGAGGCCCTAGTTCAAACCCTATTGCTGCCAAAAAAAAGTATTCTTGCCGGGCGCCGGTGGCTCAGCTGTAATCCTAGCTACTCAGGAGAAAGAAACCAGGAGGATCGCTGTTCCAAGCCAGCCCAGGCAAATAGTTCACGAGACCCTATCTCGAAAAAACCTATCACAAAAAAAGGGCTGGGGGAGTGGCTCAAGGTGAAGGCCCTGAGTTTAAGCCCCAGTACTGCAAAAAAAAAAGAAGAGAGATTTGAGTACTTTTACTTGTATCATGGTGCCTTGCTGTCTAAGTGTTGTTTGTAGATCAGTGACATTAGCTCTCACTTTTGTAACCTTTTTTATCTTTGTTATAATTATTCGATCATATTAATTTAAAAACTAGTGGGCTTCACTTTGACACTTCCGTACATAAATATATGGTGCTTTGATTGTATCCGTCCTCCCGACCACCGTCTTTCTCCCTCTCCTCTGATTGTGTGTCTTCTATTTTCAGGTCTGAGATACTGACTGGGGTGAAATGGAGCCTCAATTTAAGTTTTGCTTTGTATCTGCCTGTACCTGTACTCTTTTTCAAGAGCAGAGCACCAGGCACCATTTTACATACATTAGAGTTCCAATCACGGCACATCCTAACAAACATTTGTTATTTTCTGGCTTCTTGTTTGTTTTTATGCTAGCCACAACTCAAAGCCAGCCCGGGGAAATAGTTGGCAATACCCTAGCTCAAGAAAAGTCATCACAAAAAGGGCTGGCGGGGTGGCTCAAGTGGTAGATCACTTGCCTAGCAAGTGTGAGGCCCTGAGTTTAAATCCAAGTGCTGCCAAAAAAAAAGTTAGTTCATATCATATCTATAAACATGGCGTTGACCTGGAGTTCTGATTTATTTTGAATGATTTCTTTTTCTATCCGAAGTGAAGCTTTCTTGGTGTTTCCAATGCTTTTTATATCTGTTCATCAAAATTTTGGTTATAAATGGGAATGCTCAATAGGAGTCCTGTAGTTAATGCAACATTTTCACCTTCATATGAGGTTTCAATCTCAGATTCTCTTCCCTACTTAGACATTAAGGTCCCAGCTTGCAATGGTTGGACCCATTTCTGTCAAGAATTGTAGCAGGAACTAAATCTCTGATTTAGTTTCATGAAACTATGACAATACCTTTCCTTTTTTTTTTTTTTGTCAGGCAGTACTGGGGTTTGAATTTAGGGCTTTACACTTGCTAGGCAGACATTCTACCACTTGAACCATACCCCAAAGCCCCACAATCCCACCTTTCAATGAATGATTTTAAAGTGGTGTGTGTGTGTGTGTGTGTGTGTGTGTGTGTGAGACAGGGTCTCACTATGTAGCCCAGGCCAGCCTTGAACTCATTACCCTTGAGATATTTTGTTAGACTTATCCATAAGTATTTCATGATATTTGGTAATATGGTAAGCCGTGCTGCTGTTTTAAAATTTTGATTTCTGCTAGGAGGATTGTTTGAGCTGAGGAGTTCAAGAACAACTCAAGATAACATAGACTCCATCTCAACAATCAATAAATAAGTTTTGATTTCTAACTATTGATTGTTAGGATATGGAAATGTAATTGATTTTTTTTGTTAACCTTGTGTCCTCTAAACTTGTAAACACAGTCTACCAAGACAAAATTTATTTCGTATTTTCCAGTTCATAAGTATTTTTTCCTTGCTTTATTGAACTGATAAACAGAAACAAGAAAAACGGCTGAAAACAAGAAGATTATAGGTTTGCCCTGTGATGTCACATCTCTGATAGATCTAAGAGGATTTTTGTAGTTTCTCAGTTTATTCAGCTTTCTACTTGTTATTAGGACAGAATGACTACTTCTAAGCTCCTTACATTGCAAGACCAAAACATTTCAGTTTATGCATTAAAAATAGGACACATATTTTAAACCAAAATTCATGTTGTGATATATTTTTTTCATTTCTGTTCATGGTTCTCAAGGCAGCTCATCAAAACTAGAGTTTCTCTTCCCCAATATGGGTTGTAGAAGCTTTTCCCATCCTTCTTTCTTGGAGCTGTTGACCTTAAAGAAATTCTGATTCACTTCACCTGACCATAAGATCACTATTTCAAAAAGGATCCTGCCTCATACCTAGAAGGAAGTAAGCTATACAGAGAGGGTAAGAAGAATCTGACTGTGCATGCCTTGCTGGGTTTCCTCTCAGTCTATTAACATCAGATTATACCTGGGGAGGGAAGGAGTGGGGTTTGAACTCAGGGCTTCATGCTTGTAAAGCAGGCAGTCTACCACTCCAGTAGAGTCACACCTCCAGTCCATTTTGCTATTATTTTGGAGATAGGGTCTTAAAAATTATTTGCCTGGGCTGGCCTTGAACCATGATTCTCCCAATTTTAGCCTCCCAAGTAGTTAGGATTACAGGTGTGAGCCATGGGCGCCTGGCTATAGATTATACCTTTTTGTACAGCCGTATTTCTACATGGTTGTCCAGTCTTCAATCATGCTTACACAATAAAGTCTCGAAAGAAAGCAAGAAAAGGAAGGAAGGAAAAAGGGAGGAGGAGGGAGGAAGGGAAGAGAAGAGAAAACCTCCAAAGGACAGGGTTTAGAGAGATTCCACAATTTGAGTGTGTTGAGGTCTCTACAGGTAGGTCACAAGGAGAGGGCGTGGAAGGTTGGCAGTTCTCCCATGCCTGATCTTGTTTCTCTTCATTTGTATACTTCACAATATCCTTTTTAAAAATTGGTAAAGGCAAGTGTTTTCCTGAGTTCTGTGAGTCACAGAGCAAATTAATGAAACCCAGGAAGAGGTTTGTGGGAACCTTGTTTTATAGCTAGTCAGTCAGAAGTATAGATAAAACAACCTGGGCTTATAACTGGCTTCAGAAGCAGGGAATGAATCTCGAGCTGAGCCTTCAACCTGTGGTATCAGACACTATCTCCAAGAAGACAGGTGCATGATTGAAACAAATTAGAAAACACCCAACTCCTACATACTGCAGAATTGATTGCTTGTTGGTGGGGGAAACCCTCCTCCACACACACAAAAAAAATCTGATGTCAGAAGTTCAGAAGTGATCTGTTATGAGACTATATAGAAGAAGAAACTTGAGTTTGAGTTGTTTTTTCCATAGTATATTCAGACATGGTAATACACATATATGCATACCATTTACTGGGGTTTTTTTTTTACTTTTTATTATCATATTATTGTTGTACTGGGGATGGATTTTTTTTTAATCTTGATCATTTCCTTCTTCCATAGTTTTGACATAGCAACCATGTTTTCAGCTTTCAGGTACAATGAAAGACAAAGGCTATCATAACTAGAAATGGATTAATAATTATCTATTGATTGTGGTGTGTCATTTTATCAGGAGAAACAAGCAGATAAAGAATATAGGGTAGCCAGTATTTTCTGTTCCATCTCAGGGGGAGCAAATGTAGGATGAAGATTATTATTATTATTACTATTGTGGGGACTGGAGTTTGAATTCAGGGCTTCACGCTTGCAAAGCAGATGCCCTAACACTTGAGCCATGCCTCCAGTCCATTTTGCTCTGGTTATTTTGGAAATGAAGTTTCATAAACTATTTGACCAGGCTGGCCTCAAACCATGATCCTCCCAATCTTAGCCTCTGAAGTAGCTAGGATTAAAGGCGTGAGCCACCAGTGCCAGGCTGAAGCTTATGTTTTTAATAAAATTGTAACTAATTTTAGTAAAGCTCTCTCCTGATAGTCAGTGTGGGTTATACATTCAGCAAACATTTGTTAAGCACCAGCTATTTATAGGGTAGAAGGTACTAGGAACACAAAAACTAACAAAATAAGTTACATGTATCATAATATAAATCATGTCTACAAGGTAGATAGTTGCGACTATAGAGGTATGTACAAGGTACAACAGGAGAATAGTGATAGCTTTAACCTATGAACCCTTTATGAATCTATGAACCTGTGCTGCGTCAAGCACATCTAGTTTGTTTGCCTCTATCCTAATTACCCTATATATCCTCTTCTCTCCTAAGTGATCTTCTTGAGAAAAAATGTTCCCCTTTCAGTCAGTTCATGGACCAAACAGCCAGAAAAATCTTTTTAAATATGTGAATCAGATCAAGATACTTTCTTGTTCTCCAATGCTCTCTCACCATGTTACAGTAAAAGCTTAGCTCTTTGCCAAGAATCTACAGGACCATGTAAACTTGTCTTGCCTGCCTCTAACTTCTCAAAACTCTTTTACTTTATTCTCTGTGCTTCAGCCACATGACTTTTTTCCTCTTTCTTAAACACATCACACTTCTACATAGTCGGGCCTTTGCAATCTCCATCTGAACCACTGCCAGCAAATCTTCAAATAGTGATTGTTTAGATTTCTATGTTTACATCAGTTCCTCAGCCTGGCTGTTTCCAGTTCTCAGTCTCCCAAGTGTTTCCCCAACTCCTTTGAAGTACCTTTAACTGCGTTCAATTGATAGATTTTGTTTTCTGTCTCCCCACTGTAATACATGATACAGTCTTGTACAGGGCCTTTCCCCCTTTTTTTTTTGTGGTACTGGAGTTTGAACTCAGGGCCTACACTTTGAGCCACTCCACCAGCCCTTTTTTATGAGGGATTTTTACAAGATAAGGTCTCATGAACTGTTTGCCCAGGCTGACCTCCAACCGAGATCCTCCTGATCTCTGCCTCCTGAGTAGCTCACAGGTGTGAACATGGGCTCCCAGCACTCTCCCTTTCTTGTTCACCATGATTCCTAAGGTTTAGAACAGTACCTCACATACACTAGCTGTTCAGAAAATATTGGTTGATTGAATGAATGAGAGCCTTGGCTATAATTATATAATTTAGTTACTTCTTTATGGCCTGTTCTTCCTACCTACCTACGCAGTATTTTGACTTGTTCATTTCTGTATCTCTGGACTCTTGGCTTGTGGTAGGGGTGTTGTCAGAACTATTTGTTAAAGGAATGAACACTGGATTCAGTTTTTAAAATACAGGCTGGGGGCATGGCTCAAGGAATGCCTGAATAGCAAGCACGAGGCCCTGAGTTCAAATTCCAGTAGCACCAAAAAAAATTCTTAAAGAAGAGAAATAATAGGGTAAGCAAGCAACTGTAAAAGCTCCAGAGAAATTGAGATTAGGATCAGGTCTCAATTATCAAGTCAAGTGTTTGGCTTTGTGCTTTTAGATGAAAATCCAATACCTTAGCTGGACTCCGGTAGTTCACACCTGTAATCCAAGCTACTCAGGAGAGAGAGAACAGGAGGATCACGGATCGAGGCCAGCCTGGGCAAATAGTTCATAAGACCTTATCTTGAAAAAAAAAAAAATCACAAAACAAGGCTGGTGGAGTGACTCGAGGTGTCGGCCCTGAGTTCAAACTCCAGTCCATCAAAAAAAACAAAAGAATACCCAATACCTCTTCAGACACTAAGGAACATTTCAGGCGTGGTGGCTCACTGTTATAATCCCAACACGGGAAGCAGAGGCAGGCTTACCAGCTCCAAGCGCTTTGGCCTCGCAGAGGTGGAAGAGGCCCCGCCCTCCACCTTGCGCTTCCCAGCATGCAGCAGCGCGGGCGAGACCTTCCCGGTGCACTACAACTCCCGGCATGCCGCGGGCGGTCGGGCCCCACGCCCCGCAGGCCAGGACAAGGGCCTATCGGGCGGAGCGGCCGGGCGCCGGTTTGACGGGAGGAGCGGCGGAGGATGGAGGCGGTGGTGTTCATCTTCTCTCTCCTCGATTGTTGCGCGCTCATCTTCCTCTCGGTCTACTTCGTATCCTTGGCCGCTGCGAGCGGAACCCGGGGCGCCGCAGGGGACTGCGCCTACTGGGCCCGCGGGAGCCGGGCGGACCTGGGAGCGCGGCGGCGGCGGCGGCGGCGGCGGCGGCGGCGCGGGTTCCCTGGGGCAGGGTGGCCGGGCCGGGCTGGGAGCGGCCTTCGAGCCGGCCTTCCCGGGCCGCGCCACCCCGCCCCCTGGCCCCACGACTCCCGGCGGCCCTGCGCCTCAGGCCCTCGGGAGGGAAAGGCGGCTGTTTCCCTGGTTGGGATGCCGCGCGCTTGGGTCAGGCGGACCGGACGGAGGCGCTTTGCCATCTCTGGTCGTGGGGCGCCCTTCTCGCCGCCGCTCTTTGTCTTTGCGGGTGTTGTATTCGCTCGTGTCAGGACCCTCCGCACCCAGGGGCTGACTCCAAAAACGGACGACCTGTTTCCTTCACGTTGCCGTTCGTAGTGAGCGCTGGGAAGGAGTTCTTTAAAACGCACCCGCTGCCCGGAGTGGCGGTGCCCGACTGTAATCCCAGCTACTCGGAAGGATCACGGTTAAAGACCAGCGGGGACAAAAAGTTAGTGAGACCCCCCCCCATCTCAACCCTCAAGCCTGGCGTGGTGGTCCCGTCTCTAACCCCAGCTAAACTGAAGGCTGTAGACAGGAGGATGGGTATATGAGGCCAGGCGGGCAAAACCGCAAGACTCTGTCTGAAAATTAACTGAAGCAAAAAAGGGTGGAGTGGCTTCAGCGGTCGCGCTTCTGCCTAGCAAGTGCAAGGCCTTGAGTTCAAACTCCAGTTCTGTACCCCTCGCCACCCCCCACCCCACACCCCGCAAAAAATTCTGCAAATTGAGCGTTTTGGTTGGTGCGGTAGTGGAAGACATGTAAATTCAGTAAACACAGGTGACTTAGTTCCCAGTCATTGGCTGAACTTCAGAATTTTTCTGTCAGTTCATGTCAAAACTTCAGTATTTTCTGTTTGTGTTACAGTTTTCACAGTTTTCCAGAATAAATGGTTGTTCAACAACCTAGCATTGTAGTAGTTGTTATGGCTACAACTAACTCTTACTAGTTCTTGTAGGAGCATCTGATTCTTTGTTGTGCAGTGTTGTAATGCAGTAATGTAATGCACAATCCAGTTTTAAGTAATTAAATACAAACAGGGAAAATGCACAAGGAACTCTGCATTTTACCCTCTTTCCTTGGAAATCGCATTTGTCCCTTTTATTCAAATTAAATTTTTTGTCTGGCAAAACATGCCGCTTTAGGATAGTTGCATGGACTGTTTAGTGTGGTGCCATACTTCATTGTGGACAGTTAGCCTGTTTTTAATAGAAAGGGACAAAATTTGGAATCATGACAGCACGTTATTTCACCTGTCTCCCCCTTATTTTCTTACCTTTAGAGTGGGAGACGATTATTTCCTGGATATGTACAATGAGAATGTGTTAGGCACCTAGCACAGTGTACTCCTCACAGCAAATGTCCAGTAAATACTGCTCTGCCTTCCCATCCCACCTTCAATGGAGTAGCAGTTTTTACTTTGGTTTCTGATGAGAAGTGCCCGCAGTTTTATTAGGTTCAAGGAGCTAAACTAAAAGGACAGCATCACTTACTTGTTTCCACCCCCTCCACTTGCTTAAGTTCTCATAACCTGTTGTTCCTGTTGTGATACAAGAAAATGGAGCTGTATTACACTCAGAAGTAAAACTAGGTTTTTTTTCTTGTAGTTTGGAAAACTAGGTTTGATAATTTAAAATAGCTTACCTATACAGGGAAACGTTAGGTGGAGTGGTTGTCAATGGTAGACATTGAGGTACATTTGGGATGTGTTTTAATGAAATTCATCAGGTTACTGTATTTTAGGATAGTTTAACAAATAGTATTTGAAAGAAGAGATGGGAAATGGTTAGAGTAGACGTCATGTAGACTACAGAAAGAGTTTTTGGACTTTGGCAGTCAAATACTGGCAAGAGCAAAGCTGCAGAGAGAGAGAGAGAGAGAGAGAGAGAGAGAGAGAGAACTATGTTAATTTTTAATTTTTTTTTGTTAGTCCTGGGGTTTGAACTCAGGGCTTCAAGCTTGAGCCATCTCTGACCCTTTTTATTCTGGTTATTTTGGGGATAGAATCTGGCTTTTTGCCCAAGCCTGCCTAGACTGCATTCTTCCTATTTTATACGTCCTGCCATAGTGGAAATGACAGTTGTTCCATAACTCTCAGCTTTTTTTTTGCTGAGATGGGTTTTGTGAACTTTTTTGTCCAAGCTGGCTTTAAACAGTGATTCTCCCAATCTCAGCTTCCCAAGTAGCTAGGAGTACAGGCATGAGCCACTGGCTCCTGGCAATAGGTTCATTTCTGGGTGATAGTAATGAATAGATCTGAAGAACATGTAGCAGGAGTCAGGTTGGAAAGCCAGGGTTAATCAGATAAGAGGAGTGCTTTCACTTTCATCCTGCAGGCAATAGGAAACCACTGAAAATTTTTGACATAGCAGGTTTTTGTGCAAGAACACACCATTTCAGTTAGAAGGAATAAATTCAAGAGATCTGTTGTTGGGCTGGGGGATGCAGTGGTAGAGACATGGTCAACATAACGTGATGACTACCATGTTATTACCATAGTTAAGAATGGAATCAAAATGTTCTCACCACAAAAAGATAACCATGTGACCTAATGCATATTGGTTAGCTAGGATTGGTCCTAACACAATGTATGGGTTTTTTTTTTGGACTGGGGTTTGAACTCAGGGCTTCACACTTGCAAAGCAGGATATTTTCAAACAAACAAAAGAAGAACAATGTAAGAATTCCCATGTTTGTTTCATTCACCTTTGGTTATTTTCAACATTTGCCATTCTTTTTCATTTCTTCTTCAACTACTGGGGAGAAGACAAGTAAGTCCCAGATGTCATCTCATTCAGCTGAGTACTTTTCCTTTTATGTCCATCTGTCCAGCAAATTTTGTGAGTTTATACTAAAAAAAACCAACCAAACAAAAAGAAAACCATTTTTTTGGGTGGTGGCATGACTCAAGTGGTAGAGTGCCTGCCTAGCAGGTGTAAGGACCTGAGTTCTACCCCCAGTACCACCAAAAAAGAAGGGGAAAAAAAAAAAAAGTCCAGCCTTTTTGTGTTGTTTGCTCAATTCCCATAAAATTTTATTTTCCATGAAGAGTTTGCAAAATAGAGAAAAGCATTAAGGAAAAAGTCATCTGTAATCCAACTTAAAGACATAACTATTGCTAACATGTGACTATGGTATATTTGAAGTTTTGTTTTTACTTATTGGTACTGGGATTTGACTTCAGTGCCCTGTGCTTGCTAGGCAGGCACTCTATCACTTGAACCACTCCACCAGCCCTTCTTTGTGATGGTTTTTTTCAAGATAGGGTCTTACGAACTATTTGCCTGAGCTGGCCTTGAACCGAGATCCTCCTGATCTCTGCCTTCTGAGTAGCTAGGATTACAGGTGTGAACCATCAGCACTCGGCATACTTGTAGTTTTGTATCTTATTTTCTTTATTCACATTTTGACTCTTCAAAGATATTTTATGAATATATCATAAATAAACACATTTTTCTATTGTTAAAAATTGTTAAAAATTCAGATTTTTAACTTTTTTATTTTTGGTGGTACTGGGGTTTGAACTCAGGGCCTTTTGCTTGCTAGGCAGGCACTCTACCAGTCAACTTTTTTTTCTTTACACTGCTAGGGAATTGAACTTCACAGAGCTCAATCAGAAGATTTTTAACTTTTAAAGGTCTTATTTTCCATTTCTTTTTATTGGGAGGGGAGGCCAAGGGGGGACACACACCAGGGTTTGAATTTAGGGCTTCACACTTGCAAAGTGGGCACTGTACTGCTTGAGCCACACCTCCAGTCTATTTTGCTCTGGTTATTTTGGAGATGGGGGGGGTCCTCACAAATTATTTGCCTGGGGTGGCCTCAAATCACGATCCTCCTGATCTTAGTCTCCCAAGTAGCTAGGATTACAGGCTCATGGGCTTATTTTCCATTTCTTTTTTTATAAAATTTTTTATTAGGATACATTCATTATACATGGGGGATTCAAAGTGACAATTCCAATCAGACTTATATTGTACATTATTTGCATTTCCCCCCTTATCTCTCCCCTCAGTCCCCTCCCCACCCCACCCAAAGCAATTGCAATACAAGGTTTCTTAGATATGTTTCATCAACCATATACTGTCCACCTTAATCTCCTTCCTTCACCCTCCCTCCCCACTAGTATCCCCCTGCCTTTTTTTCCATTTCTTAACAGCCACTGTTCCATATTTGAGGAACTCATACCAAATGTTTGGGTATGGATTACATTATACTTGAGCATAAAAGGATTATTTTTGTGAATAATTTGTTGAAAGAACACAAATGAGAAAATTGAATTGTCTGATGAGTATACTTTAAGGAAATAACTCACATTTTCAAGTCAGATTGAATTCTATCTTGCAACTGAAATTGCTTTTTGAGACTTAAATACTTAGTTGTTATATTATAAATATAATTCCTTATCTTGATAACCAGATAATTACATTGTCTGATTTAGAATGTGATTACATTAATGCTAGATCATGTTGCTCAAAATTAAACAAGGTAAGATATTTCTTTGCTCATTTTTTGTTATTGAAGTCAGGTCTTCATTTTCCATGTTAAAGATTATAGAAAATCAACATTTATTTTTTATTTTAGAGTGCATTTTAAGTACGTATTCATTGGAATGTTGTAGAGCTGCTGTGTTTGGTGGTATTTTAGATCATAAAGTTAAGCCAGAAGATTTTACTTTAAATTACTTTTTTTTTTTTTTTAATTTTTTCCTCCCTTAAATTTGGTTTATTCTTCATCTTTCCAGTCTTCTACCTACAGTGGGCAGCATCATTACTCACAGTAGGAAAAGATTTATCATGAGGGTGTTTTTGTTTTTTGTATCCAAACCTCTCATTCAAGGAAAAAATGCTCAGTCTGTCTTTTCATTGAATGAAAGACCTTCCTTGTGTGGCTTGATTCGTTTTAAGCACATTCTACCATTATTATATCAGACTTTATATTGACACAGATACTCTGATTTGTGGAGCTTGTCTAGGTATAGGTAAAGCATTTGTTCCTGGTTCAGTTTATGAGATGAGCAGACAGAAAAGCCGTCATGTGAAAATACTAAATTGAGAGGTGTTTTTGGTTAAAACTCATTCCAATGTGTGTTCACCTCTTCAGTCTACTTTAGTTTCTCTGGCCCACAAGGAAAATGCAGTTAATTGGAAAACTGTAACTAAAAAGTTAAAATTTCCAGTAATTCCTCCTCCATGTTGGAAGACTGATACATTTTTTTAAAATCAGATAAGTTACTAAATACTTTTGCTTACTCAATATCTTAGGTGCTTTGTGGGTTTCCTTTTATAAAAATAAAACCTACATTCAAAAAAGATTACCTATATTCTACTGAGAGTTTTTCCTTGGGTTTGAAGTTGAAGTAGTTTTTTAATGTTAACAGTTACTATTATGAAATATTTGTGTACACAGAGTCCCTGATATTACAAAGATTATAGCAAAGAACAGCAGTTCCTTCCTGACTACTTTAAATCCTGTCTTGAAGTTTGGGCCAACCAATTTCTACTCTTGGGCTATTAATTTTTTTTCTGGTATTTTTGCCCATATTTTTCTTTTACATGCTTGTACTGCTATTTCTTGACTTGTCACTTTTATTTATTCATTTTTTTTTTTTTTGAGCTAGATCTCATCTGTAATCCAGGCTGCCTTCAAACTTGGGGATCCTCTTGCCTCGGCCTTCCAAGTGTTGATCACCCCTATGCCTGACTAATTTTAAATATTATCTATTATTGTCTCCATATGGTAGAAAGGATTTGTTAGGTACCCCGACTTAAACATCTGCTTTCCCATCTTCCTGTTTTCCTTTTTTTGGGCTAATTGATATTCAGTGTTTTTATCATTATACGAATATAGCCAGGCACTGGTGTCTCAGACCTGAAATCCTAGCTACTTGGGAAGCTGAGATTGGGAGGATGAAGGTTTGAGGCCAGTCCAGGCAAATAGTTCTTGAGACCATATCTCCAAAATAACCAGAGAAAAATGGATTGGAGGTGTGGCTCAAGCAATAAAGTGCCTGAAGCCCTGAAGTTCAAACCCCAGCACTCCCAAGGAGGGGGAAAAAAAAAGTGACATTTCATTTCCTTAGTTTTCTCTTTTTCTTCCCTCCCCTTCCCTTCCTTTCCCTTTTTTGCAATTTTTTTTTGGAAGTTTTTCATTAGGTTACTTTGTTTAGGCCTTTTACATTCATACTTTTGGACATCTTCCTTGTTTTTTTCCTTTCTGTTTTTTGTTATTTGGCAGCCCTGGGGTTTGAACTCAAGAGACTCATGCTTGCTAGGCAGGCACTTTTACCACTTGAGCCACTCCACCAGCCCCTCCTTTGTTTGTTTGTTTGTTTTCTGCCTCTTTTGTTTTATCATTTCCTCTGCTTTATCATCTGACTTTTCTAGTACATATAGCATGTATGTTAAATTTCTAAGAGATTTTTGTTTTCTTGTTTTTCTTTGGCTCAGTTCTCTGAAAGTACTGATAATGGTATTTTTAAAATTTTCTTCTGCTTCCTACATTATATCTATTTCCTTAAAGTCCTTCCCACAAACACTCTTTTTCCATTTTGGAGGCTTTTCTCAAATTTGTGATATAAGGCTATTCATATTTAAAGATAATGCAGCACAATGTTCACTGATAGTCTATGTTTATTGGCTGACTGGTAGGATTCATTGTAGGGTAGTTGGTGTCTACTTGTACTTTTGTTGGGGTACCTGAAATGGCAGGTTTTTTGTAGGTATTTTCTCTTGAACCATTAAATTACTTCAGAGAAGAATTCTCCCAAGCTCCTGCCCGGAGGATATAACTGTAGTGTTAGTTTTTTTCTTTCTTAGAACAAATTAGGGGCAAGGCATATTGTTACGGAGGAAGGAGACAAAATAGAGGACTTAGCAGAAAGTCCATAAACAAAACATAATAAAGTCAAGTATCACTTCCTCAGACTTGTCTCAGGTGGGTATTTATATAAACAAAGATGACTGCAGTCCACCATAAGAAATCCGAAGTATTAAAGCTACTGGTCTAGGTTCCTGATAGCTTATTATCAGTAACATTTTGGTGAGTGCTTACTTTGCATGCATCATCATAATGTTATTTTACAAAGATCAGCATTATTATCTCTATTATACAGATGAGAAAATTGTAACTTAGAAAGGGTAAGTAATTTCTCTCAAGTTTTTGCAGCTTATAAATAGGACATAACATGGATTCCATTCCAAATTTGTTTGACTTTTCAGCTCACACTAAGCATTATGCTGAATTGATTATACTTTTAAAATGTACATTATATGTTGAGAAATTCTGGTTTAATGCACATTAAGTTTAAAGCCCAGAATATCTTCACTTTATGTTTTAAAAAACCAAAAATCCAAATGCAAGGGGTTGGGGATGCAGCATAGCGGTAGAATGCCTGCCTAGCCTGAGCAAAACTGCTTGGGTTTTATCTCCAGCACCACAAAAACAAAGCACGACAAAACAAATGTAAGAGAAGTGAGATCAGTATGTCTGAGTTTATACTGTTTTCTCAGCTGTGACCATGAACGATTTACCTAATCTCTCTTTTGTTTTCCTCATTTCTATAAGTAGATTAGGGTTACATTAAATGCTAACTTCCATTAAAAAAAAAAAAAGATCTAGGTGGGCGCCAGCGGCTCACGCCTATAATCCTAGCTACTCAGGAGGCAGAGATCAGGCAGATCGCAGCAGTTCGAAGCCATCTCCAGCAAATAGTTCACGAGACCCTATCTCAAAAATACCTAACACAAAAAGAGCTGGTGGAGTGACTCAAGATGTAGGCCCTGAGTTCAAGCCCTAGTACCGCAAAAAAAAAAAAAAAAAAAAAATCTAATAAACACTTGATGAATCAAGAGCTCTGCCACCACAGCTGCTGATGCACACAAACCACAAAATTACTTAGTAAACACAGAGCATAGTATGGGGTACTATAAAACCAATGGGCCAGAATTATGACTTCCTGGTTCCTTAATTGTAACATTTTAAAGTCCCATTTGTGTTTCGCTTTGTTTTCCTGAATGTGAAATGATGTCCTCAGGATTCTGGAGATAGGAAAGTGGTTTAAGATTGATACTCTGACTTAAAAGGCAACATGTAACCTAGCATGGTGGTGCACTTCTATAATCCCAGCTACCTGGGAGTGAGAGACAAGAGGATTGTGAATTTGAGGCCACCCTGGACAAAGTTAACAAGACCCTGTCTCAAAAAAAACTAAAAGACTTGGGGCATAGAGGCTTGGAATTCAAACCCCTGTACTGAGAAAAAAGAAAAAGGAAAGGAAGAAAAAACCAAAACAGCGTATCTATCAACATCCCAATTTAGAGTAGGGAGGCTTTAGCATAGATATTGGAATAGAAAGTAAATAATACTGTTTTTTCCCAAGTTATCCTTCAGACCTGCTTAGTGAATGAATCTAAGCTTTTGCTTAGAATAAAGCAGAATTTAAATTTAAGCACTTTATTTTAAACTGTGTCCTGATGTATTTGCATAGAGTAATCACTTATAGCTATATGCAAATCTGGGATGTCTAAGTCTAAAAATCATACGGACATTTGTTGACTTAGCTTGAAATAACATGTACAGCTGTGAAAGACATGGCAAAGATATAAATACTGTGTTCTTCCTTTGCAGTGGGTAATTCCAGAATTAATTGGTCATACCATTGTCACTGTGTTAATGCTCATTTCATTGCACTGGTTCATCTTCCTTCTCAATTTACCTGTCGCCACTTGGAATATATATCGGTGAGTACAGTTTGTTACCTGTTTTGCATCAGGGTAGTTAAAAAATTAATGATAATAAAAATCAACAGCCTGCTCTCTCCACAAAAATGTGTTCCAGTAATAAAGAATGGCAAAATGCTTTATTAAATCAGAATAAATTTTGTTCACTTTGGTGTATTGGACAAATGGCAATTTGTGTGACTCAGTCTTATAAAAGCACAAATCTATATATATTAATTTGGAAAATATGTAATGTTTAGGTGTGATGTCTAAAGGCTTGGGAAATGTTCTTTTCATTGCCTTGAATATCACTCTCAAGTAAGAATAGACAAAAACCTTGACAATATAAGGCTTTCTTTGTTTATCTGCAATTTTTAATTAGTGTGTACTGTACTTGGAATACTCCAAAGAAAATTACATTTTAATGCCTGCACATTAGGTAACTTCTCTCTACCACCATTTTTGCAGTACTAGGGCAAAATAGATAACTTGTCAAAATTTTTGATCTAAGAGCCAGGTGCCCATGGCTCATGCCTGTAATCCTAGCTACTCAGGAGGCGAAGATCAGGAGGATCATGGATCAAAGCCAGCCTGGGCAAATAGTTTGCGAGACCCAATCTCAAAAAACCCTTCCCCTTCCCAGAAATAGGACTGGTGGAGTGGCTCAAAGTGAAGGCCCCGAGTTCAAGCCCTGGCACCAAAAAAAAAATTTTTTTTTAACTTAATACATTTAGGAATTTTGTTCAAAAATGCCCAGTGGAAACATTAATTAGCTATATCTTATAGTCAAGCTATTATGCATAGGATGTTTCCTTGTGAAGAACTGTGGAATAATCTTGACAAGCCTGGAAGTTTTTCTTTTTTTGGTGGTTTGAACTTAGAGCCTCATGCTTGCTAATCAAGAACTTTGCCATTTCAGCCCCTAACTCATTCTTTCTTTCTTCTTTCTCTCTCTCTCTCTCTCTCTCTCTCTCTCTCTTCTTTCTTTCTTCCACAGTACTGGTGTTTGAACTCAGAGCTTCATTCTTGCCGGGTGGGCACTTTATCACTTGAGCCACTCCACCAGCTCTTTTTTTGGGTTAGGGTTAGGTTTTTTCAAGATAAGGTCTCATGAACTATTTGTCCCTGCTGGCCTTGAACCATGATCTCCTGATCTCTACCTCCCAAGTAGCTAGGATTACAGGTGTGAGCCACTGGCGCCAGTTATGTTTTAGCTATTTCTTAAACTTTATTTTTTTATATAATTTTTTATGAACATAAAGTAATTGTACAAAGAGGTTTCATTGTGATATTTATAACATGCATATAATATACTTTGATCAAATTCAGCTCTTCTATATTACTCTTTCTTATCCCCTTCTGTCCTCCCCTACTTTAGTTATTTTTTGAATAAGGTCTTGCATTCTTGTTCCAGGCAGGCCTTGAGCCATAGTCCTTCTACCTATACCTCCCTGTATCTGGGACCACAGACGTATTACTGGTTGAGATTGGGTACTGCTAACTTTTTGCCATGGATCTTTGCTAAGATGTGAGATCCTCTCAATCTTAGCTTCCTTAATAGCTGGGATTTGAGGCATGTGCCACCATGCTTGGTCTTTTTTGGGGAGAACAGTATCTCAATATATAACCCAGGCAAACTCTCAATCCATCAACTTCCACCTCCTCAATGCTGGGATTGCAGGTATGCCTACCTTGCCCAACTCTTGGGATTATTTCTCTGTTAGCAGGTTGCTGCTCTACTATATTTTTATTTATGTTTTTTTTGGTAAAAGCATTCATTGGCTGATTTTTTAAGCATGATGTTGTAAAGTACAGTTAAAATAAAAAGAACATAAAAAAAATAAAGCAAGCAGTGGAAGAGGGTAGTAAGCACATGAAAACAAAGCAGAAGGTGGTAAAGACGAGGGAAAGTGGGTGTTGGTTAGTAATCTTCCAAAGATCATGAGACTAGAACCTGAGCTCTCTACCTCTTTTCTAGAGTGTAGGTACCTGGGATAGGATGTTTTCGTTTTTTTTTTTTTTTTTTTTTTTTCAGTTTTCTTATTGCTGCCCTATGTTCAGTTCCATAGAGTAACATTCTAAGTGAGGCCCTACTGAGAACACAGACTTCTTAAACTTCTGGTGAGGGCCAGTCCTTCACCAGATTTTTGCTACTGTTTTGAGACAGGGTCTCACTGTGTAACCCAGGTTGGCTTGGAACTCAAGATCTTCCTGCCTCAGCCTCCTGGGATTATAGATATGCACCATGCCTGGCCCCACACAGAGTTTTAGCACAGCTGTCTCCCTGCAGCCCCCTGAGTGAAACACAAAATTGGAAACAAGAATGGGTACTGGGATCTCTGATACTGTGATCTTAATGATATTCCAGACCATACCGTCAGTCTTCTGTCTCTACTTGAAATGAGAATGTGCTACAAGAACAGGTTTTGCCATGACTTCTCTGGGCCTAGTAGGCTATGGTAGAAGGCTCTATGAATTTCTATGAATCAATTACAAAGATTTATTTTTCTTATAAAGACAAAAAATCGCAGTGACAGGTTGTCTCTCACAACTTTACCTCCTATTTTAAAAGGTTACTATTACTATATTTTTGGTGTTATTTGTAGATTTATACAACTCACCACAATCTATTCAGGACTTTATTCCAAAAGAAGTCCCATACCCATTAGCAGATGCTTTTATCTCTTCCCTCCCCCAGCTCTGGGCAACCACCAATCTACTTACTTTTTTTTGATACTGGGGATTGAATTCAGGGCCTTGCATATGCTAAGCAGGTGCTCTACCATTGAAATATACCTCCCAACCCCAAATCTGCTTTCTGTATCTAAATTTACCTTTTCTGGAAAGACATATCATATAGAGAGGCTCAACTGATGGTCTTTTATGGCTGGCCTCTTTTACTTATCATTTTAAGGTTTATACACGATGTAGCATATTATCAGCACTTCATTTTTTATTGCTAAGTAATATTCTGTATGCATGTATTACAATTTGTCCATTTGCAACTGATGGACATTTGAGTTTCTACTTTGACTATTATGAATAATTTTTCTATCACTGTTCCTGTAAAAGTGTTTGTGTAGACTTATGTGTTTATTTCTATTGGACAGACAGCTAGAAGTGGAATTACTGAGTCATAATAATGCTGTGTTTGACCTTTTGAGGAATGTCTGTTTTCAAAAGTGGCTGTCCTATACTCTTACCACCTATCTATGAGCATTCCAAGTTCTTTGTATCTTCGCCAACACTTTTATTGACTATCTTTTATTTTAGCTCCATTATTGAATGTGAAGTATATCTCATGACTTCAGTTTACATTTCCACTTAAGACTAATGATATTAGGTGCCTTTTAATGTATTTATATATCTTCTCTGCTTTATTTATTTATTTGGTACTCAGGGCCTCATGCATACTGAGCCACATCCCCTGCCCACTTTATAGATTTTTTAGCAGCTACCTTGACATGAAGTAAATTATGCTTTGTGAAGATTTTTCTGGACGTATTATGTAGCAATACAACACAATGGATAGAGAAGAGCCAGAAGGTAGAAAAACCAATTCAGAGAATGGAGTACGAGAATATAGTATTTAAACATTGTGTTAGTGGGAATAAAAAAGAGCTCTATAAAATGGTAGTAGAAGAAAGTATGAACAGGAGCTTGATGAACTGGCTATGAAAGGTGAGAGAAGAATCAGATCAGATTTTTGTTGTTCGTTATTGGGAATTGAACTCAGGGCCTGTGCTTGCTAGGCAGGGAAGAACTGTAATGCTTGAACCCCACCCTCAGTCCCACTAAGAAGTTTCTAACAATCACCAAGGAAGTAGTGTCATTCTTAGATAACCTAGAAGTCAAAGAATAGTAAGACAGACTGTTTGGAAATGTTACCTGGATATTCAAGTGAAAATACCCTCTATTCAGGTATAGATAGGCTTTAGGATTTGGGGGAGAATTTAAGATTTGTGAAACTCAGGCTTTTGCATCTCACAGAAATGATAGTTGAGAAACTGAGCTTGTGGCAAGAGTGAGGAAACCAAGGTTGTACTAGAATAAGCATGGACATGAGCGCAGGAGGAGGTCATGAACAGTACTGGGTTAGGACCTGTGTGCTTCGCAAATGGCACAGTCTAGATGTTGAAGGCCAATTTCCATAACGAAGTTTCTGAGCACTCGATAAAATTGGTTTGGTTTTAGAGCCTGCTTTAACCTGTGTCTAATGAGAAGGAGCTGTAGGAGTGACAGAGGATGGGTAAAGGGGGCTCAGTGCATAGAATATCTTTCTAGAATGTCCCTATATTTGTTTCAGTGGACAGAAAATTAGACCAAAAATCAAAGTATTGTAACTTCCAAAGGAAAACAAAATTATAATCCAACATTGTAATAATACTCTGTCCATGTAGGGTCTGAATTTAAGGCTGTTATAACTGGCTCACATTTAAAGGTTTAACAATACTGGTTACTTATTTTTCAGTATTTATGCTGATGATTTGATTTTCCTTCTAATGTGTGTACCTTTTTAAATTATTAGGTTCATTATGGTTCCAAGTGGTAACATGGGAGTGTTTGATCCAACAGAAATACATAATCGGGGGCAGCTGAAGTCACACATGAAAGAAGCCATGATCAAGCTTGGTTTCCACTTGCTCTGTTTCTTCATGTATCTTTATAGGTGAGTTTAAAATCCTCCTGGCTTCTTCCTAGATGCTTTATATACTTTTTTGTTTGTTTTCTTGACAAAATATCTCATGATGTAGCCCAGACAATCCTCCTGCCTCAGCTTCCAGAGTGGCTGGAATTGTACCATCATGCCAAGTTGCCATGTCTGCTTTTGATGGGTGAGATATTACTGTACTGTAGGATTTTTGCATTGACATTGGAGACTTTGGGGGATTATGTAAATTTCTTCTGGCCATGTAGGAGTTTTTTTTTTTTCTATTTTCATTTTTCTGTTTTTATTCTTTTATTATTGTTGTGTTGGGGGTACATTGTGACATTTACAAAAGTTCTTACACTATATCATAGTTGAATTCACCCTCTTCGTTAGGTTTTTCATGTATGCCATTGAATCAACATTCTGTAGAGTTACTCTGTGTTACCCTAGTTCTTCCTAAGCTGTTGAGGCTGTCAACATGCTTAAAACTGTCTTTGCTGTTCTTTTCTTGCCTTAGTCTCTTGTTGTGAGGTTTCACTGTCTGTTATAAGCATTAATATATGTACCTCAGAAACCATTCCACTTATGGGTCTCTGGGAGATCAAACCAATGGCAGCAGTTCTCATCAATTTATATCCAAATTGGGTCAATCTTTCTTGGCAACAAGGGATTTAGATGTGATGCTGATTCTTCAGGATTCTAAGTAGTCTGGTTCTGGTAAAATTACATCAGTCTTCGAGTAATAACACATTGGAAGTAAGAATATGAGGAATTGACTGTCAGACACTAGAAGCCTTATGCAGTCCTGTGTTAAATTTATTCTCTTAGTTTTTCAGTAGAACATGCTCATCATTTCTTTATCCATTATAGTCTCATAGAATAGAGCAGAGTGGGGGAAAATTTATGTATGTGTGATTTGATTAAATAGCCTGTAAGAGACTAAAAGTAAGGTTTAACCTACTTTCCTATTTTTTTTCCCTTCATATTTTTTTTTTTCTTTTGTGGTACTGGAGATTGGAGCCAGGGAAGAGAAGAAAGAAAGCACTGAACCACTGAGCTATACCCACAACATTCCCCTTACTAAATTTAGGTTTTTCACGTAACCATAAGTACAATCTAGGAAAAACTTGTACTGAACTAAACTCCTGTCACTCAGAAGATTTCTACTGACTAGAAATTATAGATAGATAATGGTTTTTAAAAAATCACTACTTTAGAGCTGAGTGCTGGTGGCTCATACTTGTTTTTTCCACATTTTATTTTATTAATTTATTTGCAGTACTGGGGCTTGAACTCAGGGCCTCCTGCTTGCTAGGCTTTAATAGACAGGTGCTCCTATCACTTGAGCCAATCCATCAGTCCTCAGTGGCTCATACTTGTAATCCTAGCTACTTGGGAGTCCGAGATCAGGAGGATCTTGGTTCAAGGCCATGCCTGGGCAAATAGTTGACAAGATACTGTCTCAAAAATGCCCAACACAAAAATGCTGTTGGAGTGACTCAAGTGGTAGATTGCCTGCCTAGCTAGCAAATGTGAGGCTCTGAGTTCAAACCCCAGTACTGCAAAAAAAAAAACAAAAACAAAAACAAAAATCAATAGTTTAACCAGGTGTGATGTGGTGCACACCTGTAGTAACCCTAGCCCTTGGGAGGGAGGATCACCAGTTTGAGGCCATCCTATCTCAGGAAAAAAAGAAAACCGCTATTATAACGTGAAAAGTTTAAAAGTCAGCGCTATCTTAGCCTCTGCCTGACAAAGCAGGCTTCATAAATCTTTTATTTTGCTAAGTCTAGCCACTAACATAGATTACCATAAAATTAGAGTGTAGACGGTTTCCTTTTTACCATTCATCTTATTTTTTAAAATATGGAACACTTCACAAATTTGCATGACATCCTTGCACACAGGCTGTGCTAATTCTCTGTATTCCAATTTTAGTGTATATGCTACTGAAGTGAGCACTGCTTTTCTGTCTTTTAAAATCTAGACAGATTAAGCACACTGGTGTCAGTTTCTGGTTCTCATGCTCTACCTCAGTGCTAATGTGTTTGATTTTTGGTCTAGGTATTAAAAATGAAGAATAAAGGGCCAAGAAACTTAATATTAAGTACACAAGGCAGGTGTAGTGGCATGTACTATAGTCCCAAGTACTCAGGAGACTGAGGTGGAAGGGTCACTCAAGTCCAGAAAGTTTGAGGCCAGCCTAGGCAGCATAGTAAGACCCCAGCTGGGGGGGAAAAAAAAAAACCCACCATGAATGACACACCTGTTTTCATTTTTATTTCTTTTTCTAATTTTTTTTATTATATTATTGTTGCACTGGGGATACATTGTGACATTTACAAAAAGTTCTTACAATATATTATTTTTGAATTCGCCCCCTCCATCACTTTTTTATTTCTTTTGATCACTCTATATGTTCAATATGTTTGCCTGTTTCTGAGGAGACAGAAACAAAGCAAGGTGGAGTCATTTCCCAGAACTCTCCTTTCCTCCCTCTCCTGCCTAACCTATGCGTGTGAGCTACAGCAGACATTCCGAGTCCTGTAGTGTGAGCCCTCTTGGAGCCAGGCTGTCGGCTTTGGGGACAAAACACAGGACTGGGCAGCAGTGTCCTTGGCAGACCTGAAATCTTAGGTTTTGAAAATGTGCTAGAGTTTCTGAGTTCTCAAATACTGAGTTTAAAGTAATGGGAAATTTGGCTGGAGGAACCAAAAAGCAGTTTATGAGACTGCTCATAAACTCATAAACTGCTCAGTGGTAGAACACATGCTTAGCATGTACAAGGCCTGGGTTCAATCTCCACCACCAACCAAAAAAAAAAAAAGAGAGAGAGAGAAAGGGAGGTGCAATTTGGGGACAAGATTAAGAAATACTTTACAACAAAACAAAAGGCAACCTGTGCAGCTGGTTTCCTATGCACCTGCATCCCACATTGGCTGTGGCCCTCCTTTTCTTTTTCTTTCTGTTTTTCATTTTCAGCCCTGTTGCTGTTAGCTCACCCCTAAGTGTCATTTATAGTTCAAGGGGTCAGAATGAAAGACAGTGATCTCAGAAGATGACATGTGCACTTTTCTCTTGGCTTTTGGTTGCTGTTGTTTAAAAGAGATTTTATTACAAATGATCATCTTTAATTGCAGGGATTCTGTGCTGGCTCCTTTCACCATCCACATCTGGCATGGTACCTCAGATAAGATATTCAGGGCTAGTTAAGTGGAATTAAAGTTTTTGAAAAAAACGCTCTTTTCTTTCACGAGTCCATGCCTTTTGTTGGTCAGGTGCTCACCTAATGGGATCTGGACTCTACCACCTACTATGACTTGGGACAGGTTTCTTAACCTACCTGCCTCAGTTTCTCATCTGAAAATGGGACAATAACACCTACCTCATTGGATTTTAGTGTATTAAGTGAGATAATGCATGTAAAGCTGATCCTTAGTAAATGCAAAAATCTTTCAAAAATATCTGCCATTACTAATTTGTGTTGTGTACTGGGTACATTTAATATGATCAAATTTGGACAGCTGATCATTTATCTATACCGTTAGTAACATAAAGGTATTTGTGTGTTTTAGTCATTTGATCTCTGTATATAAAAAGAAGAGAGAATTAAAAAACTGAGGCTGGTTTTTTACATTTTTTATTAGCATATATTAGTTGTATGGGGGAGGGGGTTCATTGTGACATTTACATATGTACTTAGAATGTATCTTAAATAGATTCACTCCCTCTGTCATTCTCCCTCATCCCTCTCCCCCAACTGAGGCTGTTTTCATAGAGCATTTAATGGGCGACTATGTGTTAGTATCAAAAGGCACTACAGGTGACACAGAGGAGCAGCACAGTGAAAGCTTGGAGCTTGGCAGTTGCAGTCCTGGGTGTTACACAGGACATGGAAGTGGAGGTGATCCTGCTGTCATCTAAGAGGAACTCATAGGCCAAATGTAGAGACCAACATGTAAGGCAGAGCATGCACTAACTTGATGAGCTATGGAATGAGCTGAGAGGCTGGCTTGCCAAAGCAAGTACTTCAGAGGCCAATCATGAAGCCCAAGTAGGAATGTACAAAGTTGATGGGGTGGTATGGGGCAGGGAACAGTGGTTTCAACTTAGCATTTTGTGCTTACAAAGCAGGTGCTCTACCATTTGAACCACACCTGTACTGTTTTTGCTCTGATTATGTTTGGAGATGGGGTCTCTTAAACTGTTTCCCCAGACTGGCCTTAAACTACAACTACGATCGTCCTGATCTCAGCCTCCCAAATAGCACCCACCTTATTTTTTAATGAAAAAAATTAGGCATCAAGGAGGTTTTAATATGAATATGCTTTCCTGTATGATTCATTGCTTTTTACTCAAATGAGTTTTCTTTGTGAACTTCAGGATTACAAGTCTTGACAGACCAGACTCTGTAGGAACATTCCTAAGGAAATATTAGTAACATTAGTTTTTTCTTTCCACAGTATGATTTTAGCTTTGATAAATGACTGAAGTTGGAGGAGCCATGGTTGAAGTCAACAATGCACAGTTGAGGAGCCAGACTACTTAAATCATCCTTAGAACCATGACCATAGCAGTATATATATATTTTTTCGTCTTTGAACAACAACAAAAACAACAACAAAAAACTATTTTTGCTGTATTTTTACCATATAAAGTATTTGAAAAACTTAATTGAGTTTTTGTAGATTTCTGGTACTCTGGTTCAACTTTAGCCTGAACCCCAACACATAAAGGTGTTTTTTTTGTATCATCTGTATTTTGAAAGTGGCTGTTTGTGTGTAGAGTGGTATGAGCCCGTGCCAACCTTGCATGCCAAAGAAATAAAGGACACACCTAAAAGAGAACACTTAGTAGATGAGCCAGGCTGTCTGCTAAAGTCAGAGCACAGAACATTAATAATTTGGATGAGAGGAGAAAGTTAACTTTTTGCCTATATTATGGCAACTTCATGTTAATATGGTTCAAGGATTTGTGGAACTATCACCTAAGTCTTTCCATAAGAATGTTAACTGAAAATGACATTTCAAAATACATATTTCTTTGCAGAATTTGTGAAACCTTATAAGCCATTTTCCCCAAGTACAATGTAATTCCTGCTTATAGAAAGGAAAAATAAATTTTAAAACAAGATTTTTGTGATTTCCTCCACAATCACCCCCAAACCCATCCAAGCCCCCTGGCTCTTGCCAGGCCTTATTTTTTTGTAGTTGTTCCAGTTGCATTTGATGTCTTTGATAACATATTTTAATGGGTTTGGAGAGGTGATCTGGTAGAAGATGCTCATCAAATTAGAACCAGGAAGACATTGTCAGTGATGTCTTTGATAACATATTTTAATGGGTTTGGAGAGGTGATCTGGTAGAAGATGCTCATCAAATTAGAACCAGGAAGACATTGTCAGTGAAACTGAGTTCTGCTTAGTGCCAGGGTTAACATTACCATTTCTGTCCTGTGCTGACCACTTTGTGAATTGGGAGACAAACACACCATTTCATGCGTGTAGCAGTATTTACCCAAACTTGGTTCCTTAGCGCTATAATCCATAAACTCCTGTCATTGATGAGCAGTTAACCTCCTAGCCATGTCCCCAGCTCTGTAAAGTGAACCTTGACAGTTTATCCTGTTTGCGCTTTAATATTGCCATCTTAAGTAATCATTGGCGTTTAGGCAAAACATGACTGCTAGAGTCCAAAGGGATTATTCATTCTGGCATGACAGGAAATTGGGTGACTAAACAAGATGTGCAGCCCCCAAGATTGTTTCATGTCCTTTTGGCCCTAGCCTGGGTTGAAAGTCTTGTTAAGAAGCAGGGGAGCCACTAAGCTAAAAACTGCCCAGCTACACCACATTTCAGGGTGTAAGTCTTAGTGCCCTGGCCACACATGAAGAGTGAAATGGTAGGCAAAAGTAAGTTTGGTTTGGTTGGCCTCTTGGGGGGGGGAGGTGGTCAGTTTTTTTTTTTTTTTTGGTAGTACTGGGGTTTGAACTGAGGGCCTTGCACTTGCTAGACAAGTGTCCTACTACAGCTATGACCCAAACTGGTCACAGAAATATCTGTGGTAATCTTTTATTTCTGCCATGCTTTAACAGAAGTCGCTTTGCTTGCATCTTTTTCTTTTTCCCTCTGAGGCACCTTCTACTTAAAAGCCAGCTCCTTCCAACCTAAATCCCAGTGCTGTTAAGTTCTGCTCCAGCTTTTAATGCAAAAAAACTGTTGAACTTTAAATACTTAGAACTGAAAGCCAAACAAGTAATATGTTTCATCTTCTCATTCCAAGTATTCTTAATAACTCTGAGAGAGACTTTGGGTTGTTAGTTTACATGTTGGCAGGCATAAGGGGCTGAGGCTCAGCAGATCAGAAAGGTGCCTTGTTTATGACAAAGGACCAGGAGGTGCATTATTCTGAAGCACTAAAAAGCAGCACTGTTGTTGCTTGTCTTTATCAAAGCCAGGAAAAGGGGAGAGGGGGGAGTCACTTTGTCTAGGAGAAAAATCACTGATTTAAAAATAGCTGAGGTTAAGAAGTTTAAAGGTTCTTTTTACTGATAGGAAGGTTGCAAAGTATCTTAGAGATCATCTGGTTGAACTGGAATATAAGTGAGGCCTAGAGATTGTGAGGCCCCAGAAGGATGAGTGTCTGGAACCCTGACATTCAGGTCAGAGTCCTGCCTAATCCTCCTCCTCCCTGTCCCTCCTCTGTAAAAGCAGGTGCAGACTGCCATGGGGACGGGAGCTTGTGTGCTGTGTCATTTTCCTTTCCATCCTTCCAGGAAATTGCAGGTATGTTGCTAATCACTGGAACTTCAGCTGAGGAAGCAAGATCCAAGACATAGCTCAGTTCATCACACCAGTCAGACCCCTTTTTACAGCTGCCACACAAACGAGGGCTTCCCCTGAGCGTGTCTAACTTTGAAGTAGAGGGCTAAAAAAGCTTCCTGAGCACTCCATCAGTTGCGCCACTTAACACTTTCCATCTGGTGTCACTCACATAGTTGTTCTCTCCTGCTACATTGTGCTCTCTTGGACAGCAGAATCCACTGATGTCATGTTTGTGTCTTCTTCCTTTCTCTCCTGGCACCTAACAGTGCCATGCTCATAGAAACAATAAATGATTGCTAAATAACAAATCTGGTCATGTTGTCCTATTGCTCTTTCAGCAAGAAGTCAAGAGAGGTATCAATGGAGAAACATAAAGCCCACTCCTGTGTTTTCAAGGCAGTCACATTATGAAATAGAAAATCTAAGATAGGATGTGCTAGGAAAGAAAATTGCTATTTTTGGTCCACTTTTAGATTGCTGAAATCAGCTTTGTTTGCAAGTAGTATTTTGTCAGAAATCGTTGTGAAAAGTATGTACTAGGTATAATTAGTTGTCCCCTAAATCTAGATAGAAAAGGCAGGGCTAAGGTGTTTCTCAGTGGTAGCATACTTGCCTAGCATGCACAAGGCCTTGGCTCCATCCCAAGCATCAACCCCCGCCCCCAAACCCAACAACAACAACAAAAAGGTAAATTTGAAATTCTACACTTACCATCTAGGTCTGTAAATTGAAATGTTTTTGGTGTAGTGAAACTTCCATTAAACAAGGCTGTTCAAAGAATGGCTATTAGTTTTCTAAGTCACTTCATAAATATTCTAAAAGGCAGGGGGCAAGTTTTTGCTAACAACTGAGGGTCAAACCCTTAGGGTTATCATTGCAGTTACTGTAATAGCAGGTACTATAATAGTAACCACAAAGCTATCTTGGTTGCTCTTTAAAGTCTTTGGTAAAGGCTGCTTTCTTTTTTCAACTGCTTCCCTCAGGCTAGGTGGAGGAGTGGGGTGGCTAGAATCAGCTAGCTGAGAGGTTACACTGCGGCTTCTACTGCTGTGTATTTGCTGTTTGTTCCCACTATCGAGTGATCTTGTTTCATCAAATGTTTCCGTTAAACATTAGAACCTAGTCAAGATCTGAGGTGGTTTAACAAATGCTTGAACTTCCTATTAATGGAGCCCCTTGTGTGTCAGATATTGGGGCATGGTTCAGGGTTTTGTTTTGTGTGAATATGCTGGCAATGGAAGCCAGAGCATTCAGCATGCTGGGTAAGTGCTCTGCCACTGAGCTACATACGTCCCAGCCTCAGCATAGTAAGACTGAGTTATACATCACTGCATCGGCACTCTCCTGTCACCTTTTCCTTCTGGTTCACTTTCCAGGGCCCTGAGCATGATTGGAATCCCCACTTAGTTGTTAACTAAGTGGATCAGCCTTGTACATCTGCTACCCTAAAAACCGTATGCTTACTCTTGCTCAGTGAAGCTTGACTACTTGATTACAATGCAAAGCTCAGTTCACTTAAACTGATCTCAGACGGGAGAAGAGTACATGACATGCCATCAAGCTAGAGGAGAAAAATTTCCTTCTAGAATCTGATGTCTCACCACTTCATTTGATCAGCAGCCTTTTTCTCAGACTACATGCAGATGGAGAGTTGAGCCTGATGGCCCAGTTAAAGGTTACATATTTGGCTGCCTGGCTAGACAGTCAAGACCTGTGGGGCAAAACTAACCCTCTGGGGCACCTCTGTATAGGTAAGTAGCAGTTCTAAGCCATGTTAGTTGGCAATTTTCTATATACTAGCTGCAACACCCATCTTAGCCATAATCTGATTCCAACCTTTAAAGCAAATCCCAGAAATTATTGCATCTGTAACATTTGTCTCTCTGAAAGAAAAGCTAACTTAAAACACACACATAACCTTAACAAAGAAGTAACATTTTCTTAAATTTTGAGAATCTCACTATGTAGCTCAGGTTGGCCTTGAAAAATTCACAATTCTCCTGACTCAGCCACCTGAGTAAAAACTAGTCTGTTGGTGGGACTGTGGTTTGAACTCAGTGCTTTGCACTTGAGCCATTATAGTCCATCTTGCCTTGGCTGACCTGGAATGGTGATTCTCAGCCTCCCAAACAGTCAGGATTGCAAGAGTAAGAAACCAGTGCCTGGCTTACTAGTATTCTTAATATTAAACACCCCACTGGTACTCAAGTTTCACCCAGTGGCTCAAAAATGATACAGATGGTTTGTGCACATGGAAATTCCAGTAAGGTCTATACATTTTATTTGGTTAATGTCTTTTAAATCTCTCTCCTCTTTTCTTGCAATTTGTTGAAATTAAGTCACCTGACAATAGCAATCAAATTATTTTATTGTATAGACCCTGCAAAAGTTCAGATTTTGCTGATTCGATCACCTCTGGTGCTAACTTTTAAATCACTCTTCAAAACATTGTTTTGCTGCTTTTATAGATGAGGGAATGAAGTTTCGACATTTTAAGTGACTTGTCTCAAGACATAATCAATGACTAGGACTTACATCCAGGCCAATCACTCCAAAACCCATGTGTAGCCACTATTTTAAATTTACAAACCAATTTGAAGATACTCAAACTTGTTATAGAGGTTTCCCTCTATAAATCGAGTCTGTTTTAATTGGAGAATTTCAAGTGTGATTTTCTTCTATGAATTAAGCAGTTAACTAGAATCAGTAAAGTGGACCTTAAAACTTTTCACCTGTTTTTCACAAATATTAAGTCACATCTTTCAAGGTAAATGGCCAGAGGAATCTTGTATGATATAGTGATTAAAACCAGCAGCTCCGAGGTGTCTAGGTTTGAGCCCCAGGCTTCTTCATACCACTTCGTATACTTAAGCCATTATTTCCTGCATCTGTAAATGGGAATTAAGAGTACCTGCCCATCAAGCTACCTTGATGTCTATATGAGACACATATCAAATGTTCATTTTTAGTGACTAAATACAGTAAGAACCCAGTATATTCGCCTAATTTACCAGTATTACTGAATAACCAAATAGGTGTACAAGTGCAATTCCTGTCATGGCTAATCCCCCTCCATACCCTTCTTGCTCCTACTTCTAATTTGTGGTCTTATCACTGGAGTAATACAGCAGTCTTAAAGTGCTCAAATACCAGTAAGTGACACCAGAAAATTACCTGGGCTAACAAAAAAATCCAGACCACCTCTTTGACTTGAGATCTGAAAAGTGGCTTAGAAATCTAAAATTTTAAAAAGCCCCCAGTTTAGTCTCACATGCACTTGGGATTTAAGGGCCAAGACACAAGCATTGGCCAGGTACAAGTGGTTTATGCCTGCAAACCCTAGCTAATCGGAAAGCTGAGATTGGAAGGATCAAGGTTCCAGGCCAGCCTGAGCAAAAAAGCTCATGAGACCCCCAACTTCATGGGCATGGTGGTATGTGCCTACCATCCCAGCTACAGGGGGAAATGTAAAATAGGAAGATTGCAGTCCAGGCCAGCCTGGGCAAAAAGCGAGACCCTGTCTCCAAAATAACCAGAGCAAATAAGGAAGCCCTGAGTTCGTACCAAAGTATCACCAAAACAAGCAGGCTTTAGAATAAGGCAGGAATACTTAAACTTGAGTCTCACCCGAGGGAAAAAAGTGAGCAATAATTCTTGCTCGTGGGTAGCATATATGCTATGTACATAAAGTGTACGGCATTTAGTAAAAGTAGTCAGTTGTGAGATCAAGGTACTAAGAGGCCATATAGAGAGAAAAAGTAAAATAAAGTAGGCTATTTGTTTTAATCTGTGGACAAGTTAACAGAAACTTACTTTTCATGCAAACCCATTTAGTCATTCTTGTCTAAACACCCCCCCATCTAAACACCACCCCCCGCCCCGCCCCCCTGGTTTCTTGAGCTGTCATTTTCTCCCGTATCAGAAAGCAGCGTATTAGCCAGATGCCAGTGGCTCACACCTATAATCTGAGCTACTTGGGAGGCTGACATCTGGAAGATCTCAAAGTCAGCCCAGGCAAATAGTTCAAGACCCCTATCTTCAAAATAACCAGAGCAAAAAAAGAGTGGAGGTGTGGCTCAAGCAGTAGAAAGCCTGCTTTGCAAGTTCAAGGCCTTGAGTTCAATCCCTGGTCTTGCCACAAACACAGACACACACACAAGGACTTTCAGAGGATTTTTGGATTTGAATAAAACAAAAAGAAAACCCCAAGGATCACTGATATTTTTCAGCAATGGCATATGAGGCAAAATTATTATTTGGAACACAACTTCCAAACCAATGGGTGACACCATTTGTTTCTTAAATTTTTCTTTCCAATACCAGGTTCCCCACACATATGGAGTATGCATCCTACCTGAGCTGCACCTTTAACCCTATTCAAAACAGGTAAAGGAGAAAAATTTGTATTTTCATCCATCTCAATTCTAGTGTTTTGGGGTTTTTTTGTTTTTTGATGGTGCTGGGGTTTAATTTCAATTCTAGATATGACCTATTGTCATGGCCAATTTTGTCTTAGGTATCCTTCCTCAGGCTATGAAAGAAATCAGCAACTCTTTTAAGTTGGGAGGTGCTCATGTTCACAGAACAAAGAAGTCACTAATACTCACATCATGGAGAAATTAAAAACTGACTGAAAATTTGCTGCTTGTCGTTTTCTGTTTCCACATGAGCTAGACCCACATGCTGATTTAATAATTTTTAACTACATGATTAGAATACTGTTTCATGTATCATGTATCGCAAGCACACTTTAAGTAGGCTAAGTAATCAAGGTTGAAAAGACCCCACTCCCACAAAAATCAAGACAGACTGCTGGAAGTAGTGATAGGACAGAAGCATTTTGTTCAGTTGAATCTTCCTTAACCGCTTCAAGTAGTTCTGAAAAAAAATCTTCAAGCAGACAGCATTAAGCAATGTTAACTAAGTTATCAATTTTTCATTTGCTTAAGTCAAAGACAGTTTATGTCTTAAAACACAACCTTGTAGTTACAGATTTGCTAAGGCTGGCAAAATTTCTATGCCTGGTGGTGGAATTTGGTATGAAGTTCCAGTATAGGTGAATAATCTGACAAATTAGCTACATATGCCAAAGTACAGCTGTATTGTAAAAAAAATTCCTGTCTGGCCTATGAGCCAGAGGAAGTGGCAACCACCACTCTCCCAGCTAAGAGCAAGATCAGGAAGGGCCAGGTTCATGGCTGTGTTAGTGGATATGCTGCCCTCAGGGAACTCGCATTCCAACTTCCTTTTACTGCAAAGAGCTCTACCCTGGTAGGGAAAATCCCTAAAGCCCATTTCCATAGTAATTCACCCTGAGGAAGGAACCAGTTTTCTTTTTTTCATAAAAACAAATGTACTGTAAGGTTCATGAACATTGAATGTTTTAAGAAGTATTTAGAGAACGGCTAACACCTCTAATGAAATCTTTAGAAAAGATTTTCTATTAATTGTGAAATGGGTTTCATTTCCAAGTCGAACTGAATTTTCTCTACTACTCAACATATGTAATGCCTGAAATGTCCAAGTTCAGCTGCAGTAATATATATATGTATATATATATTTTTAAACTAAATGAGCCGTGTCATTCCTTTAAGAGGCAATGCTCCTAAAGTGACTGCACGATGGTCTTAAAGACATCCCAGCAGACTAAGCATTGCTTCCTGGGATTCCATTTACAAACTGTAGGCAAAGATATGGAAGCCAGGTTCAGCAACCCAGTTATTAAGAGGTGAATGCAGTACTTTCTAGACACTGAGTGGATATTGTCAGATGTAATACACCAATAATTAGTTATTCATTCTGTTTATTGGATTGAAAGGGAATACAAACGACTGGGAAGTGCTGTGCACTGACATGGAAAGGATGTATTAAAAAAGAAATCTCAATAAACCAAATCAAAGTTAATGTAGTTTCAATCAAACAAAAACTTTAAAGACATTTAAAATACCACACAATTATAAAATAAAAGTCAACAAAAAGGTGTCTGGTAAATAATTAGTAGGATAAGTGAAAATAAATATGAGACCTGAAGTTTTTATACTTTCAAGGAATAATAAAGCAAAGAAATACTAAATATAATCTGAGAGGCAGTTAAAAAAAACAAAACCCAAATTTAAGAACACAATCCTCTGAAATATTTCATCAGTCCATAGCAAATAGTTATTACATACCAAAAGCTCTAAGTGTTAACTAGTTCCACCACAATGCCATGTAAATCCTGACAATTTAGAAATCTTGAGAGATCAACACTGAAGCTCTTTTCTTGATCTCTACAGCTTGGTTTGTAAGCACATGCATGCTTGTGTGGGTCTGTATTGCCCTAGCCACGCACACACATTTTCAAGGAGCCAAGTAACATTTCCATCTGTGCCTAAAAATGTTGTAATTCAGTTTTAGCATACTGACCCTGATAATGAAAATGCTTATAGATGAGGACACAATTTCAATCTTATAAAAATATATGAGTATTAACCAAGCCTTAAACTCAAAGGGCAATGCACATATGCACAAGACTTCTAGTAAAATTGACAAGAACCTAGAAAAGCCATTTCCAGGACTTTTTATGAATCAAGTGCTCTCTCTCCCACACATGCACACAACACACATACACACAACACACACACTTTTATACTATTAGCTTCATTAAATCCAGGTTATCTGGATTAAGTAGATAGGGGATAGGTTTTTACACTTTTCATTTTTGCAAATAGAGGGCAGCTACTCTAACAATAGCTGAACGGCACTGAAAAATTTCAATTAAGTTAACCCTGTTTTTAGAAAGTGTCTAGTATAAATGCAAATTCACTTCTTTTCAAGTTAGCAATTTATGTTGAATCACATATGGTTTCTGAAATGGAAATAAAAATGTTTTGGCAGCAATCCAAAAGGAGGAACTGCTAAAGTCTAAATAAGAAATTAAATTAAATAATATTTATACATTTTAGAGATGGGACAAAAAGGATATTAAGACAAATGTCTTCTTTCCTCCCCATTCAAAAGCAGCCATTCTTCTGCTGTGAAAAACTGACAAGGACCTGCTCCCTTTCAAGAGATGTGCGAGATATTTACCCACTGTGAGGCAGAGGTGATAGGGTCAGTTCTTGTTTGCAGGAACCAACATCCTAAAAAAGAAAATTTCAAGATGGGGAGGGGTGGGAAAGAAGGATTTTCTATTAATGTCACAGAATGCCACTCTAGAGGCAGAACACTCCTAATATTAAAACTCAATGAATTACTACTTGTGTTTTTTTCAGAGTAAGAAAATATTGACAAAAATTTTTTTCCCTTTCAACTAGCAGGTTTTTTAAATTACTGAACATTAGAGAATCCCTTTTTGTACTCCCACCCATTAAAGTGGGCTGGTTTGTGGACATTTGCAAATAGAATTTCTTCCATTTAAACTACTTACCTGGATTAGTATAACACATTTATCTGGCTAACAAGAGCAACAAAATGTAAGTGGCATGAATACTAATACAAAAACTGACAACCAAGCATTGTTACCTCTCCCAACTAACTCCCACTAAATTATTACTGCCCACGCACCAACCTTAGCAATCCCAAATCCAACACTTTACCATTAATAATCAGTTACTTAAGAGGAAAAAGACATTTAATTTCATTCTTGCTCTAGCCCTTAATCAATGCATAACATCAACAAAAACATTTTTAAGCACATGGAAATGAGCCTACTAACCTGATTTTTGGAGCCAAAAATTCTCCACTCTATTTTGATCTATGTGCAAAAAGTATTGGTACTTTTCAATTTATATACTTGTTAGTATCTTGTGGCTGTTTTGGCAGAATTCTCACTCTTAAGCCTACCATACAATCTATAGCATTATTCAGTTTTCAGAAAATAGCTATGAATTAGAAAATCTGGCCACCAGGTTCTTATACCATAAAATTCTAGGTTTCTCCATCTTTTTTTTTTTGCCTTTCCAACACATTCAGTACTTGGCAAATGTATGGAAGATGTTTACAGCAAATTGGCACAGTAAAGTACCAGTTTACAGGAAGCTGTCAGTTAAGAGAGACCCCAGAACAGACTCACCTAGCTGCTACAGAAACCTTTGCATAGTTGGTACCCCATTTTAATAGGTGCTATGTCCTCGAAAAGGTGCCTCACTTTTACTCACTTTTTAAAGTGTTTTTACCTGTACTTCAGGAGCACTCTGAAAACTCAGATCTAAGGGTAGCTGGCTGCAGTAGTACAATCTCCTCTGTGTGAGCGCAGATCTCAGCAAATGTTACATGTGTACTCTAGCACACTGTAACCACATTTGTAAAGGGCTGTGGCATTTCAAAGCCCACATTTTGTTAGTGATGTTACTGTACAGAATGGGGTGTGTTAATGGCTTCAGGGTTTACATAAATCATTTAAAATATAAATGGTTTTAACTGTACTGAGGTAAAGAGAAGTTGCCACTTAATTATATACAGTTACCAATGAAGATTTTTATTCAAGCTTAAAGTAAAAAGTAATTTTAGTCAAGAAAAAATGAAGTACCAGATAAACGGTAACATATAGTTAACTTAAGAGTATCAAAACAGGAATTCTGATTCTCTAAAGTGGTGGTCTCTGCAAAATGGAGATTGAAGAACTCTTCTACACACCAATTTGATAAAATAACCTGACCACGAACTGTCATATTCTCTTACTATGGGCTTTTGGGAGAATGCACACTATTTTAAGGCCAAATGTGTTTGTCTTTCTTCTCCCTTTCCCTGGATTTCCCCCCTTTTCTCCCTGCTGCCACCCATTCCCTGCCACCCCATCAATGGAAGAATTCCTAAATCTATGACTTTCCCTTGTTTGTAGGTCCTGAAGGGGGATAGTCATGGTAATAGGAGGCCTAAAGGGAACATGGTACAATTTTTTCTTCATCAGACTCTTACTTGGGTTTTTCCCTGCTCTTCTTTCCAAAGAACAGCCGTCATCACCCGATTTTCCTCTACTGAAAAGCAGGGACTGTCCAGGGAGACCAAATATGTAGTACTCAGCTGTTATTATGGGAACACAAGGCTTTTAGCTTGTTTTAAATACGAAATTCTCAAAATTAAGTCCTTTTTCCATGAAGGAAACCTTTCCTTAAACTAAAAGGTGAGGGAGAGGGGAAAGACTGTCCACAGCACCAGTTTGAATGAGGTTCAGTATGGCAACATCTGAAAAGCTGAGTAGGAACCTTCTTCAAATGTTTATATCCTATATGTCAGATATTAAGGGCATTAGGAGAAATGAATGAGGTTTTAACCCCCATTTAAGTATGTTTGTAACCTGCTGAATTCTTCTAAGTCTTGACTCTACTATAAACTTCCAAAGTGGTCCAATCTGCTGATCTCTACTCTCTTGCCAAGTCAAAAACAACTTGGAACAAGCTTTGTTGAAAACCTAGACTGATGCCTCATCTCTCCTGTTGGTATATTCAAACTCTCATTTTGAACCTTGAATTTCTTCAACATCGTATTGATGTTACTTCAGGATAAAACAAAAAGGGTTGGGGGCCTTCAACGTCTTACTCTGTGTTTCCTGTGTAATGTCCTTCCAAGCTCTGTTCTGACCGGTCTCATGCATTCCAGAAGAGCATCAGCCTTACTCCGTATCTAAGCCATAGAGGAAACTCTTTTTAAGCTGGTTTAGATTCCAAATGTATACAAATGAAGTCACTTTAATCCTATAAATACTTCTTAATTTATTTTTAAAAAATTGTGCTGTTAACCCTTTTAAGGGCAACAAGCGATGTGAAAAGTACAAAACTTTTTGTCAAATGTAATTGAGTGCTTTTGACATAGTTCACTGGTTTATCATCTGGATCAGTATATACTGCGCAACGGGCAAGGCTAGAATCCATGAACCAAGCTGCAAAGATCTCAAGCTAAGTAAGGCGGAAAGATTTGGAGAAACAAACGAAGGAAATTCTTTCCTATCCAATGTATACTCTTCAGACTAATGCACTCTTTCTATCAGGCCTTCTAAACTGTTAAATAAAGTTTTCCAAACAAGCATTTAAACTTCATTACACAGAAGAGCAACAAGAATGGTAGCCCGCCAGACAAAAGGCAGGAGGGAAAAAATATATATATACTGAGTTCAATGGGTAAGCCTGAATGTAGCACAGTTCTTCACAACCGATGGGGGGATAATTCAACATGGTGTCCAACAACGTTCTAACGACGTGCTTCATCTCAACTGGTTACTATGAAGCAAGGTGTAAATGTTTGGCCCCAATCGGGCTTCAGAAATGGTTCTTTTTTCATGACGAGCATGTCTGTCCAGCTATCAATCATGTTTGTTTGCACCAAATCCCAAGCCATTAAAATACGACTAATTTTAAGTTAAACAGAAGTCGTCTGCTTCAAATTCGCCATCAACTATCCATGCTACTGCATTCCTCTGAAGACAAGATGAAATGTACATAGAGGAAAGAGGAAGGGAAAAAAAGAAAAAGTTAGCAGTTAGAAAGTTTCAAAATCAGCATAACATTACAGAATACAGCAACAATAAAAATTTCCCCAAACTTTCATATCATTATCACTAAGATAAAGTGTCTTCCTCATTTCTCAGGTCACATAGTACAGTGTGAACTCATGGTTATTTTGAATAGTGGAAAAAATTCAAACAAATCATTATTTTAAAATTTCCTACTTCTTAAATTAACCTTAAAATAGTTATGCAGAATGGGAAAATCTTTATCAAGTTCCAATAAATGCCTGGCAGTCCAAGGTAGAACTGCACCTTCTAACTATGCCCTTAATTCTTCTTTCCGCTGTGTCGTTTGAAATTCTACAGCATCACTGAACACAAAGGGGGGGGGGTGCATACCAGCTTTGCTGAGCTACCCACTTAAAAGCGTACAAATCAGTGGTGTTTCCTGCATTCACAGGATTAAACACAATCAATTTTAGAACATTTTCTTCATCCATTAGCAATCACACACACTCTCAGCTCCAAGAAACTACTAATCTTTCTATGGAATTTTCTATATTAGTCCACTGCATATAACTGGAATCACAGCATGTGTGGTCTTTTGTGTCTGGTATTGTTTTCATGCCTTATCCACGTTGCACGGCATGTATCAGTCCTTTATCCTACTCCATTTCATACATTCCCCCCAAAACAAAACAAACAGTCTTATAACTGTTATAAAAGATGAGCAATTTCTCTTTTGAAGTAGAGTTGTCAAATGAAATATTTAAATGACTTACAGAATCTTGTACTATTTTATTCAATGTCATTTTCCTTAGCCTCAATTAGACCTTCAAATTTTCTATTCTGAACAGGAACTACTTTAATTAGAAAAAAATATTTTGTTAGTGGAGTGGTTCAAGTGGTAGAGTGCCTGCCTAGCAAGCATGAGGCCCTGCATTCAAACCTAAGTAACTGTAAAAACAAAAAAAGAACAACAAAAATGCTTTCATGGTGTGTGTTAGAGGGGAAACGCCCAAAGATACCTGCAAAAGGATATACAGCCAAATATTTGATTAGTACAGAAATTGTTTTTGGCTCAAGTGGTACAGCCTTGACTGGCAAGTTAGCAGGCCCTGACTTCAAACCCCAGTACCACCATTACTACCAAAAAAAGGTGTGTGCTCGTTTTAGCAGCATATATACTTTAAAAAAAAAAGAAAAATTTCTTTTAAATTTCAGATGAAAATCAACATGTTTTTAAGGCCATATGCATGTTGGTATGGCATAATGGAAGTTGCTGAAGTGGGAACAGATCTAACAATTCAGCCAAGAAGTAGCACACTACAAATTCACCAAGAAGTGTAACTCTTACCACACTTCAGTGGATGCATAAAACATCCTTTGATGGGCAAACCTTTTACTATACACCAATATTTTCCTACTTCTTCAAAATGAGTCTGCTCATTTAAGTAACTTCTGAATGACTGACAGAATTAGAAAAGCACAGATAATCACAGTTGTAGGTCTGTAAACAGTATCTTAAAGAAGATAGATTTCTTTCTAGTCTCAGCTGACCCTTCAGAGGAATGTCAGAATGTTATATAGTGATCTTCACATCCTGGCAATTCTACGGCAGTTCTCAACCTTTGGATTCGAGTGCTTTTGGTACTATTTACTTTCATCTCTACACACCTCACCTGTCAGTAAAATCTAGTCAAGCCCTCTACCTTGTATACCAGAAAGACTAAAAAAGAAAAAAAAAAAAGGGAGGGAGGAAGAATATACTTTTTAAAACCATAAATGCTACCATGGTAACTCCCCTCTTTCCTCTGACTATCACCTGAGAGCAGTCATCTTTCTTACTAAAACGTAAGTGGGACACACAGAACAGAACAATCTACTTATCTGTTTCTAGATAAATTATTTCATTTTAAGCAAACTAAACATTTTACTGGCTCTATTTCAAAAAATAGGCAAGTCATTTACATAAAATTTCTCATTACTTCTCTCTAGTACTAGTATGTTCAATTAAGCTTTTGTCCTGATCTTTGTTCTTTGGGCTTTTCTTTATCTGAGTATCTCAAGGTGGTAGGGAAAAACTTCCAGACCTAGATGTGAAGCCCTGGCAGCACTCAACAAGCCTTGTTGTATTTTAGGATAAGAATACTTCTCTAGCAGGGCATAGGGCACACACCTGTAATCCCAAACTAGGGAGAGAGTTTGAGGCAGCCTGGGTCACATAAGCAAGCTCAAGACCAGCCTGAGCTCAAAGATGAGAAAAGAAGCTCCTTTGTAAGACTATGAACACTTTATGTGTGGTAATGTACATAAATGCTACCTGGCACACCAGGTGGCATGGAGAATTTTAGTTCCTTTACAGTCTAAAGCTAGTTTGTTAATTTTCAAGAGTAAAATCCATAATCAAGATTATTAGAGACATTTAAAGTTTATCATATTGGGTAGCATAATGAAGATGTTCAGAAAAATTTTACAGTAACAGTACTATAACTCAGTGGATGTAAATAAGGTGGCACATTTCAGCTTGTTTTCTTCACTGCTCTCCTCTCCCCAAGACAACAGATAATACTGATCTTAGATTTCTTTTCTTTTTTTGTGGTGGAACTCGGGTTTGAATTTAGAGCTTTGTGCTTGTAAAGCAGGTACTCAACTGCCTGAGTCACACCTCCAGTCCATTTTGCTCTGGTTCTTTTGGAGATGGAGGAGTCTCATGAACTATTAGCCTAGACTGGCCTCAAACCATGATCCTCTCGATCTCAGCCTCCCAAGTAGCTAGGATTACAGGTATAAGCCACTGGTGTCTGCCTTGGATCTTAGATTTCTTAAACTTTCTACAGCGTGACAGGATGGGATATAAGACAAAATAAATTATACTCCACATTTTGCTTAAAGTGCTGTAACTCCTCAATAAGCAGAGCAATAGTTCATTTAGAGAAAACATGGGAACACTGTACAAGGCTTACCTTCAATATTCTGGTGGTCTACAAAAGGGGCTGGTCCCCATATTCTAACAGTGCCATCGTCTGAGGCGCTGGCCATCATGGATGGGATCTGTGGGTTCCAGCTCACACAGTTTACTGTACGCGTGTGCCCTGTCAGCTCCGCAATCGGCAGTTCACTACGTTTGTGCCAGATGTAAACCTTGTGATCTGAAGATACGATAATTCAAAGAAAAGTTAGGAAGTGGTTTTCCATTAATGGAGCCAGTGATCCTTTTATCTATTTTATTTATTTTACCTTTTAAAAATCACATATTATTGTTGTACTGGGGGTAGTGGATATGGTTGCAAAATTTACAAAAGTTCTAAGGATATACCATACTTGAATTCACCCTCTCTATCATGCTCCTTTATCTCCCCTCCCCCCATTCTTGGAATAGTTTCAACAGGTCTCATTTTTCCATCTGCATAACGAGTACATAATATTTCACCCTCCTAGACCCTTTCCTTATATTCTCCCCCCACCCCTACCCACTGGTACTAACCTCAAGACAGAACCCGTTTTACCTTCCTGTTCTCTGATTTTGAAAAGAAGACATTTCTGTTTGCTTAAGATAGCTACACAGGAAGTTGTATTCTGACATTTCCATGTAGGTATATATTATAACCCAAACTGGCTCATTCCTCTATTTTTCCCCTTTCTACCTTAATCCCCTTCTTACTGCAATTTCAACAGGCTTAAAAATTCTATTCATTCTTTTTTTTTCTTTTGAAGTACTGGGGCTTGAACTCAGAGCCTATATCTTGAGCCATTCCACCAGCCCTTTTTTGTCATGGGCTTTTCGAGATAGGGTCTCACAAACTATTTGCCGGGACTGGTCTGAACCGCGATCCTCCTGATCTCTGCCTCCCGAGTAGCTAGAATTACAGACAAGAACCACCAGTGCCCAGCAACATTCATTCTTGTATAGAAGGTGCATCAAACATATTTACCTTTTTAACTTCCTTCTTTTACCCTTTCCTTCCCATTAGTGACCTCTCCTTAGCATGACCTGTTTTTCATAATATTGCTTGTATTTATATTGAACCTATATTCCATACGAGAGAAAACAACATGGCCTTTGGCTTTCTGAACCTAACTTCACTTAACATGATGGAACCACTGCTCTTCAATAATCATTAAATATACATAGAACATATTACCAGAACTTACCATGAATAGTTTTACAAATTTAAACGTGTGATAACCCAAGATACACATTTTCCCTACTCGAGGTGATCAGGTCTCATCAAACCACAAAAAAGCCTACCTACAATATTCTTTCAATATATGCTACCAAATAATTATAAGACCAGGACAGAGATGATGATAAATTCTATGGAAATACATGAGATAACAGAAAAGCAATGTATCCAAACACCCAAATATCAATGAGTAAGACAGCTATACCTTTATTGGGTGCTTACAAGGTGCTAGGTACTAAGTACTTTGTGTAGATTATTTCATCTTCACCAGCACCCCCATGAGGTGGGTACTATGCTCATCCTCTATGTTTTCATGGATGGTGACTGAAACACTAACCACCTGCTCGTGGTTCTCAGCTAGTGAATGGGGCAGTTGGGATCCATTTCTAGATCCCAGATTGAGTACATGTAAGAGATGGCTGTGTACCCTCTTACACATCTCTTATGTGTATCCTCTGTATAGCTTTTTAGAAGACTATTATAATCTCATAGTGACCAGAAAAAACCCAGACACCCTGCAGCTTAGTTTCTTTGTGATAAGCCAACTCTCATACACAGCACAGAGAAGCAGTTGAAAGTACGAGCTATAGAATCAGTATATCCCAGACCTGATCCTTCCTCCATCACTAACTAGCTGTATTTGGGCAAGTTACTCACTTTGCAACTCTCACCTGTAAACATGGATACTTACCTCTTTCTGTTTTGTACAGAGTAAACACCTTACACGACTGTGAAGAGACTAAGTGTATGCAATGGTTCTAAACAGAAAGCAAAACTCGCAAGAACGTTGTTTTGACAATATATGGGTCAGCCATGTGGGCAATGTGGAAATGCACAGTGGGTGTGCTGCCTGCCAACTGAGGAAACTTTAGAGACTGTGCCTTGGTTTCAAAATGTTTGACATAAAAGATACAAGCCAGCACTGTATCTCTGGGGTTTGAACTCAGGGCCTCACACTTGCTAGGCAGGCACTCTACCACCTGAGCCACTCTATCAGCCCAATGCACTGTATGTCTTTGTGTGGGTGTGTGTGAAGCAAAAGCTAAAAGATGCTAATTAAAGGACTCAATTCATCTTTCATAAGAGTTTGTTGTTCGATACTTTTTGAAAACACATTTTCCTTGTGTAAAGTAAATTAGAAATAAAAGGAGAAAAGGCAGATTAGCTGTGTTTCAAGTCAACAAATCAGAAATAGCATAGAGATGAAGTGTGAATACAACTGACACATGTATTTGGAGGAAGAAGTCATCAACATCAAAACTGGCAGGCTTTATGATTAAATTCTGCTAGCTAATCCTAAGGCAAAAAATAAGACCACAACGAAAAAGCTTTAGTACTTGGAGGAAGGTTTTCTAATTGTTCTATTTTACATTGGCAATTATATATTTGGGGATTTAGTGTATCTTTGAAATGTATTCCTTGCAAATAAGTGGCAAATGGATTTACTGGGAGTTAATATACTCACTACATCCAATTGTATCATTTGAATACTCCACAATAGTCTCATTTTTAGCCCTAAACAGAATATAATATAACTTAATTTTATTCATCAAGTTTAATTCTTAGTTTGGGCTTCAAAAATGTTTGGAATCACTAGAAACAACGGTAAACATTTACACACAAATGCACGCACACACACACACTGGGATTTGAACTGAGGGCTTCACACTTGCCAGGCAGGCGTTCTACCACACTCCTCCAGCCCTTTTTGTTCTGGAGATAGGGTTTTGCTTTTTGCCCAGGCTGGCCTGGACCATAATCCTCCCTATGTTTCCCCTCCTATGGCTAGAATTACATGCTGTGCCCATCACACCCATTTTTTTTCCCTACTGGGGAAAAAACTTTTTTTTGCACAGGTTACTCTGAAACCACAATCCTCCCCATCTCAGTCTCCAGCTACCATTATTTTTTTTTTTTTTTTTGCAGTACTTGGGTTTGAACTCAGGGCCTCATATTTGCTAGGTAAGCACTCTACCACTTGAACCACTCCATCAGCTACCATTCATATTTTTAAGTATTTGTAGGGCAATTATTTTCAGGAGGAGCTATGGAGGATTCTAAGGTCTAATTAAAAGGCAAAGAAGCCCCATCAAAGGCAAGACTGAATAAAATGTGGTAGGAAGAGATCTTAAATCGGAGGAACTAACAATGAGGAGGCTAACGTATTTAGATCCTAGAAAAAGTCAATTAGAAACCAATGAACACCACACTGCCATGGAAGACTGTAACATTATTAAATAGGTAAAAAAGAACTTGGCTCAGAATGACCAGAACTATTGCCTAACAAACTATTGCCCTTTGTCTGACAGATGTTTTGAGGGAGGAAAGAACAGGGATGGGGTGTGATTCACTGGGAGAGCCATGCATTTGGATTCTCAGTACTGGGGGGGAAAAAAAAATTTCATTTTTCAACTATTTTGGCTGGGTGTGGTAGCCTAAATTTGTAATCCCAGCTATGTGGGAGGCTTAAGTAGGAGAATCTGGCCCCAAGCAAAAACACAAGATACTTATCCCCTCCCCAAAAATAAATAAATAAATAACAAAAACAAAAAAAGAGCTGGGGGTGTGGCTCAAGTGGTAGAGAACAGAGACCTATTTAAACCACGAAAATAAATAAATAAATGAATTTTTAAAATCCTCATGCTTAATGTTGGAATCTAAATCCAAATACTTAAAATGTCACTCTATCATTAAATATACTTTATCATTAAAGGTCCCATCAAAGTCCTCTTATCTATTGAGGTCGTTTTTTTTCTTGTCAAAATAGGAACACTAGCCCTGCATGGTGGCTCCTCTGTAATCCTTGGGAGGTGAAGATCAGGAGAATAACAGTTTGGGACCAGCCTGTACAAAAAGCTTGTGAAACCCAATGTAAATAAAAAGCTGGGCACCATGGTACCTGCCCATCACCCCAGCTATTAACTAGGAAGCGTAAGAGCAAGAGCATCGTTCCAGGCTGGCCCAGCTCTAAACTTAAAAAAGGTGGGGTGGGACATCACTCTAATGGTAGAGCACCTGCATAACATTGCACAAAGTTCCGAGCTCAAACCCCAATACAGCCAAAAAAAAAAAAATTAAAAAAAAACATAATAAATGAAACAGTATGCTAATACTGATTATTAGCATAACCTTGCTCATTGGTTTTCTTATAAAGCTAGACTAAATGTTTTAAAGTGTGATTTAAGTAATTCGCTGCTACGGCACCTAGAACAGTGTTGTGGGTACCAAAGAAAAATGTGTTGAATAAAAATTCACAACGTGCCATTCTGGGTGCCTGTGGTCCACACCTTGCTACTTGGGAGGTTGAAATCAGGAAGATTAAGGTTCAAAGCCAGTGGGGGCATCTACAAAATAACCAGAGCAAAATGCTCTGGAGGTGAGGCTTGAGCAGTAGAGTGTCTGCTTTGCAAGCTCAAAGATCTGAGTTAAAACCCTAGTCCCACACAAAAAAAAAGTGCCAGGAATAATAATATTCCTATCACTTTAAAAAGTAAGCTAAATTTTAATACTGCCTCACTTATCTGTGTTTACATATTTTAAAGAATTCACATTTTAAATCAAACTGATTTTAGGCCTGGAACACTGATGCACTTAGGCTGCAGGGTGAGTTCATTCAAAAGGGCAGTAATACTGACAGTTCTGTTAATGTTAGCTTTTCTGAAAGAGTAAGAATTATAAAACTGAAGTATTTTCTATGGAAACTAAAGAAACCTAATGTTCTCAGCATTGTCAATTCTGTTCAAGTACAGGTAAAACAAACATCATAATTAAACTTGACTGCTTAGACAGTCTTAATCTTTGAAAACTATCAGTCGCACAGAAAAACAAGTCAACACATAAAAGTATAATGATTTAATTAAATCCTGATTTGATTCATGCACTTTTATGAAGAGGCATTACTGATAAGTAACAATAAGGAGGGCTGAATGGTACAGCACTTGCTCAGAACGCTTGAGGCCATGGGCTTGATCCAACATTGAAAAAACAAAACAAAAACCCCTCCCCCAAGCCCCAAAAAACCACCACCACCATAAATTGAGAATTATAATTGTAGAACTTTAAACTTATCGATATGTGAACTGATAGTAACACAATTTACCTTCACTGCCACTAGCGATGAAGTCTTCATTATGGCCTCCAAAACATGAATGAATTGTATAAAACCCTTGCGTAACACCTTGATACTTTCTTACTAAGACTCTGTCTTGCAAGTCCCATAAATGAACTCCCTGCAGGCAAAAGAGAAGTATTTATTTCACCTCTACTCAAAAGAATTTTTTTTTTTTTTTTGAGACAGGGTTGCACTATATAACCCAAATTGGCCTGGAATTTGCTACATAGCCTGGGCCAGCCTGAAACTAATGGTATTTCTGCCACCACCTCCCAAGTCTTGGGATTACCATGCCTGGCTCAAAAGAATTTTTAAAAGTAATCTGGGAATATCCCTTTGCCTCTTGAAACATTTTCATTTTCTATGCAAATGCTAACATTTTGATAAATTTATAACTGATTCTACACATCAAGCACATGCAATAAAATTTAAGATTAAGTAGAAATATTTTATTTTATATACACTAAAAAAAAAAATCACAAAATTAAATTTTCACTAGCCAAAATTTTTCTCAAAATTTTAATAAACATACCTGAGTTGCTACATTTAACAAAGCTAATCGGCCATTTTTTGAAATAGTAAAAGACATAATAGGATGATCTTCTTGTACTCTGTAATCAGAAAATAACTTGTCAGAAGCCATAAATTAAAAGTCAAGATATCTGAATTAATGGACTACGAAATAGTCTAGCTTAAGCAGACAATTCTGCCTGTGGTCATGCTCATGGACTACTCTTCCATTACTGAGAATGAGAGTTAGTGACTCAGGAACACCTGACCATTGATCCAAACTACCAATTCATCAAACCAAAGCAAAAAGCCCTAATATACACATTTTAGATAAGTCAGACAATTATTATTTAATAGAAACAAAAAACAGTTACATGTTCCTATCTGTAAGGTCCTCAAAGTTATATCCCCGAATTCGCTGGTGTGTATCTGATGCCAGGACCGTCTTCCCGTCACTCAAACACCAAAGGCATTGCACTCTCACTCCTTCCCAGGAGTCCAGGAGGTTTCCATCCAGATCCTAAGCAGGAGAAAACCGCTGTCAACTCCACAGCTGCACAGCGCACAGGCCGCAAATAAAGAACCCAGGAATCTCTTAGCAGTGTCTTTTAGAAACAAGTTTTCTTGAGCATTAGCTCAACCTAACTGTTTTTAACCATGAGAAATTCAGAACAGGTCAAATTTCATTACAACAATATCTGAGGGATATCTCTCTTAACTTTGATAACCCACTGTGCATAAACTAATAAAAATCACAGAAGCAAAGAAACAATCTCTAAGGTCTATGTAAAGTCTAAATTTCATTAGTCAGTCCTGGGTTGTACATCTATGGGTTCAATGAACCAACGATTGAAAATACTTTAGGAAAAAAACTGTGTCCGTACTAAAAACGTACAGACTTTTTTCTTTCATTGTTCCCTAAAACAATTCAGTATAACAACTACTTACAGAGAAGTGACACTGTATTTGGTATTAAAAGTAATCTAAAGGAGACAAAGTATACTGGAGGCTGTGCGTAGGTTAGATGCAAACACTAGGCCATTTTATATGAGATTTAGGCATTTGCACATATTGTTATCTTCGAGGGGTCCTGGAACCAATTCCCCACTGATACCAAGGGATGACTGCACTGAGTTTGTCCTGTAATATTTGAAGCTGTGTCATGGGAAGAAATTACTAAGACATTTTATAGTTTTATTTAGACCATTTTCAAATCACTACCAAATGTGACTGTGCTGTCCAGATCAAAGTTCTACTTACAGAGCAAGTTCTCAGAGGTATCACTCCTTCCATTTTACAGATTAGAGAACTGTACAGTGTCAGTACTGTGGAGGGTAGCACTGAGAATTAAAAGCTAATATATTCTGTGACTTTCAAGACATCTTTTAAAATTTTTGGTACTGGGGTTTGAACTGAAGGTCCTTGAATCACTCCTCTAGCCCTTTTTGCTTTAGTTATTTTTAAGATAGGGTCTTGAGTGCCTGGGCTAGCCTCAAACTATAGTCCTCCTACATGTTTCCCCATACACACATAGCTAGGATTAAAGCTATTACTCACAACATTTGGCTTATTTTGATGAGATGGGGTGTCTTGCTAACTTTTTGCTGGAAATGGCCTTGTACCACAGTCCTGCCAATCTGCCTCCTGAGTAGCTGGGATTATAGGCATGGACCACCACACACAGACCTCAAGCTATTTTAATAATGATAACCTATAATGGCTACATAGAAAGCATTTATGGTAAGTGGATCTTTAGTTATGTGAACTGACTGTCTTGTTTAATTTTAGTCTTAGAAATAAAATCTGGAAGCATCTACTAGAACCATCTTAAGTAATAATAGGAGACATGGACTCGAGACAGACTAGTAAAGACACTGCATTTCTATCAGTCTACCTTTTCACAAGACTTCGTACCTGTAACTTATTTATCTCATTCTAACAATGGGCATCTACTGACCAGAGACTTCAAATAAAGATCTCAAAGTTCTCTGCCATTATTCATCAATGCTACTCCTCAAATATTTGAATTTTTTGCTTCAGTAACCTCAAGGTTTATACTTTGGCCCAATAAAAATGTAAGAAAAACAACAAAGTTCTATTAGCAGGAGGATGGCAAAGTAGGTCTTCATTTCGTGTATTTTAGAAGACTGAATCTTCTTTAAAACAAGTAGACCCTGGGGAGAGGCAGTGAGCACTCACACACTGGTAAAACTGTCCACGCTGGCCTCCAGTCACAAAGCGCTTCCCGTCTGGGTTCCACGCCACACTTGTCAGACTGTCTTCATGAGACTGGCTCATTTTTGTCCTTAATTCTCCCGTCTACAAGGAAATAAAACTGTAGATAAGACCTTCAAGATACCTGTCTAAATAAAGAAAGACGCACTGAAAGGAAAACAGGCTGTGGGCATGGCTCAAGTGGTAGAGTCCTGAGTTCAAACCTAAGCACTGACAAAAACCAAAAACAAACAAGAAAAGGAAAAGACTAGTAAGTGGGAATACTTGTAAGTGGTTATAAGTGGGAATTCCTAAGCAGAGAAATAAATTATTTTAACTGGCCTAGCCAAAAAAAAAAAAAAAAAAAAAGCCACTCAGAAGAGAAATTAAGGAATTGGGTAGATGTGATGAGATAAAATGTAACAAGTTTCTCATCTTAACTCAGTTGCATTCATAAGAAAATGTAACATGTAATTTTTCTCAAGCAACTCAATGAAAAGCTCAAGCTACATACCTAATTCTTCTGAGCTTCTATTCTTTATAAAATTCTTTTATAAATTTTATTCTAAAACCATAGTTAATGCAATTAGCAATTCCTTAAGAACATAATTAATGAATATTAAAATTATACCCTTAAACTAGGCTGAGGGCAGTCTAAATTATGCTGAATTTCATACTGAAATGCTCACAATATAGCAGAAGATGGGAAAAGAGAAATGAAAAATTTTCTGATATATAACCTTATTTCAATTAAAAGTAGCAGAAACAAAGAGGAATCTCTGTACTGTTTAGCATAACCATTCTACATTGTTTCCAACTAAGCAAGCATATTTAGTGGTTATAACCCTCAGACATCCTCCTGTTACAATATTTCTAAGTTATTCAACTTAGAAGGTATACACATACCATTTAATCTAGTCTTGGTTCCATTTTGCTCAGGGATTAGAAACAGGATCTGAGCGATAATAGCTGCCCTTGGTTTAATAAAAAGAACATGGGCAAATTTTCCTGTGAGAAATGGGTAATCAAAAGTAAAAATAAAAAAAGAGTGAAAACAAAGGCTATGATTAGAAACTGGGGCCGAATAATAAAGGCACAGGGTACAAAACAGACAACTAGATGCCTCCCTTACACTGAAAAAAAGAGTTCAACAAACTCCTTCCCCCAAGCTATTAGCTATTCTTATCTATTTACCTTTTTTGGTTACTTGATACAAATAGTTAAACATTTAGAAGCACAAAGAAAAACGGCAGCTAAATCCTGGTGTTTCCTATTCACAAATAATTAACACAACTAATCGATGAGGGCAGAAATGCCTTTTTTTTTTTTTTTTTTCATTTGTGTTCAGGATATTAAGTATGTAAGGTTACTAGATTAGAAACCTACTTAAAAACAAAAATGAATAATTTGAAAACTGACTAAAAGACCACCCTTTTAGAACAAGTCTGGATATATCATGTAGTGCACAGTAATACAGCTATGCTAGAACATGGTTTAACTATACAGAAATTCAAACCTACTCAAAGAAAGACTATACAGGTAGTCTAGATTATGTCCCTATGATAGGATTAAGGCTACTTACTCCTCCCTTTGAAGAGGAAAGAAAGCTTTAATGTAAACTTTTTTTTTTAGGTCCGATTCCTTTAAATCAGTTTTCTTGACAAAACCATCTTTATTGTGTGGTTCTGCACCTCACTGAACCCAATCACAAATACAACATTAATTGCTAGCTTGCTAAAAATAGCATATGAGACATTTGGGAACAACTGAGGATTCTAATTATGAAATGAGTTAGAATAATTAGAGAATTTAATTCTCAGATATACTTACGTTCTTAGATATATTATGTAAGATGATGTTTTTTAGAAGATTGGCTTGAGCATTGGGGGTAAAACATCTGTAATTTACTGCCAAATGCTCTGGATATGGATATACATGTAAGTAAATTCACATGCATGTATGTATGTGTGCCTGTGTGTACATAAAAACCACCACACCACGCTAATAAACAAACATCAATCTAGGCACATGGGTCATCACTGTATTTTTTTTTCAACTTTTCTTAATGTTTGAAAATTATAATAAAAAGCTGGAATTGAGAGAAGGAAATGACTGAACAGTAAGGAAATCTTACCAATCATGTTATATTATCCGCAGGTTTATTTAGTATTCCTTCTGTTCACTACACCGTATTTGTTACTTGAGTCATCTCTGTGGAGTTTTATTTTCACTCTCTTACTAAGAATCTCTGGATTCAAAATCTTATCCTATCAAGTTATACTTTTGTATTCAAACCATAACCTGGATCATTCCTTTGTTGACAGGTTTAAAAGAAAAAATCACCTAACCAGTCAGTTTAATTTTAAATTGTAACCACAGAGACTCTAAATGCATAAATAATGGGAGTGAACCTAATGTTTGAGTTTTTCTACAATGGGACCATAAACAAAGTTCAAGTTCTCATTTAGAAACAGTAATACAGAAACAGTAATAATGCAAATAATAAAAGTAAATATTTAAAACATAATTTAGCTGCACTAAACTAGCTCAGAAAATTAAATGCAGGTATGGAGATAGTATGATTGCCATTAGAATGGGAAAGGTGAGAACTATTTGTTATAATAATTTAGGTTGAATGGTTTTGTTCTATCAATCAAGAATAAAGTTATAAGGAATAGTGTTTTAGGAGCATGTGCTCCTAAGGCTGAACAAACCAAGGATGGAACTCGCTCACTTGTACATTCCAAAGCCAAAGCTCAGAGCAGTCATCCGGTCCACAAGCAACAAGATAGTTGTCATCTGGACTCCATGCAATGTAAGAAACACCATAAGCATGTCCTTCTAATGTTTTAAGGAGTTTTAGCAGGTGTGTATCCTGGAAGGGAAAACAGACAACTCAGTAACTCCTAAATCACTGTTTTATAGTACAAGAACTTCAATAGCTGTAAGGACATGCCTCATTTAACATGAGTTTTCATACCAATTCAACTAAAGTTCACACAGCTTGCTTCATAAAGACTTATCACATTTCCACATCTAGTAACTACTATTATACATACAGAACACATGTGTGCTGAATGGAAGTACAAAGTGACACAGAATTTGCCCTGAGGAAACAGATGAGTGTAACAAGTGCTGTCTCTTCCTTATTTTAACAGCTTCACTCAGATACAGCAGCATAAAATTCATCCTTTTAAAGTGTACAGTTTGGTAGTTTTACTACAGAGTTGTATGCCCATCATTACGATCTAATTCTGTAACATTTTTATCATCCCCTAAAACCCTACATCCATTAACAGTTGCTCACGTCCATCCTGGAAGCTCTCAGTAACCATGCTTTCTGTTTTTATGATATTGCATATAAATGGAATTTTACAGCCTCTCATAATTGGCTCCTTCCATTTAGCATAAGGTTTCTGGGGGTTACCTCCATTTTAGAGAATGTATCACTTTTACTACTGAGTGACATCCCATTTTACAGATACACTCTATTTAGTCATTCATCAGTTGATGAATATTCGGTGTCTACTTTTTGATTATTATGAATAATGTGGCTGTATGTTTTTTATGTGGACTTTGTTTTAATTTCTCTGGGACACAGACACAGCAGTGGAATTTCTGGGTCATATGCTAACTTTATGTTCGGCACTTTGAGGAAATGACAAAACTGTTTTCCAAGAGACCACACCATACCACATTCCCACACACAAACTTACCACTTAATTCACAACAGTATTTCACTGAAACTTCACAAATCTGTTATGTTACTAATAATACATTATTCATAATATTAACATAATACTCATTGTATTATGAATAATATGTTACAAGGAAGGAAATGAAGTTTTAGAAAGGCTAAAAACTTGCTTCTTTTATAATACAGTGAAGATCTGAACCTGGGCTGACCAACTCTGAAGCTCATACTCTAAGTTCTGCAGACTGACTACGCAATGCAAATATGAATGTGGAAAGTGACAGGCTAAAAAGGTGACAGGTTTACTTTAGAATAAGGGGTTCAGTTTTAGCCAATGGATGAAGAGTTGCTTATAAATGTCAAGACAGGGTGTGCCTATAATCCCAGCTACTCAGGAGTCAGAGATTAGGGGGCTTGGAGTCTGAGGCCAGGCTGGGCAAAAAAGTTAGTGAGACCCCCATCTCAACAAAATAACCTGGGAGTGGTGGCACATGTCTGTCACCCCAGCTATGTAAGAGGCCATAGGTAGGAAGATCACAGTCTAAGAATCATCTGGGGAAAAATGCAAGATACTACCTGAAAAATAACTAAAACAAAAAAGGGCTGGGGCATGGCTCAAGTAGCAAAGTGCCTACCTAGCAAGCATGAGGCTGGGAGTTCAAACCCCAGTACCACAAAGCAAACAAACAAAACAATAACCAAAGAACTTCCACCAAAATCAAGATAGGGCATACATGATAGGGGATGTGCAACTAGGCAGGGAAGAGATGTAATACGATAGGGAGTATGTCATACAGTGTTTGGCTTTAGGGGAAGCACTGGGTCCAGATGGAAGATTCTGAATCTGAAGGGAAACCCATAACAAGCCAATGCAACAAACAGTTTGCAAGAAATGAGGCCTACACTAAGATAGTTAGGACTCAAAAGAGAAAAGATAATTTTGAGATAAAATGACAGAACAGAATATAACAAATTAAAAGATAACCTTCAAAGATCTGGCTTATGGAACATGGACTGGTATGAGCAGGGAACAGAAAAAACACAGATTTGATGAGAGGTGTGAAAAAACAGTTAAGTTTTAGGCTTTAGTTAAAAGCTTATAGCTACTCAGGAGGCAGAGACCAGGAGGATGGCAATTCAATGCCAGCCTGGGCAAATAGTTCCTGAGACCCCACCTTGAAAGAAAAAAGTCCTTCACAAAAAAAGGACTGGTGGATCAGGTCACGGTACAGGCACTGAGTTCAAACCCCAATACCCCCCCCCCCCCCCGGAAATAAAAGCTTACTGAACCTAGTTTTGAGCTGGTAGAAGAGTCCAATAGTGATGCCCTATGAGCACTTAGAAGTGGGTTTAGAGCTAGTCTGATGGAAGTCGGGTTTCCCCCACTCAAGAAATGTGACTGAGAAATGGATTGTTTGCCATGTTCTGCTTCTTCACTGGGCCCTAAATATCTTCCTACAACTGCCTAGCCTGAATCTCCTAGCTTGAAATCTCCCCTACTTTGACAAAATTAAATAGTTAACAATGTAACTACTTCTCATTCTTCTTTGGGAAGGAGGTAAGAGTTATAAGCAATCTGCATTAGGTCAGTGGTTTGTGTAATTTACTAAACCAGTTAAATCTCTCAGGAACAAACTTCCAGTCACAGTAGTACTCCAGTTCAACAAAAAGATGTGCTTCTTGCAGGGTGACAAACTCCTTTAGAAATATTTAATTCAAAAGCTAATTGTTTCATACACTTTAATGAAAAACATAATCCTATGAAAGATAAAGTTGAAAACAATCAAGGATATTAATACTTTATCTTCACAAGTACAGATCCTTTTATACTCTGATTCATCTGGAGTCCATATGACTTTGCTTAGATTGTGGACAGAATACAGAAAATTCATTTTTGGAAAAGGGGAAAAAATTGTTTCAGGAAACTAGGCATTGGAATCACATCAACTTAAAATTTTCAGTTCTCTATTTTCTATTCATTAAGAAACATACAGGCCAGGTGCCAGTGACCTAGCTACCCAAGAGGCAACGATCAAGAGGATCACAGCTGGAAGCTAGCCAGGGCAAACAGTTCATGAGATCCTATCTTGTATAAAACCCAACACACACACACAAAAAAAAAGGCTATCAGGCTGCTAGCCTACCAAGTGCTGAGGACCTGAGTTCAAATCCCAGTACTGCCCCCTCCCTTCCACCCCAAAACATACAGCCAGGTACAAGTGGCTCACACCTGTAATCCTAGCTATTTGGGAGACTGAGATCTGAGATTAGGAGGATAACAATTCAAGGCCAACCCAAGCAAATAGTTTCCAAGACTCCATGGTCCAAAATAACCAGAGCAAAATGAACTGGAAGTGTGGTACAGTAAATAGTAAATAGACATCTGCTTTGTAAGCAAGAAGCCCTGAGGTCAAACTCCAGTCCCACGAAAAAGGAAAGAAACATACATCAAAGGGAACCAAGTATGGTGGTACATGTCTATACTCCCAGGAAGATCACAAGTTCCAGGCCAGCCTGGACTACATAGCAAGACACTGTCATAAAACAAACAAAAAAACCATTAAAACCTATCAATACACAAAATACATATTCAAATAAAAATTTTCCAAATACTGTTTGACATAACAAAAATACCACCATACCAAAAGAGTTAACCAGTCTTAGAGGACATACTATAATACAACCATCTAAAAATTAATGCCTAAAACCCCTACATTTCAATTGGAATTTAACTTTGCTTTCCCCAAGTTAATATGGCCACAAAAACTCTTTATAGATAACACTTACTACATTCTGCATACCCAGTATTCTGACAAAAACTGTGGGAAATAAATGGCATGAAAGTCTGAAGTCCTTAGCAAAGAGTACCAAAGACCTCCCTTGATCTGGTTGCTACTTACTTCATTAGCCTCACCTAGTCTACCAAAAACTCTTTCCCCTAAACCACCCAAATGCCATACTTCTTTCACCCAAGGGCTATGGCTAACCAGTTTTGACTAAGTATTTCTTTAGTCCCTCTTCTCAGTTCCAGGAGGATCTCTTCCATTCTAAACAATTAGGGTTTATTATTATGTGCTCCATCTGTAGCAAAAGACCCAGCACACAGCAGGCACTTTATGTTGGCTAAATGAAAGGAGACCCTTACACACAGCTGCTGTAAGAAAATTTATGAAAGCACTTTTGATATTGTTGCTATCCTTTTCAGACACCTTGCAAAAACTGTAGAACTGCTTAGAATAGAATTCAAAGGCCAAATTCTTTCTAGTCTTATTTTCCACCTTTTGCCATTACTAAGTCCTATTCTATTTTTGAAGGGGGAAAAAAAGGAAAGAGATACTTCTTCCCTAGAATGCCCTTTTCTCACCTCCACCTGTGCGATTCACAGTCAGGGTCCAAAGAAGTACTCCCACATGCAAAACTCCTTCATGCTTTCATAGTCTGCATATGTATATAGCATAATACTTACTTAGTTGAATTTTATTTCCCTTTCTAAACTGTACAATCCTTTCACAAGGCTTCTTAACCTGAATCTACAAGAAGTGTTCTAGGATAGAAACAGGGGTCTTGGAACAGAAATGTGAAAAAAGCACATCTCTATTTTTCATTAACCACTGCCTGAATACCTTTTTTTGGGGGGGTGTGGTGGGGAAGGAGGCACTGGGGTTTGAAGTGAGAGCTTTGTGCTTATGAGGCAAGAGCCTTACTGCTTGAGCCACATCTCTGGTCTACCACAGCTTGAAATTCAGTATTTCCTTCAATCTTGAATGGAGCAATTAACAAAGCAGTATTAGGTATATTAGTATACTGTATGAGGTAGCAGTAAATTAGGCATTCTATGACTCTTAATATAGAAATCGCAAGTATTTTCACATATTACAATTATTGCAGATATCTTACAATATTATTTGTGCTCATCACTAATTCAGAGTTCTGGTGGTGACTGGGTCTGCCAGAATTTATTATTTTACGTGCTATAAGCAGTATTATATACCATATCTTTCTGTACTATGTTAATAATTATATTTCAATGTAATTGGGTTTCCTAAGTAATAAACTGTAATATATATCTAGGTTTGCTGTATGTTTTTGTTCATGCATTTAAAAATATTATTCTGACCGGGCACCAGTGGCTCACGCCTGTAAATCCTAATTATTTGGGAGGCCAAGATTGAGAGGATCATAGTTTGAGGCCAGTCTGGACAAACAGTTCCACAACCCCATCTCCCAAATAACCAGAGCAAAATAGACTGGCGCAGTGGCTAAAGCAGGAGTGCCTGCTTTGCAAGCACAAAGCCCTTAATTCAAACCCCCGTTCCACCAAAAAGAAAAAAATAATTCTGAGGCCCATGGATATGCCCTTTGGTATATATCTGGATATATACCAAAGGGGTATATATGGGACCAAAAAAAAGCTTTACAGAAAGAATGTGTCTTATTTTCCTTTTATCAATCATAGCATATTACAAGTATCCAAGAATTGCTACATGCTCACAAATTTGAATTCTTTTTTTCTTTAAAACCAAACATAGCTCCTTAACCTATTTGGAGTCATGCACTTTTTTGATTTCTCAATGAATGTTCAATTAGTTGAAAGAAATGAAGATACTTCTACAACTCTGTAGGCTATGTGGTTATAAACAATGAAAAATCTGGTTTTAGAGAGATAGTTCACTGGGAAAAAAACAGGGGTGGAGGAGCCTTAAACAACAAGATTAAAAAATTACACGATACAGATATAATGAAGGATTTCAGAAGACAAAGAAATAGGAGTCTTTTCTAACTAGTGACAGAACAGACATTAATTATTTAGAAATTACAAAGATACAAACTGGCAGAGATATTAATAGCAGTGGTTTTGGAGTCAAAATCTTCCTTGAGTTAAACTGTCATTTACCAGCCATGAGCGCCTAGGTACTTAACTTCTACCTTAGCTTCCTCATCTGAAAACAGGAAATGCACCGGATTCGAATAATGCACACACACAGATTTAGCAAAATCACTAGTCCGTAACACTCAACAATTGTTAATATTAATCAGCATATATTAGCTAAACAACTTTCGAAGAAGAAGTGACAAATGTAGGCGATGTGGTGGTCCAAACCTATAATCCCAGCACTACAGAGGCTGAGGCAGAGGAAGACTCTGTCTTAGAAAATCAGAAGTAATAAACACAACCAAACATGCCTTGGAAAATATATTAGAAATGCACTACATACACAGGTGTATTTTAAAAATAGGTAATCCTTGAATTATGTTCAAAATTACCCCCTTTGGCAATTTAAACACTCATATTGGAGTACATACCGGATCAACTTGCCATATGATAACTGTAGTATCTTTTGATCCTGTTGCTAGTTTAGTGCCATCATTAGAGAATTTACAGAACCACACTTCATTACAATGCTCCGTAAGTATCTGCTGAGTATAACAGGGAAACTGCTTCCTAAAAGAAGTAAGTCCACACATAATTATTCTTTCAAAAGATTACAGTAATAACAAAAAAGGTTAAGCAACTCATAAAACCTGTGTAAATTACATCATAAACTTTAAAAATATAAATTCTTTAATAATTAAGTTTATATTGGTTATGCTGAAACATAAAATAATGTAACAGATACTTTTTGATCAAGGCAACCTTATTGGACGTCAACAATCTACAATCTGTTTCAACTTAAAATTTACATTTTTTTCTTCTTCTGAAGGTTACTTGGTCATTAAATAAATCCATATAAGTAATTAAAAATGAGGGATAATATTTATCTATCTTTATGTAAGTTGGATGCCATCAGCTGGTTGTTCTAGAAGGAATAAAGAATAATGTAGCATTTTCAGTTTCATAAAATCTAGTTAACTTTTATTAGAAAAGCAATTTAGTATGACCAAAAGAGAACAGGCATTGGGCAGTCTGACAATGGGTTCAGGTCCTTTTCCAATTACAGGCTTTAATGTTGTTGGCAAGTCATTTAACATCTTCTTCCAAGCCTCAGTTCCCTCATGTGCTAAAGGATGTTAGTAGCTACCTTACAAGGTTCTTTGGATTTGTATAGGGATTAGAAACACATCTCAAACTTCTGAAATACAAACAGATGCCCAAATGTGGTCACTGGTATGGTTTTGGGGGAACACAGGAGAAGTATAATACACTGCACAGGCTGCTGAGGTTAAAAGCAAAGCTTTCGGAATGGAGAGTAGAATCTGATAGACTGAGGTTCAATTCCAGCTCAGCCACTCACCAGCTGTGATTTAGGAATTTTTTTTAAAAAATAGTTCCTATTTATTATATTATGTTTTATGGTGCTAGGGGATCAAACCATTCCATGAATTACTCTACCACAAAGCTACATCTCCAGCCCTGGGATATTTACTTAATCTCTCACTCTCAATTGTTCCAACTGTAATATATAATGGTACCTGCCTTATGGCTGTTGTTTGGACAGTACAACTCTATATGAATTGAGCATCCCTAATCCAGAAATCTGAAATCCAAAAGCTCCAAAATCTGAAATTTTTTGAGCACCAATACGACACAAGTGGAAAATTCCACACCTGAGCGCATGTGCAGTCATGATCAAAATACAGGTGTGCTAAAAGTATTAATAAAATTACTTTCAGGTGATGTGCATAGGAACATATGAAACATAAATTAATTTCATACTTAATATTGTGTTTCATCCAAGATGTCTCATTATGTATATACAAATATTCCAAAATCTAAAAATATTCAAAATCAGAAACACTTTTGGTCTTAAACATTTCAGATAAGGGATATTCCACTTGTGCTTAAATCTTTAACTTATCAGGTAACATAAAACTGGTAAGTAGCTGAACTAGGATTTGAACTTATGGCTACCTCCATTTTCTTCCCAAATGTTGCTTTAAATAATATTTTTCAAAGACCAGATAAAATTTCAATCAGAAAATTCAAATGGCTAAAGGATCATGAGTAAAAAGATATATTTAAAATTAGGGTGGTAGAGTATTATTAAGAAGGGATTGATTAATAATCAAAACCACAGGGCACAAATCATTTAGTACAATGACAGTCAGTTGTATTTAAACACCTAAAGTGGTATTTAATCTGTCTTTTTTCCCTTGGGGTTTGAACTCAGGGCCTCACGCTTGCTAGTCAAGCACTCCTACTTGAGCAATGTCCCCAGCCCTTTTAGCTTTTAGTACTTTTTTTAGAAAGGATCTCACGTTTTTTGTCTGGGCTGGCCTCAGACCACCATTATTCTACCTATGATTCTCAAGTAGCTAGGATTACAGCATGGACTACATACCACACCAGCTTATTCTTTGAGGTAAGATCTTGCTAACTTTTTGCCCAGGCTGGGCATGATCCTATCACTGCTTCCCAAGTAGCTGAGATTAGAGGTATAAGCCACTGAGCCCAGTCTAAATTGTCATCATTTTTTCATTACTTAATCTAAAAACAACTAATATTTGTTCAAAGCCTTGATACCTAAGTGACAGTTAAATGTCTTTGCTTTCAAATACATTCCAAATATAAGGATGCTAAAAGGCAGTACCACCTTCTGAAATAAAACTGAATAAAGCACAGCATTCTAGCCAAACCAAATCATCAAATTGTTGTCTGTGTACAATAACCCTTTCCTAAAACAATACTTATAAAAGCTGTCATTGGTGAAAAACAAATTTTTAAAAACACTTTTGACTCACTGTCAAATTTAACCAAAAACATGTGTACACTAACTGTGAAACAGCAATAATACACAAGCTGATACAAACTTTTCATTGTTTGTCAGGGTTACTTTTTTAGTCAGAATTCAGCTATCATAATCGATTCTCTTTTATTTTCCAAAGAAAAAAAGCTGATAGTTTTCAATGCTATAATTTAACTTCAGAAAATTTTTCTAATTTCAATGCTAACATCTAGCATTAGATTTTAGGCAGAGAATAAAAGTATCAACTTCCCCTTTGAAGACCTCTAGTTGATTCTATTAGGTTCTGTTTTCCTAGTTCAGCAATGAAGAGCATGACTCACTCTCAAGAGTGTATCCTGACTTAATGCCTCAATGTCCTTAAGCCTAACTCTACAGTGAGCAGTTGAGGCTGGCTCCTGGTTTTCTGGCAGGACACGAGTGACAGCCATGCCACGTTTAAGGTACTAGAGCAACATCCTCACTGCTGCACTAAGGTCTAAGGCTCAGGAGCTCCAGCTCATTCCTAAGAGTTATTAGATACATGGAAGCAAAACCTAAAGAAGAAAGATGAGAGAATAAATAAATACAATTATGGATCACACGCTATTAAAGGGACAGGAAAAGAGGAGGAGCATGAGGAACCAGTAACACAACCGAGTGACTGGAATGTTTTATTAGTCAAAGGAAAAGTTTCAGAGCAGAGTGGTCAAGTGCTATAGAAAGACCAAGAGGTAGCTCGAAAGCATCCTCTGAATTAAGAGGTTGTTTCTCACCAACACCAGCAACTGTTCTGATGCTATGTGTTTGCTGCACAGGCCCTAAGATTACAAAAATCTGAGGAGCGAACAAAAGTAAAGACATAAACATTATCAATGTATAGTACGTAATGATTTCAAGAAGTTAGCTCTAAAGGGGGGCGGTCCTAACTAGGAGCAACATAAAGGGATTTTGTTTTTTAAAGACTGCCGAGAAATAACGAATGGTTAGTTCTGAGGAACAAGAACTCTTTTGGTCCTATGTAAAGCCTCAAGCTGTCTATAGGCTTATGAGAGCCTACTTGCTGATCTGAAAGATGGAAAAAGTTTAATTTTAATTTACAATCTATTAAATCTCATAGATAGTGATACAGAAGTTACCAAGTAATAGTTGAATACTTTAAGATGAGTATCACTTTAAGGTCAACTGCTCAAACAATTATTTTTTATTTCAAGTGGGGAAAATGAGGTCAAAACTACACAGGAAAGTAGACTATGGGGCTGGGAATACAGCTCAGTGGTAGAATCCTTGCTTAGTATTTGTGAGGCCCTGGGTTCCATTCCTAGCACACACACACAAACACCCTGGTTTATGTACACCTAGAAATTATATGAACCCAGAGTCTAGATGTGTATCAGTACATCACGTGGTATATCACACACACACACACACACACACACATACACACACACAATCTGTCCTTGCCATTCACTAGTTACACTAATTCTTCTACAATCTTTGCCAAAAGCAATAGAACACGTGCACTGCAGCTGCTCTACTTCGTGTTTGGTTCACAAGAACCAGCCTGTTCCTTCCTGGAGTTTTCAAGGCTTCACAGTTCATTTTTTGGTTCTTGAAAATTGAAGCTCTGATTTTAATTTTCAATTTGAGTTCTGACTTTTTACTTGTGAAAAAATGCTAACTCAGACATGAATTGTTACATAGCTATAGGGTAAAACTCTAGAAAACATTCTAATAAAGTTCAAAATTGTGTCTATAAAATGCTAGCACATTTCAGAATATATAAGTTTTCCTCTTACCTACTACAAACATGATCTATCAGTAGAGACACAGAATCTAGATTATTATCAAGTTTGGTATTGTGATATAGGCACCGATCCCTTTGCAGTTCCACCGCCTGCCGCAGGAGAGTCTGTAAACGCCGTGGGGGAAGCATCACTGATGGTGGTAAATAGGCTTTAATAGAAGACATTTTAAGAAGAGAAATAAAAATAACAATAAACTGTAAACCTTTATTTAAGACATTTGCTCCTCTTCATATACCTGCCCTTACTCAATAATGTGTCCTTTCAAAAGACAAGCTCTAGGGGAGATGACATGACACGTGAGTTTCATATGTATCTGTCAAAAGCTACAGTGATGTTGCTACTTGAGACAGGTATACCTGGCTAAGAGGGCTTCATTTTGTAGGTGGATTTTTGGAAAAAAACACAAAAACAAAAAGCAGAAGACAATGAAAAAAAAAATCTAATGATTATGTATCAGTGGGAGATCAAGTGTAAGAGAACTCTCCACTTAACAAAGATCAAGCCAAAGTGCTGGACGTGTCAAGTCTGAGTCCTATCTAGTGGCCCCTTGTGCTAAGGACACTGTGGAGACTCAGCACAGCTCAAAACTAACTTATTCCAACCCCTGAATGCCTTTTACCTCCCTAAAGTGTATGGAGTACATTTTCTGATTCTTAGGATTTCCAGTCCTACTGCAACACTATGTAATAATATGTGAGCAGACAGGAGGCCTTTTACATGAACATATGGCAAAAATGAAATCCTAACTATAATCTGGAGGTTATAGAATACTGTTGGGGAAAAAACAATTTGCCTAAAGAAATCTGGGCCTTACTGTTGAAATCAATGAATCTGTAAAATGCTTGTGGCTTAAAGTTGTGGTTTACATGTTTGTCCTCTAATCACAGCACTGTCCCCCAAAGAAAATCAATCTTAAGAGCATCACTATATAATACAAGTGCAAGAAGAACCACTCTGGGACCAGTACCCTCTCACTGACTCCTGAGGTTAGCCATGATACAGTTTGAAAATGGTTGGGTGAAAGGGCTGCTTAATGGAGACCCCACCCAACCCCGATTTTCCATAACTACTCAATAAAAGTAGGTCTAGGTAAGTCTTCCTAACTGATCCGTAATATCTATTTCTAGTCTAAGAGAAAAAAAGAAACATCAGTGTAAAGATTCTTACTCTGAAGTTTGTCCAATAACTTTGATCGGGAAGCAGTTCCTTTGCCTTCCCATTCTGCTTTTGCTCGGAGATCCTCTGCATGGCTACACATCAGATACCTAAAGACACAACAGATGAAATAACAAACAGGAAACCCTTTTCTTTGGAATGTAATTGAAAAAATACCAACAATATTTTGGCAATCCAGCTGTTTTTTGTTTTGGCAGTACTGGGGCTTGAATTCAGGGCCTCACACTTACTAAGCAGGTGCTCTACTATTTGAGACACTCTGCCAGCCCACGGGCAATCCAGTTCTTACTAATACAAATCAAGAAGGAAAAAAATACTTTTTAAGGCAGTATTGGGGTTTGAATTCAGGGATGCACCCTTGCTAGGGTAGCCACACCCTCAGCCATGTGGTACTTTAGAATTTTTTTGGATAGAGTTTTCAGTTTCTGCCCCAGGCCAGCCTTGATCCACAATCCTATCTAAACCTCCTGAGTAGCTGGGATTGACTGGCTTATGTTTTTGCAACGAGATCACACTTGTCCAGGCTGGCCTCAAACTGTAATCTTCCCAATCCTGCCTCAAAGCAGCTGGGATTTTAGGTGTGAGCCACCATGCCTAGCTTTCAAAAAGAAATTTCTATAGTGGATCTGGCATCTTCACATATCTTCTTCATATAACTACTAAAATGTAATGTGACAGTGGTAGCTAAATAATATAATACAATACTATCGTCGTTACCTATTAATATAATATATTCTTTTTCTTCTTCCTCCTCTTTGCCTTTTTTTTTGAGACAGGGTCTCCTTGTGTAGCTCAGACTGGCCTCCAACTCTTGATTCTCCTGCTTCCTCCTCCTGAGTGCTGGGATTACAGGCATATGCCACATGCTTGGCTAGAATATATTCTTATATTGCAATACATTTTATATATATATAAATATATATATATGTAAGTCTTACTGTGTGCTCCATTCCAAGCCTTCAAACAAATATTACTCCATTCAATGTCCACAACAACCCCATTATGAAGTAAGCACTATTACTACTGTATTTCTATTAAATGACAAAACACAGGCATAGAAAAGCTTAAGTAGCTTGGATGAGTGGAGGTGGGAGAAGGAAAAGTAGTAATACAGAAACCCAGGCCTTCTGCTACAGACCTTGCTTCTTAACCACTCTGCTTAACTTCACAGCTTCTCAACAGCAAATCGAAGCTCAAAAAACTTCAAGTTATTTATATTATTAATTTAATAAAAAACACATTCCTTTAAGAGTTTATCACAAATATCACTTAAGAAATGGTATAACTGGGTAACATTCTTGTGTCATTCTGGGAAAGGTATTGACATTCTAGAGCACAGTATCTGAGAACTGTTTTATTCTTCACCATGTATGCAGACAGTGGCACAAATGCTAAAGTTCATGGTCTCTGGAGAATACATATGGGCACCCTGCTGGGTGCATGACCCTAACCTGGTTCTGACTCTTTCCAAAAGAATGGAATTTGAGCAAAAGGGAAGTTATTATTCAATCAAGGAGATGAGACCTGGCTGCTTTCTCTGGTACTCTGCCACATACATTTGTCCCTCACTAGTCAAAAGGGCATTCAATAGGACAAGAAGGATAAAATAAGATTAAGTATATGAAGCCTTCCTTTGCTACCTATTACACAGGAAGAGCAATAGTTACAATACAAACATCAGAAACTGTTATCATGAATAAGGTACCCTCCCTTCCCTAACTGCAAAAAGTGTATCACATTTAGAGTCCAAAAGACTTAACAGCCTCTTACGTAACAGAAGAACTACTTGTTCTTTTGTTATTTAGTATATAAATAGTGCCTTAGTGACGAAAAGAACTTACTTAAAAGAAATTAACATAAGTAATTATACTCAACAAGCCCTAAAGGAAGTTGGATACTGTGAAAGTTTTGTTTCTAAAATAACTGGAATCTAATTCTGGAAGAATTAAGATTATATGAAGCCAGGCACTGGTAGTTCACACCTTCAGCCCTACCAAGTTGGGAGGCTGAGATTGGGAGGATCACGGTTTATGGCAACCCTGGGCAAATAATTCCCAAAATGCCATCTCCAAAATAGCCAGAACAAAAGAGACTGGAGCTGTGGCTCAAGTCGTAGAGTACCTGCTTTGCAAGGAAGAAGCCCTGAAGTCAAACTTCAAAATTTAAATAAATATTATATATATAGGAAAATTGTTTTTAAATTTTACAAAAGTGACATAGTTGCTTCTTTGCACACTAACCCTTATGTTTTAAATAATGTCTATTGATGCAAAGTCACATGGCATAACTGAAAGAAACCATGATTCTAAATCCCAGCTGCACATCTCGTTATCTCTGGGCTATTTCCTTTTGTGAAAAATTCAGGAGATAAATTTGCTGCTGAAGGTAATTTCAGAATGAAAACCATAAATTATATATTCTGTTACTAGAGCAGGAAAAAAAAAATCCATCATGTGAATAAAATGTAGGTGACAAAGAAATCAGATACCTTATGAAAAAAGGTAATCAGAACAAAGTAATTTGTCAACCATAGTATTAAAATATCTTACAGAATTTTACTAACTTAAGGCCAATGACTCTGGAATCAGCCAAACCAGGCTTTGAGACTTGGCTCTCTGATTTAATAGCTTCAGCTTGTGCTAATTACTTAATTTTGAAGCTCAGCTTTCTTTACCTGCAAAATGAACCTTATACCTCTTTGGGCCCATTCTTTTGTATTTATAAATTCATCATGTGTTAGGTATTATTCTAGATGCTGGGGCTACATTATATAGTGAAAAATGCTGTAAGAAAAAAACCAAACAGTGACATAACTAAGAATGCTCAGTAGGTAGTCTCAAGAGAGACATTTGGGCTGGGACCGGAGTAATGAGAAGCCAAAGGTTGGGGGGAAGAACATTTACAAGAGAGGAGACAGACCATGCAAATGCCTTAAAGCTTGACAAGCTATGGAACAGAAATTCTTAGTGTCACTAGGAGAGTAATGAATAAAGAAAAGACATCAGAAAAGGGTTGAGGGTCTTGTGGGCTTAAATAGATTTGAAGTTTTAAGTTTGCTAGAAAGCTAGTGAAGGTTTTAAGCTTGAGAGTGAAATGACTTAACTCACACAGCTTTATTATATATTTCTCTGGCTGCTGTGTGAAATATGCATTGCTAAGGGACTAAGGATGAAGTCAGTACAATAAAAGCAGGAAATTACCACACAAGATCCTGTGGTTGAACTATTTGGGCATGTTTCTGGAGTTAGGCCATACATGTCAAAATTAAAAGACAAGGAGAAAGTAAAAATGAGTCTTCTTTTTTTTGTCTGAGCAACTGAGCAGATCTTGTCATTTACTACAGACAGCTCGAATATGTAGGGGAGGGGGTAGAGATACAAATGGAGTTAAGAATTTTGTTTTAAGCCAGTGCAGTGGCTCACTCTCCTAAGTCCAGCTACTTGGGAGGCTGAGATCGGGACGATCACAGCTCAAGGCCGGCCTGGGTAAATAGTTGGGAGACCCCCATCTCCAAATAACCACAGCAAAATGTACCAGAAATGTGGTTCAAGCAGTAGAGCAGCACCTGCTTTGCAAGCATGGAAGTTCTGAGTTCAAATCCTATTCCACCAAAAAAAAAAAAGATTTGCAAATATAATTGAGACACTTAGTAGAAATCCAAGTGGAGATTGTCACATAGACCATTATATCCATACACCGAAACTTCATGTAGACTATTATATCCATACACTGAAACTTCAGATGAGAGGATAAATTTAAGAGCCATCAGCATACAGAAAGTGTGTAAAGCCATGTTATAGAATAAGATAGCCTAGGATGAATATATAGAGTGGGCACAGAAGAGGGGCCTACGATCAAGCCCAAGGGTACTCTAACATTTAAAAGATAAAACGACCTTTTCTTCTTTTTTTTTTTTTCCCTAGTACTGGGGTTTGAACTCAGGACTCATACTTGCTAGGTAGGTTCTCTACCACTTGAGCCATTCCACCAAAGATTCAGTCTCCAAAGTGAGACTCTGAATAGAAAGTGCTTAGTAAGAAACTGGAACTAGAATACGCTAGCTACTGAAATCCCACCTACTCTGAAGGTGGAGTCACCACAAGTTTGTCACCAGTTCAGGCAAGGTTAGAAGGATCTTGAGTGCAAAGTCAGCCCAGTTAAAGTTAACGAGACCCCATCTCGATAAATAAATACATACGTACGTGAATAAACAATTTAAGGGCTGGGGCCTAGCTAAAGTGGTAGAGTATTTGGCTAGCCAACATAAGGCCCTGGGGTTATTTCCGAGTACTGCAAAATAAAAAACAGAACCTGGTACATGTAAGCATTTAAAAAATGTTTCTATGCATTTCATTGCTTACTATGATCCAAGCCACGGGGTTTTTACAGATTTTGAAACAGCATTTCAGTCAAGTATGGAGATCCATGCCTATAATCCCAGCATTCAGGAGGCTGAGGCAGGAGGGTTGTAGCCAGCCTGGGATATATGGCAAGCTCCATCTCAAAAAAACAAACAAAACAAAACTAACTAGCATTTCCTGGGCTAAACGTATTTCTTCTCCCTTTCACTATATAAACATCTTTTTATCCTACCGGTAGCTTGCCAGGATGACAAAAAGAGTTCATATATACCAGTGAATTTACTCAGAACAATATTATCTAAGTTTAGCAATATTGGGTATTTGCAGCTCAGAAAAAGGTTAGAGAAACTTAACTCTGGCCAATGGCAAACTTTGTAAAGTAATCTTTCGTCAACCTGGAGTCTGAGAACCCAGCTTTCTTACCCACTAAGAACATGAATGCGCTCTGTGTTGTATTTCAGTGGCGTCAATTCACAGCGTAGAACTTGAAGTGCCTCCAGGACCTTGCCATCCTCCAGGTATTCCAGGTACTTCTGCTGCAGCAGCAAGAACTTCATCCTCTGACATGACAGAAAGCAGCAGTCAGGGAAAAAAGTTGATGGAAGTTTCAGAAAATGTTTGTGCCTAAACAGAACAGTAGAAACCATTCTACTATGCCCTTTGAAAATAATTTTTATAAAGCTTCAAGATGACTCAAAGTATCTTGGTTTAACAAGAGTCATAAGATGTTAAATGTGACTTTGCTCAATTCTACATCTTAATAAAAACTGCTTTGAATGAGTAATCTCAAATCAGACAAGATCATTAGTGACCAAGGCATTATCAATGTAAGAAAAATCAATTCTTCTCTCAAAACATTCCCCTAGATTTTATTTCTCATACGAAAATTAACTACTATTCCAAGTATTCCAAATTTGCTTTTAAAATGTCTGACTTTTGGAGAAAAATCAGTTAATGGATTATTTAAAAGCCATGATGTACATGCCAGGGGTGTGGCTCAGTGGTAGAGCGCTTGCCTGGCACGTGGGATGCTCTGGGTTGGATCCCTAGGTCAAAAAAAAAAAAAACCCACACCAAACCAAAACAAAAGAAGCCACAATGTGAAAGAAGACTAAGTGAACCAGAAAGCAGAATTAGAGCCACTGGATAAAAGTATCAGATTTTGACTTATCAAAAGAAAGAAGAGCTTTGTAACAGACAGACTAGAGGCTGATGTGTAAAGTACTGAGTTTCCTATGACTACAGAGGGCAAGCATAAGCTCATTCTCCTCTCAGCTGTAAAGGGATGCCTATATCAGAAGGCTGCACTTAAAGGTCTTTAAAAAGATTCAACATTCACATTTGTGTAACAATCTGATCAAGTGTGTTTAATAACAATCACAGACACTTATCAGCTCTTTCTCACCAAATGACAAATCACTTTTTAGGCTACTGTGAGGTATTTTCCCATCTGGTTTTTGGAATGTGTTTGGTTTTAATATTTTTGATGTTTATTATTTTACTTCAATTAAAAGTGATCATCACAATCTTACCAGGTTTTTACTAGACAAGAGAGATTTATGAATATCCTGTCTGGAATTTCTTTTAAACTGTAAAACTAACTAAGCCACTGCTTGGAGGGGCCCTTTCACCATATTTGTTACTGGTGGTGCTTGAGCAAATCCACTAAAGTAAGTAGAAAAGTTAGTAGTTATCATATTTTGACTCCAAGGAATATACTGGTAAAGATCCTAAGTCCATTTAAATTAAAAACCTGAATTACAGCTTTTTCTTCAAGATGCTTGCTTAAAAACCATTAAAAAAATGCTGCTGTCACAAAATGGTGCAGAGAAATTGCCATGTATTTAAAGAATTAAGAATATAATAAACTGCTCTGAGATTTTCCAGTAGCAGTATTTAGAAGGCATAAACTACAAGCGCATAAAAAAAATCTCTAAAGAAAGTAAATAAAAATATGTAAGTCAGGCAAACATTAAAATACATCCTTTATAAACATGTTGCTTATGTTTGATAAATCTAATCTTGTATCTACAATGAACAGAAAAAATTCCAAAGCAGACAAGCTCTGATAGCTCCAAGAAAATTACACTTATCAAACTTTACACATTAAGTTAGACTGAGTAATGAATGTTTAACAAAGCAGACTAATTACCAAATGCCTTGAAAAGTATGTTGTTGTACATATACCTAAAGTTAATCTCTATATGCCAAATAAAAAATACTTTGATGATGGGTTAACTAAAATTTTAAAAAAATACTATGCAGTTCACCAGGTGACAAAAATTAAAGAAAATTAAAAATCTTTTAAAAAAGGATTTTATACTTGAAGTTATTTTGGATATTCCTATCATTTTAGCTTCTGAAAAAAACATTCAATTCTTTATAAAACAAAGCACTCAAACTAATTCCCAAAGATCAACACAGTGTTGAAAGTTTCATTTAGTTTATTTTTTAATTAAAACTTAAAAATCATATGTGGCTGCAGAATTTTTTTCATTTAAATGCCACATGGAACTGGCATATGATTTAATTTCTTCACTAAATTTTCTTAGTAATTCAGAATTTAGGGGAAATTTTTTCTTTTAATTCAGTGTCTTTTGTTCACTTATGGATAAGCATGAGGTCCTAAACCCACTCCCTCCCCAAATTCAATGTGTGTAGAGACAGTGCCCCAAGTGCTATTGCTCCCTAATTTTCCACCAAGATCTTGACAGACATGACACTCTTACTCTACGGGGCAGAGGCAGGTTAGGAGAGAAGAGAAAGGTAGACTGAAATTTTAAGAGAAGCCAATTTGAAACATATTTCTGTATATACAGAGAATAGCACAGAAGCAGTGTGAGCTTCTCTCTGTGAGTCATTTTACCCAGATTAAGACAAAGAATACCCTTCAAACAGACACCAAATCTTGATACTGTGCATGGCAACTAACACTCTACTAGCCAAACACAGCTAGAGATCTGGTTGAAAGAAAAAATGTTTATTCTCCTAAAAGTCAGTCCAACTCAAGTTTGATACATATGGTAACAATACAATAAAACCGCATTTTACTTCCGCAAATTTACAGCACAAAAAATGTAAACATGATCAAGAAAATAAAGACTTTTTAATTAACAAATGATGTTTTAATCACCTAATGAAAAAAGTTTTAAACATCAGGCAAGACAGAAGCTTGCTGAGAGATAGGGCTCCATTAATTTTTTTTTCCTTAAAGACCCTGTGCTTCTGAAAGAAAGGAAGAGTGAGGGAAAGAGGAAGAGGAACTAGAACTCTTCTTCACATTGTTTCCAGTTCCCAATTAGACCTCTACAGGATTATCTCTGGTCTCTGATGGTTTTCAACATCTTTGAGCCCAGCAATATTTCCTTCTCTCTTTTGCCATCTAGTAAAAACCTGAAATTGATAAATGACCAGGATAGCTTGAACGATAGCTTCACATTGCAAATTCTGTCTGTATGTTGCCCAACAAATATTGCCAAGGTAATCATACTCAATATTTGGATTGCTTTATTCTTTTCTCCCATACTATCAGACTGAATTTTAACATGGAAGAAAAACTCAAAAATCGCAATACATTCAAAGTCTAATCGTTGAGACCAGCCTCTTAACTAACTTTGGAATGGTTATAAGCAAGTTGTATCATTTAAATCATGACTCAGAAGAAAGGGTAAACGAGTTATAGTTAAGCCATGGATCTCAAAACTCCTCCTTATTGACCTTAAAATATGTTAATTTTTGTATGTCAAGTCAGTATTTCAATGCTTTTAAGCATATTTCTCATATTAAAAAATGAATCAAATTTTGTACATATATGTAAGTTTTCTGTTAGTGGTCTCACACACCCATTCAAATTTCTCCTGTCATGGCCCAGCATATCTGAACTCAAGTAAAAACTGTTGATGAATGAACACAGCATCCAGAAAACCCAGAGCGAATTCTGCTGCTCCCAGTGTCAACTGACTGGAAACCAGTTAAAAACAGGGTTGAGGGGAAGCTGAGGGAAGTATATTGGGTCAATAAAAATATTCAGGTTTAGAAAACGAAGTGTCATTTTAGCCTATACTAAGTCATAAAATGTGTCTGGGTGTATAATTAAAATAATCACGTGAAAAAAACCCAAATAGTTGTGTCCTAAGGTATTACTGCCAACTTTAAGCTTACATTAAATTATCTTCTTCTAGACATGGACGAGCAGTCTATATGTAGGGAGCAATAAATGTAAACACAATGAAAAGAAGAGCAACTTAAAAAAAAAATGCTGAACTCAATCTTTAAAAGCAATTGATTCATCAATGCTTAAAGTGCGATAAAAGCTGGAACCCCTTTCTTTGTATAAATACCTAAACAGTTTGATGGCGTGAGGCTCAGTCAGAGATTTAATCTTCATCTTTTATTAGATCCTAGAATGTTCTACAGACTCAACAGGCTGCAAAAAGAAAGGATTCCTCCTTATTATCTACAACTCCCTTTCTCCAGTTTACTTGCTGTTTCTACTGAAGGCTTCTAATGAGTCATAATCTAAACCCAATACAGAAGTCTCAAATACTATAAATAAAGAAAAAAATAGCAAGTGAGCCCATTAAAATTTTTACTACTAAATTACAGATAAAATTTGGGTGTAGTCTAAAAAAATGGAAACAACTTCCAAGAAATCATATACACTTACTTGAAACTATTCCACAGGCAAGTTCTTCATGGTCACCACACAAATAGTGTGAACTTGCCCAATAGAAAGGAACCCCAATCCTTATTTTGGCCATTTTAGTCTTTACTTTAGCTCAGTCAGAGTCAAAACACTTATGAAAATTGCCCAATTAAAATATACTTAGGTTTTCAACCCCAAACACACTGATTGAGGAAAGTCATTTAGTTCCTGAAAAAATTTTAACCCTATGAATATAGATGTGTAACTACTTTAACTTGTTTTTAAGTCTTACTATAGAACTGATTATTCCATAAATTAATTAGAAATCCTCTCACATGATAATAGTCTACATTTTTTAATATTGAATATTTTTTGAAAGAACAGAACCAATATACTAGGTCATAGATTTGAATAAATTCATGTTTGTTCACACTTACTTGGACCCTTAGTTATACTCATACAGACTCTTATTAAGAACTTGAAAACACTTGTAGTAAGACTTTTTAACCCCCCCCCACACACACAGAGGCTGTACTAAGTTTATAGACAAAGAAAAGATTAATGTTTGGCTCAAATAAAAAAATGCTAACGGTCATTTACTAATATTTAACGAACAGCTGGTTTCTCTACTTCACTTCCTACTCGCCTTCTTTCCTTCCCCCACCAGACAGGAAACTGTTTTTGACAACAAATGAATCAGCTAGAAGTTTAAAAGCCAGCAGCTGATTCTTCACGGTTTCCAGTCACCAGCAGTAAAAGTTATCCCTTCTGCTCCCTCACTAACATCTACTAAAGAAGTCCATCAGTACATATGATCTATTAAGAGGCTAACAGGTTAAACTACTAAATTGATCCTGTTAGGGAAACAAGGTCAATAAGTAAGGCCCCCATGGTCAATCTGCACATGAGCCTTCTCCCAGGGAGACATATAGTACGCAAACTTGACACTGTCAACTCAAACAACTTGGAATGCAAGAATGGAAAATGGGGAGCACACCAATGGTACTGGCAAGTTAACTGTAATTCCCAAGGATTAAAAAAAAAAAAACCAAGGTACCAGCCCCTTAAGGCGGTATGGCATACACACAAATTTTCTCTTCAATCAGCAATCTACTGTTTTGAGTGATATAAAAGTATAATTTATCCTTAACTCTTTAAGTATAAAGCTCCTACTCACAGCACTGACAGAACAAATATCTTTCAATATAATTTTTATAGAGCTTAATTTACAGACTACTACATTCAAAAGACACATTTGTTAAGTCTGATTTAAAAGATGAAGCTCATACTTTAGAACACTCTAAACTCATCCTAGTTTACAAATTTAATTATATGAAATTTAAGTACTTTAAAACCTTATTTATAAGAAACAGATGCCTACAGTTATCAATAACCTACAAAAATAAGCATAAAGGTGAAACTAAGAACAAAAGTGTATTTACCACAATTATTCCCAACAACGTTTGAGAGATTTCAAGTGCGCCTCTTACCACAATAGCATGAGGAGAATGCACTAAAGGCTTTAGTTCATTCAGGTCATTTTCTGCCTGCAAAAATTGGTATAGAAAAACAGAAATGTCACAAAGTGCACATCAAAAATATAATTTTAGCAGCAGTCACACAGCTCTATATGCCCTACTTTACCTTATCCCAGTCTCCTTCCATGACATGATTTCGGAATTTGGTAGCAGAAGGATGTTCTAAACGACATCCTGACTCTTGCATGAGGAGGTCAACAGTTTGGCTGCAGGAGAGATACAGTGTAAAAAAGACCTGACCAAGTTTAGAGTTTACTCTTCCAAATAACTAATGTCTTTGAAAACAGCTGCAAAGTTTTTAAGCTAACCTCATAATGAAGAGAAAAAAATAGCTTTGATGTGCTTGGAAAAACAAACTAGTTTTAAAACTGCCACCTACATTTATTCCTAATTAAGTTAAAATCCTTTCTTGAAACCAGAATGAAATAAGTGCTTCCTACTTTTGTCATTTAATGCCTCCGAAGTTTAGTGAAGTATGAAACTTTTAAAAATGTGTTCTAACCAACTGGTCGAATAAATTAAAAGCCAAGATCTCCAGACACTACCTATTGCACTACATTTTGAAAGAGAAAATCTTTAGCTCCATACAAGGTGACCAATGGCCTTTCATCCAGATATTATGTTCACTCAGAAATTCTACTAGGTCAACCCTTACAATTAAAAGAAATCCAGCATCAAAAACCATTTCCTTTCTCTCGCTGCTAAAAATAGCAAATTTACTATGGTGTAGGTTCCAAACAGTCACGAGTTATTTCCTCCTGCTGCTGTCAGCTTGCTCCTTGTTTCACTAATATGTTGTTAGCATTTACAAAAATGTTTTCCTTAGGGAATAAAGAGAAAAACGTCTTATGATAAATTTCTCTTTGAGACCTAGAAGACGTGTCAAATGTGGTTCCTTCTGTTGGCTATTTTGATATCTAAGAACCTTCATTTATCACTCATATTTGTGTTTGCTTCAAGGCAAAGCTTTCTTCAGCACTGTACTTATTTTTCAGCTGAATAGTGAAATCATGTCTGAAAATCAAAATACGTCGCTTTTAAGAGGCGCTGTTTTTTCCTCACTCCCCACAAATAAAACTGTATACCGGCCAGCCCGAGTTTGTTTCCTCCCAGCTCTGAAGCTAGGAAACTGTTGCACGTTGCCCTGGTTCGACTGTCCTGGTTCGGCTCCTCCAGCCGGCTCAGGGCACTCCCACCAAGCCAGCCTACCTCCACCCCCGAGCTGTTCTTTGTGTAAAACCCGTGCTGGTTCTACCTTCACCCCGGTTAGGCACACAAGGCGAGCTCGACAGCATTTGAAAACAAATGATTCACCAATCGGATGTCCCTTTTCCAGAGGCCATCATCTTCTTGGCTTTAAAGTGGGATTTCAGACTAGTCAGTGCCAGGCCTCTTGAACACACACGAGGACCTCCAAACAACATCCACACGATTCCCGTCAGATTTACCCCCACCAGCCCCTCGGCGGCCATGCACTTGAGGCCAATTGTCTTTCCGGACCGCCGGGCCGTGGGTCACGGAGGGGAGTGGGGAGGTGTCCCACAAAGATGCCTCTGAGACGGACACGGAAAACAAGCCTCGGAGCCTGGCCGTCTCCCGCGTCCCGGGCCTGGGTACCGCCGCCCGCCGGGCCCGGACACTTACTTGAGCCCGAGGCCATTCAGGTGCTGTCCGATCAGCCTGATGACATCCTCGTCCGACTGCGAGAGCCGCTTCTTCTTCTTGAGGCTGCTGCCCAGCTCGGGGGCGGCCAGGGAGGCGGCGGCCCCGCCGGGGACCCCGTTGTTGACACTCGGGCCGGTGCCATTGTTGCCGGCGGCGGCGGGGGCTGCGGGTAGCAGCCCGTTGGCGTGCGCCAGGTCCCCCGCGGCCGCCGGGGACGCCTCCCCGTTCTGCGCCGCCAGGCAGGCGAGCTCCGGGGTCGCGCCCGCGCCCCCGCCGCCCCCGCCGCCTCCTCCCGCCCCGTTGGCCTGCATGGCGCCGCCGCTGGCCGGGCTGGGGCCGCTGCCTCGGGGGCCGGCGGGGGCGGCCGCGGGGAGCCCCACCACCAGCACCACGGAGGAGGAGGCGGCCGGCGAGGACGCGGGCGACGCGGGCGGGGGGGAGCGGCCTGCGCGGCCCGACGAGGCCCCGGGCTCTCCTGCTCCCTCCGCCGCCGAGGCTCGGGGCTTCTTCCGCGGGGGCGGGGAGGCTCCGCCGGCGTCCGAGTCGGAGGAGGAAGCGGAGGCCAGAGTTTCCTCGCCGAGAGAGGCCGTGGTGGGGGCCGGGGGAGCGGGGGTCGCGGGGTCGGCCGGGCGGGCGCGGAGGAGGGGGAAGGAGGACGGCCTTCCCCCCCCTCCGGGGCGCGCGCGGCGCCCGGGGCGCGCGGGGGGCGACGGGGCGCGGGCCCCGCGGCTGAGCCCCGGCGGCGGCGCGGGCAGCAGCCGCCTCTGAGCTCGGTGCGCGCCGCTCCGCTCCCTGGTGTGTTGATTCTTCCCCCAGCTGCTGCCTAATGGAGTCCGGGCTTCGCGTCACAGGAAATGCCTATACTGCCCTCCGCGCTCACTTCCGGCAGCAGGTATGGAACCTATAGGGGCTGTCACCGGCACGTGCGCCGGCGGGGCGGCGTGAGGGCGCCAGGGCGGGGGTCCGGCCGACCCGGCTGCGCTCCGGCTGGCTCTGTGGGTCGCGGGTTCGCAGCCGCCCTCCACCGAGGGACCCGGGCGGGACTGCAGATTCACGCCGTCGGTGGGGGCGGGGGTCGAGCCGGGGACAGGCCTGCGGCGTAGGCCCCTATGGACCCGCTTCACGCACTGTCACCAGGACAGACGGGGTGGAAAAACTTGCCTTTCCACAGCCCAGCGCTGCCCGTAGTGGCTGTGCCCAGGGCCATCGCTGCAGGCTGGAGATGGAGGAGGAGGCGAGACTAGCTCCACCCTGGGAAGGCGAAATCCCGTGTAGAAGGCTATGTAATGGGACGGAAGTGACTGAGGGCTGGGGGTGTGTAGAGGAGGGGAGGCACTTTGCTGTAGGCTTCACTTTTTTTTTTTTTTTAAAGCATTTGCCCAGTTACCTCCTTCCCTGTCCAAGCTACCTCTTGAGACACTGCCAGTGCAGGGAGCAGTAACATAGACCAAGCCATTTCTTCAAAACTCGTCCTAAGGTGGCTTCAGGTTCCAATTCAGATCCAGGCTTGAAGCTTTGTAGTGAGAGGCGAGGCTGCTGTGTCAGTGACTCTCCGACCTCTAGGAATGTAGGAATGCTCGACGGAGATGGGCTGAGTCTGCATCATCCCCGAACAACCGTGCACCTATGTGCACAAACACCTCAGAATTCAACAGATCTTTCTCCCTATGGAAAAGACTCAAGTAGTACATCTTAGTCCCTAAAACTTACGATTTGAATAACTCAGTAATTTTGAGTCCTTCGGAGGCAGCCCTTTTCAAATTTAGAAGTATAATAAAAATGATGCTGATGAGAAATTGGTAAGGAATTCTGAGCGCTACTGATCCTTACACTGGAGGAAGGGAGAGGAAGATCAAGGCAGGATCTTACAGAGATCTGGCTTTGTAGTTCTCTTAAATATGCTTCCAGGTGGCAGCTGTGATTGCAAAGTGACTCACATACGATGTTTATGTTCATGGAGACATAAACAGACCTGAATGCTGGTTGAGGTTCATAGGGCACTGTCGATGTATCTAGCAGAGCCAGAATTACTAGTTAATACCTGCAGAGATCTCTACAGATTAACTTTAGAAACATTGTTATTAAAAGGGTTGGTATTGTTTAGACAAAAATTACTTTTTGCAAAATAGTTTATAGTAAGTTATTAGGATCTATGCAACATTAAGGATGAAGAAAAGTCTGTAACTCAATTCTGAATAAAGTATATATCTTTTACAAGGAAAATAATCACCTACAAACTAGGCTCACACTTTATTAACAAAAGGATGAAAAATAAATTGGATTCCATTGTTGTCTAAGCTCAGTGTGTCTACCTTTTAGGTGACCAAGACTGATTATACTAGATTCTTTAATTTCTGAAGTCTACATGCACACACATATTTTTCTCTACTAAAACACACATTGAGAACCTGTTGTTTAAACTCAGCTAGATTTCAGACCCACTGGCAGAGGAATTATTTTGAAACACCATTTTACACACTCAGAAATCTTTCATAACACACCATATTTAAAACCCAAATTCTTCTTGCTCTCCACAGGTTTTTTTTTTTTTTTTTTTTTTTTGGGTGTTACTGGAGCTTGAAAACAAGGCCTTGCCCTGGCTAGACAGGGATTTGCTTCTTGAGCCACTCCACCAGCCTGCTTTCCATAGATTGACCTCAGTCTTATCTTAAGTCTTTCTTTTTTGGTTTTATCTTTTTTAAAGCTTTTTATTTTTTATTAAATAATAAATTCTGTGCTACAACATTATACCCTGTACATATTTATGGAGAGGTTTTATCTCCTGTGCTCTTTGCAAACCTTTCACTGTCCCCCAAATTATGCTGGGCTTACTTTCCTTTCTGAGTCTTTGACCACATGCTCCCATCTTTTCTCCCCTGTCTGATTATGGTTACTCTTTCAAGATAGCCTTATTTTGAACCTCCAAGAGAGCCTTTCCTGATTTCTAGCATTCCAACCCCTCAATCTTTTTTTTTTTTTGATACCTTTTTTTTTTTTTTTTTTTTTTTTTTTTTTGCGGTACTGGGGTTTGAACTCAGGGCTTACACCTTGAGTCACTCCACCAGCCTTTTTATGTGATGGGTTTTTTCGAGATAGGGGCTCTTGAACTACTTGCCTGGGCTGGCTTCAAATCAAGATCCTCCTGATCTCTGCCTCCTGAGTAGTTAGGATTACAGGCATGAGCTACCAGCACCTGGCCAGCTCCTCAGTATTGAAGGCCACATGTAACATAACTTGCTGAGACCCTTTCAAGCCATCAGAAAGGAGCCTTTCTAGGCCTCTGTTCCCATGGCTTGCTTTCCTCTTTTTACCCTTCACTTGGAGAAGACTAAATGTGTATATGTATGGAGTGCTGGGGTTTGAGCCCAGGGCTTCATGTATACCAGGTGAGTGCTCTACCACTGAGCTGCACCCCAGTCCTAGGAGTGCTTCAATAAAGGCTTTGGGTGTGTCACCCTGTGTTAAGACTGCTGTAAATCAGTTACAGAGGAAGTCAAATGACCTCTAAGGCTTTTCCATCTTGAAGGTATCTGTGAACTCTGTGCTCCCAACTAGTATATACATTCCTTAAGGGCAAATCTCTGTGTTGTTCATCTAAGCTAGTGTTTTTCAGACTGTGGGTGATGACCCATTAGTGAATTGTGAAATCAATGTAGTGGGCCATAATTAGTATTTTAAAACTGAAATGGAAAGTTGTAAAAGCATAGGAAATACCCAAGTAAATCACCTATTGGTTATTGTTTTGTGAATCTTTTGTTTTAGTTACAGATGCATGTCTATGCTTTACAAACCAAAATATATTTCTTTTGTAGGCTATACTCAAAAAAATTTGCAAAGCACTCATCTACAGTCAGTCCTGACCTCAACACATAGGCATTAGATATACAAATGACATTAGATATACAAATGACAGGTCACTGGTGTGGTCCAAGGCAACATCTTTATTGCAAAAATTAAGAGCTGTCAGATTTTTAAAAGTTGAGATAGTACAGATGTTTATAATAAAACTAAACTTTTACAGGTCTGTATAAAACTAATAGAGACTTATTTTTCTGTCAAAGATGTCAGTTTAAAGGTAGGGGTGTAGCTCAGTGATAGAGCTGTATATCTACAGCCTTGGGTTTCATTCCAGCATAGCAATATGTAAGTAAGTAAGTAAGTAAGTAAAAGATTTAAATTTTATCATAGGTTTTTATCTCAACCTAGTATTTAGCAGTGCCAATATTCAACTAATAAATTTCTGTTAGGAAGAGGTATTTTTCAGGTGTCCTAGAGGAGAGGAGATAAATATTTATACTTACATATTAGCTTCATTACTAAGTTTTCTGTTACAGTCTTGGGGTTTTTTGTTTTTTGTTTTTTGTTTTGAGCCTGTGAAGCTCAGGCTGGCCTGCATCTCAATATCCTCTTACCTCTGCATCCCAAGTGCTGGAATTACAGGCCTGAACCACCACACCTGGCTATTACTAGCTTTTCTTTATCTGGAGTACTTAAATTAGTAAGCTGGACTTGTTAGACTTCGATGGGCTTGGGAGAATTCAGGAGGAGCTTGGGATTGTTCTTGGAGTCAGAATACTTAGTGAGCTGATTGACTTTGGACAAGTCTTTACTTTATTGCCCCTCAGAGGTGGGGATAATGACACTGGACAACTTGTCTGATGGAGTTGATGTGTGGGTCAACTCACATAAACAGAACAAATATTTGGAAAATAGTATGTTGAAATGTTTCAAGATAAATTTAAATCCTCCATCATTTAAAAAGGATTTGAAGCAGCTAGACATAAAAGTAGAAGATGGCCTTATTATTATTGATATTTCTGACCTGTAGACTCTGTAGCCACTCTCCTACCCACAATCCTTCCACTAAGTTATATTCCTATGTAGCTCTGCAGACAACTCTGAATATCATGCTTCATGTTGGTATTCCATGAGTGGCATTTTTACCCACTGTCCCATGCGAGTCTCTCTGGCTTATTGTCCCCCTCTACAAACATTCCTTTCATCCATGAGCATTCAGTATACTCACCAGGTGCATCTTGTGCAAAGATGGGCTACTGTGTAGTCACAGAGGCCTTCACATTCAGAAGTGAGCAGGTATCCACCTCCCTCTCAGAAGAAAGTACTCCTTTTCTCAGTATCTATCTGCAGCTGACAAAAATAATAATGTCTCAGGAAATTTTCTGAAGGAACAGAAATGAATCATAGAAACAAGTTACCTTTTTTCCTAACACACAGCTGGGTGGCATGGTTTATAATTGCTTCACCCACTTTGTGGTAAGGTAACATTTAAAAAAATGTGTAACAGTAACCTGTGGGCACAAAGATATTCACTGAAGCACTGTTTGTAAGAGCAAAAAGAAAGTGGTAATCACCTTGTGCTGATAAAAACATAGTGGCAAGATATGCTACTAAGTAAAAAAGGCATGTTATAAAACATTGTGTATAAAGACTGACTGAAGTGGTAGAGTGCAAGTGTGAGGCTACTGATTCAAGCCCCAGCACTGAAAAATAACCCAAACAAGTCATTGTGTATAATATGATTCATTTTGGTAAATAAAAGAATATATATGTTTACATTATTGCTCTGGTAGTACAGAAAAGCATAAACAGTTGGATGGAGACTCTGTGGTAGTGAAGAGCATGGTTCCTAATTTTTCATTTGATACTTTCCCTATGTTTGCATTTTCTAACTAACTATAAAGTGTTAACAGAGTTTATTTGGGTTATTATAATTTTGCTTTCTTTTTGTATTAATGTTATGCTTCTAAAGCAATCATGCTTTTAAAAGAACACTCAAAAACCATCAGAATATTCATGAGAACTTAATCACAATAAAAACATGCCAGATAAAGCAATGCTATGCATATTTCATTAACATTTAAGTGTATTGGT